GATCTAACCCACGTATACGTAGAGAAACTTTCATAATTACTGCTGGTATCATTTTGATATTTGTGTCGGCGATGTGACGACTCAGCTCAATTACCATATCACTTGAGTGGCGGAAACGGCGTATCTAACTTAATTGGGTAAGGTATGCCTCATGATTTCAACATCTCCTCCCGGATCCGTGTAGTTCTGTAACTACATGTACACAACAGTTTATATCTCAGTATAGTACAGTAGTCAACAATCTCAGATTAACGCCAAGATAAAATGGGCGAGGGGTTGGGTGCAAACAGTGTTCTGTAATTCCTCGTAATATTTGCTTTAAATTATTCCATCGTCAAACTTGAGTAACGTTTCTGTTAACGCGCCGTGCGAAGGAGATACTAGACAGAGGCTTATGAATGATCTGACCGATTTATTCGTGATTAGGTACCTGAGTTACCAATCAGCTGAGGGTTGGAATAATAGAAGTTTGTCGACATGCAAACCATGCTCCTATTTGTGATTGGCTGAATTCCGGGACTTAATATTGGTTAGAAGCTGTACTCCAGTAATATGTTGAGGATTCAAATTATACATCAAGGATAAGCCAAAGTACCTGATAGGCCCAATGTTTGCAGCGAGAATTAGCCAATGAAAGCCCTTAGCTACATTTCTATGAGGAGGAAGAGGAGGAAGAGGAGGAGGAGGAGGAGTCATTACTTTGAACCTTTTCTAACGAAACAATAGTGTTTTTGATATTATATATAAACCAATGATATCTCCTTGTTACGGGGTATTGCGTTGTTATGTGTGATGCAGAAAGGACACAGCACTGCTCCGTGGTTTATCGTTGCTACACATCATGGCCATGATAATGTGCCTTCTTGTAAGCTCGAACTTTTGTGATAGAGCTATAGGCTCAATTGGTAAAGACCTGTCCCGTCTCATACCCAGTTAACATGAGTTCACTCATGAAATATCCGTAAAAGTGGCACCTTGATCCCGATTTTATGCGATAGTATACATTCCGGGTCAGTGTCGTGTCAGAGTATGAAGGTAGTATGCTTTTATATAAGAAAGGGGGTTTTGGGGGGGGGATAAATAGATAGCAAGATTGATAAAGATTGAACTTGCATGGCTCACTGCTGTGATGACGACGGGTTAAGATTAGATAAGACGTTAACGGCCTGATTTGGGGAGTGGAGCAAGTCCTGAGAGGCGGTAGAGCAGGCACTAAAACGTTTGGGTGACCTCTCTTACATACACTTCCGTCAGTACTTCTCGCAACCGACCCACCGTCATCTATCCTGCTAGGAACCCGTCATCTCAGGGAAATCTTCTGTATCCTCTGTTGATCTTCCTTCACATACACTCATTTTTCACTTCTACCCCACAACTTTCTTTAAGGATCTTACATTTGTTACCTGTAATAGATCAGCATTTATTACGACCTGAAGTTGCCCTTCCCCCATTCAGTACCCTGAAAAGAACACTTGAAACCACAGGAAGCAGAAGATCCTGACTCGCTGTTGCTATCCTAATGGCCTACACGAGAACACCTTACTGTTATCAGCCAAACTATGCATCCAGTGCATACTCTGGCCCCTCGACCTCTCTACGTCCATCCTTCGAGACGAACGGGGAATCCAACCCTCCGTCTCATTGTGATACAAATGAATACTTCTCCAGATCCCAGTCTCGTTCCACCAATATCTCTTCTGTTTCGCTGCCCAACTTGACGGTCGAAGATACCACTAGCCCAACTAGGCCGGCCAACCTGGAGAGATTGATCAGAGACCATCTGAAAACAGATGAGGGAAGACGTGATCTTCAGGCTTGGTTAGATGAAGGCCAGGAGGTGGCTAGCGAGTTTACTCCTGAACTGTATGTGATGACATTGGTAGATGCATTGTGAATACTGGCTGACATTATATCTACAGACCCAAGAACGTCAATGACTACATTCAGTCTTTTATCACCAAGGCCACCGCCGTCATCCAGAACGGCTGTAAGAAGTCCAAAGATGGCATCAGAAACCTCGGGATCCTCCGTAACAGATCCATGGTCAATCTTAATGACCATAACCTCACAAATGATACTCGCAAGCAAGATGCAATCTACTTCCTTGCCCGCATCGACAAGAAGTTGTATGATGTTGCCAAATCGGCCAAAAAGGCAGCCGTAAGGTCGGGAAACATGATTATGGGGAAGGAGAACAAGACGAAGAGTGAGCGCTGGCAAGACGAGTTGAATAAGAGCTATCGAGCAATGATGCACAAAGAGTCTCCTGCAAAATAAGGATTTACATTTCAGGTATCTCATCGTGATTGTTGTGGGTAGCCCATGCTTAGTCTCTGTTCTTTAATTTCATTCAAAGTGGCTAACGTAGAATGGTGGTGCAGATGGGAAATTTCAAAACTTGAGGTGGAGATTTGCGTGGATTTACCCACAAAAGAGGTGGTTGAATCTCAACCTTTACGTTCGCGAAGAGAATATTCTAAGGTAAATTGTCTCGCTCGCTGGTCAACAACCTCAGCTAATTAAGTTTCGAAAGTAATATCATTCGTAAAGCTAGGATTTCATCGGTTTGCTACTACTATAAATGTATTGATTTGGGAAGAATTGTTGATAAGAAAGAAATACGTACACTCACAATTTTTGTCTTGTAACCTCTTGTATCGTGTACAACCGAGGCTTTCTGCGTCATTTTGTGTAGCATTACACTGTGTATCTCGTTCTCAGAAACACACCAACTTAAATTAATACACGGGGAAATTTTTGTCTACATTTTCTGGCGTGATATAAAACACAATAGCAAGTGTGCACTTGAATTCTATTAAGTAACGACAATGATAGGAGGGCTCCAGAACTAGAGCTCATTAGAAAAGAATTTTGGAATTCTGTTTGTTCCTGTAATCACGGAATATGAATTTAAAAAGAAGCTGAGTAAATTAGGAGGCTCAGTACCGCACCACTTGTGGTATTTCAAAAGTTTGTACCCCGGTCCCGAAACCTATCTTAAGAAATGAATACTATTGGGGTTTGTAAAACAATTCATAAATGATGATATTACATTCTATATACTACAAAGCTACCACAAGAAATGAGATATCTATTATGAATAGTATTTTGAAAGTATCTCAGGTACAGCATATATATTCATAAGTTCTGCGTAACGCTTGTGCGTCCACAGATGACATACTTCTCCTCTCTCAGTCAATATCTCTTATACCCAATTATTTCATCCCTCAAATCAGTTAAATATCGACCCATCGCTCGAGTTGTACATAAGCTCTTTAAACTCTTGACAAGTTTATTCCTCAGCATATGTCCACATCAAACTCGCGGGCCATTTCTAGGCCTATGCTCGGGTTTATCAACGCCGAGCTTAACAACCCCAACAGGCGTCCCACTCCCACGACCTTGAACCCCCGTGAACTCCGAATTTCTCTTGAAACTTCAAGTGATTACCTCCTGCGCTCCCAGAAGCTCTTCCGGCAAATGAGCTCCCGATACCGTACGGATCTCTGCCCCTTCTACCTTCGAGAGTCTTCCCAGCTACCAAGACACTGTAGAGGTATCACACGTCAACACAACGAGTTCCTGGCGACAAGCGCGCAGTACCTGATGCGGTATGCAGTATCGATGGCGGTTACCTTGTTGGTAGCGTTGGAGAGGAGGGCGACAGAAAAGGATATGAAGATGCGGGGGTTTCTGATCAAGGTTCTGGAGGATGAGAGTGTTGAAGATAGAATTGCGGCATTAGCGCTCACAGGGTATTGGATATTGCATCCATAAAGGGAGTGAGGTTAGAGTGAGAGAGAGTTTGAGTGAATGGTAGGTCTAGTTCTGATAAATGTTGAGAAATATCTGGGAAAGGCTAATTACTTTTTCCGGTATGTAGGACGGTTTTTCGTCGGACCTTTGGATTTTGGATGATATTATTAGATAAGGCGCTTCCTAGTTGGTGTACTCTGCAGTTTATGGCTTTGAATAGATTTTTATATCCTTGGTTATATTATGTCTCTGGTGTTTTTCTTATTAAACTGAATGGAAAGGCTGTTCTGTCTATAATGATAAGCGTTAGTCACGATTGTTACATTATAGAGGCAGTCGAAGACTTATTAATGTTTCCATGGATGCCCTGAGGTATCGGGGGACAAAAGAAAAGAGAAAAAAAGAAAACAGACCTAAAACTGACTCTAGCATCTAAACACCAGATCTAGGTGTTTGGTTTCGTCGACAGGATCATCCGGGGAAGAGGCATGCCCGACACGCACGAGAAGAGAGGCGCGGACATAGATGTCCCAAGCATGGACAATTGCTCGCCTGCTAGACCAGCTCCTCTAAAGTCCTTCACAGCAACTGATTTTGCTATTATCTGCATGGTCCATAGCTCTCTATACTCTGATGAGGAGAGGGGGCAAAAGGGTGGTGATAATTAGACATTTCGTTTCTGTTCCGTTAATGCTTTGGCGATGAATGTAGTCGGGAGGGAATGGAAGAGATATATGTATCGAAAGATTTGAACACTTGTGTTGCGATGTTGTTGGTCTGGACACATAAGGAAGACGGTCGGTTGAGTATCAGGGTAATTCCCGATTCTGAGATCACCTCTCTTACCTCGAGCCGGCATTCTTTGTATCCAATTAGACTTTTTCATGTCTACAGTCCAAGAGATTATATTTTCTACATAAATATTCGATATGCGAGTAGTCTACTGTTTCGTAAGACTTACACCTCCGGAAATACGGCTCAGCTTCAAGTTAATAGGATAAAAATATCGGCTCATCTCTTTACAGCTGTCTCAAAGATTCTGATTGATTCGAGTGCTTACTACGTATGTACAGAAGGAAAGGCCAAACAGAAGATAAAGAATAAGGGAGATAAAAATGCTGTAAGTTGTCCCGAGTTATATCGTCAACCCAGACTCCATAGGGATTCTCCACAGCCTCACTAATAGATATACAGCCCATTCGTCCAGCCAGTTCCCCCTTCTCAACCTGTACAAAACGAGGAATTTATTGAGGCGGATTTAGAAGCGAAAATTCATCGCTCCTGCCATCCTCCCCGGCCATCCTTTCCCACTCACCATATTGCGTTATATTCTTCGTGACTGGGCAGCTCGACTTCAATGACCACACGAAATCCACCATGGCAAAGTCTCCCATATTGGGTCTATTCACCTCCTCATCGAGCGAGAATCTGGTCTCAGCGGGTTTTGTGAAAGCCGGTTTTGCAGAAGAATCGCTGCCTCTCTTCCACAGACCACTTACATTCCTCTTCTTGGGCTTATCGGTGGATACGGAGTCCTTCCTTGGTCTTGTCTTAGGCTTCTCGGCCGACATAGAGTCCTTTCTTGACCTTGAAAATGCACCAATGGTGGGAGAAGAGTCTTTGCCCTTTCCTTTACCCTTCTCTGGAGCGACCGAAGAAGGAAGGTCTTTGAGGATAGAGGGGCGCGGACGAGCCAACTTCGAAGCAAATGTCCAGCGAGAAATCGTCCCTTTACCGTTGTCCTCGGAACATATGCTCAGCTTTTTGATTTCGTCGAACATGCCGTCCAAATTCTTGAAGTGCGCCACCCCTTCAGGGTCGGTGTCCTCCTTCGAATCCTCCCAGCTGCTGTTATGGAGACGATGCTCTGCTTCTTGGATGGCGGCGGCAAAGGCGGTTGCGGCCTGTGGAAACTCGCGAGGGACTCGGGAGGGGGATTCCTGTAACCCTTTCTGTGACTGTGGGCTACCAGAGCTAGTAGCAAATGAATTTTTAGAAGACGAGTTTCTGGCGAAGGAAGAGCCGGGAGATGAGAGCTCACGATATTGATGCCTAGGAGATGGTGGTTCTTGTGATGGGTGTCCGTGAGATGAGCTCGTCATCGATAGACGGTGGGGGGATGAGCCTTCTTGAGATGGGTTACGAGGGGACCTCAGCTCTGTGAATGATTGTTGAGGAGATGGGAGTCCCAATAAGCTTGGAGGGGATGATGGTCTCGGCGATGAATGATCGTGAGATGAGGGTCCCGTAAAATGATAAAGAGGGGATGGAGGCCCTGCTAACGGATATCGAGAGGATGAAGACACTGCGATTGAGTTGCCAAAAACTTGATACTTCGGAGAAGATGGATGTCTTGGGTGAGGTGCGTACGAGGATATAGACGGATATTCGGGTAAGGATTGGTTGATGGAAGACTCTGTGCGTGCTAGCGATGATAGTCTAGGTGGCATAAACATAGGGACGCTGGCATTATCAAGAATTGTAGCGGAGATAGGATCATCATCAGACGAGTCTCCAAATTCGGAATTAGTGCCCGCCTGAGCAGAAGCTGTATCAATCGGCTGGCCATAAAACATCAAGCTCCTATTTCCCTCAAACCGGCCACTATCAACGGGCCCACTCGCATTTCTTCGTGAAGAAAGAACCTGGGGAGGAACTACTCCAGTAGTAGCTCTGCGAGGCATGGCCCTCCTATCGTGAGTTCTGTCGCCCCGTATTGTCAGACCTAATTTACGACTACTGGTTGTATAGGAAGAGGTACACATACCGTAATTGGGAATACTGCTGGTCAGTATGGACGGGCGGCGGCATGGGAGCGCCCGTGTCTCCACGCTGCGGCATAGGAGGATAGGGCGAGTCAAACATAGCGGTTCCGCGCAGTACTGGATACGTCTGTGGGCGTGCAGAAGACGCAAGGGTGAAAATGGGTGGTTTATCGCTTGCGGTCATTGTATATGAATGCGCTTCAATAGCGGCTTTCTGCCCTTCTATGGGGATCAAACGCTTCCCGCTACTTTTGGTTTAGATAGAAGTTGTCGTCCTGGGGAATAGATGATGGAGGGAGCATGGAGGGAATGGTTGAGTTGCTTCTCGTTGAGAGGGAGTAAGGAAGATATATGGAGCCCCCAATACCTGTGGCTCCTAAAGTTCTCAGGGGAGGCTCATCTGAGCCCTGCGCCAATATCGAGTCCCGTTTTCTACGTGTGTGCCTAATGTCATTTTTTCTCAACCTTTCGACTTAGATACTAGCGGCGATAATCACTGGAGAACATTCGTGTTCTCATGCTCAGTGATGTAGGAATGGAGTAGGCTCTCTCAATGTACATGTAGTTGGGCATGTTCTTGGCGCGAGTGATAACCCATGACGCATCCCCAACGTTGTTACCCGCTGAATCATCAGGGACCACCACCCCCTACCCCTCTCTCTCCAAAACAACCAAATCCCAAATCCCAAATCACTCTTCAATATCACTCCGTCTTTCCTCGCTCTGTAGCTCGGCAAACAGAACAGGTGAAACCGACGAGATCGCTGGGGGAAAAAGAATAACTACGACTCACCTCACCTCGCCCTGCAGCGCATGCGCATCCGAGGCTCAACTTCAAGTTCCGCCATTGCGTTTTGGTTGATTGCTGATTCTGGCGCTGACGAGGTGCGCTGGTAGGAATTGACAGAGGGGTGGCGCTTACAACACGACTTACTACGACGACGAAGTCCTACTGTCGCCGCCAATGCGCACGAAAGTGTATGAGCCGAACCTGGGCACAGAAACCACGGAGCATGGAGGTCATAGCAGTGGCCAAATGAATTGCCGGGGTAGCCTGAAATGCATTAATACATAGGACTTGGATACCGTTTTCAACATGAAGGGCCGGTGAAGCAACGATAAAAACAGCGTACAACTTACGTTGGGGAGGGGAGAGAGAGAGGGAGAGAGAGAGAATGGTCTTCTTATCCATATACTCTGGTAATTTAGTCTTAGGGACAACTGAGTTACCGTGAGGGTGCGCTACTCGGGGGATCATTAAGTGGATATCCGAGTCTTCTCCACTGAAAGAAATGGGGTGCATGATCTTTGCGGATGAATTTTATGCCCTGGAGAGGGCCCATAACTGAATGCGAGCCGGGAAGTGGTATAGGTTTGCGATTCCCCTCCCCTCTTTCCTCTCTCAACCACAGAAGAGAGGCGTAACATGAGATGGTGATTCAGTAGAAGAATGAATCATACGCGCCTGAACTATCGGCCCCGCCGCCCCGTGAAACGAACAACACACAAGTAGGAGAAATAGAATCCTCATCAATACTCGCACCAGCACCGATCTCGCCGGCTATTTTCATCCTTGCCTGAATTGATAGGAGAAACTGTTGGTACATGCGTAGATGCGTTCGCATCGCCGGAAAACATAGCAACAAAGTAGGCAGCGGGAGTTCTACTAGTTGTATCGTATGCCATCTACCTGCGTACATTATACTAGTTGGATGATGGGGTAGGCGGTAGACAGTGAGCCTTGTGTCGGCAGAGGGTCTGTGAGGTATCAGTAGTGTGGTCCATGAGCCGACCTGGCTCGAGCTTTAGGCTCGAGCTTTCGGCTCGAGCCCAGCGAGCCTTACCCTCCAGCGAGCCTGAGCCGGCTTGAGCCGTTTTCTCTAAGGCTCGAGCTTAGGCTCGAGCTCAATAAATTTGCTTGAACTATGTAGGATCTAGAAGCCATAAGAGAAGCAAAAAGGAGATTTATACCGACTTCAATGCTTAATTAAACAATTAATTCCTTCTCACAGTATTACTACATGAAATGAAGCCTACATGTAACCTGCGCCTGCTCTTTTACTACACTTGGTGCAAGGATAACCTGTTTTTTGTATCATTGACCACCGGCTCGAGCCAGTTTATGAGCTTGTCACCAAAGCTCGAGCCTTGTGAGCCTCTGCCTCCCACGAGCCGAGCCAGCTCGAGCTTATGCGTCGGCTCGACTCGAGCCGGCTCATGGACCACACTAGGTATCAGGAGGGTAGAAAAGCTTAAGTTGCGTAGAAATAGAAATAGTCTCGTACTCACCCTGCTTTACACGCAGCAGTACAAATTTGAAATTTGAGCAAAGAAGAAAGTCGTATCAAGACACAGACACCAACCCGCAGCTTTTTCTTCACCGTTTTATAAATAAAAATAATGAAGAGCACTAAGAGCGAGAGGTGACTGCATGTAGATACTTTACCGCTTGAATGGGTAACGAAATAATGGTTAGGAGCCTATCTTATTTCCGTCTTATCTGAGCTTCTCCTGATTTTCTGTAGCTTGCACCTTGCCCTTCTCTCTGCCTGCGCCTTGGCTCATAGTGTGTCACTCGCGCCAAGATTCATTGGGACTAGCACCGTGGACGACAACCACACCCGACACACATCTCTCTCTCTCTCTCGAAAAAGAAAAGAACAATCACCGTAAGATGGTAACAGAAAAAATTCCAAAGCCAACTCAATGAAAGAGCATCAAGATAGACAGGACGGTACAATCACGGTCACTACATAAAAAATCTCGTTTTACTGCGGCATATGCATTATCACTTTACTCTTTCATCCTCTCTAGGCGTAAGTACATCGTTCCTCCCCGTGCCAGTCTGCCTGATTTAGTTTCCTTCCCTTAAACACTATATGTAGGCCTTCAACTCTGAATCGGCGCTTACACGTATGTGGTTCCATGCCTCAGGACCTGCTACTTACCCCGCTATAGGACCACCTGGAGGGCTATCTATCATCTGTTCACTTCGTTCCTGCTAATATTTGTGACCCACAGGACTAGACCAGCGCCTCCAATAGCTTAGAACACCGCTCCCCTCGGTTGCCTCCCCACTATCCTCTACCATGTGAGGCGTAACACGCTATCGCTGCTGCGAGCTCGGAGTGCTGTAGTTGGATCTTCCTTTTCTGGTGCGTTTATGATGATCTGGATACTGGTGGCGGGGATGCGTTGAGACTGGTCTTATCCTTCGCTTGCTTCCCCGTGCTTTGTTTGTACTGGTCCTGGTAGATGCTAGCATGAGCTCTCTCTCTCTTTTGAAAAGTGGCGAATAAAAAAAGCTATCCCCCGATTACTCCAAGGCTTGTATCATCATACCAGCAGGAGGAACAAAAGAAAAAAGAGCGATATCATATACCGCGACCGATATTACTCTTGTTTGCCAATTATGCCGGTACACGAGAAAAGAAAAGAAGTTTCACCTGCCTCAATACATCCTTCTTTCTATACTCCATCCGCCGTATCATGGGCGCGACGCAAGATAAAAAGGCCACTGTTGTGCCACCATAAATATTCGGGCTTGGACAGAGTGTGCTGGCTGCTGCTTTACGATCATGCTGTCTGAGATCTGGGTTCGTTTTTCTCTTGATTTATGCCAGTGGCGTATGGTTGGTTACGATGGATGTATGTTCGTATGTCAAATTATAGGTTTGTGAGACTTATAAATAGACAGTTAGCATAGATAATCGCCGTTAGCGGAGAAAATAAAAAAGAATTACCCACTACTCCACTACTCACACTCCTCAACACCAACCCGCCCAACCAAAGGTCTCTTCTTCCGCCCTCCCTAAATGCACATCCTAAGTGCAGATAACCTAGATTTTTCTTGAGTTTATCTGGCCACGACACATCCAAGCGGTCTATACCTGTAAAAAGACCAAAGGATGAGCTGATAACGGACCGGCTAAAGGAAAAGAATGTCTAGGCGGTATGGGTAATAACAGCAATCGATGTCGGGTGGCTGCGAGTTTGGAGCACATCATGATCGTTGGTGTACTGTCTTTCTGGGATAATGGCGAATATCGTTTGATGCCGAATTGGCCAATCAAAACCAACAAAAGCTAACAAAAGCGCACCGACCCATTTGCCTTGGCTGACTATCAGCTCCATGGTCGCCTGAAAGTTTAACACATTGTCCCAGAAAAGCCTATAGCCGAATGAGGAACGAGTTGACAAAAGTCTGGGAACGAGACTACCGCAAAACATTCCCCCATGGTGGCTAAATTCTGGTAGGGATAGAGGTATTTGTTTGCAAAACACAGTTATCGTTCCCTCCAAACGCCGGAAGTTTGGTTGGGATGGAATTTCGAGAGGGTGGAATTATGATAGGTTTCTCTGAGATCTTGGTGTGTTTACGTCATGGTGGGGAGTGAAGCAGTATCAATAGCTGTATGGATACGGAGTGAGTGGAAACGAAAAACCGTATCTCAAAGTTGGTCCAATAAGTATTGTGCTAGGCAAGTGCTCTTTTGAAAAATTAGGACGTGGTGGCTCGAGACGGGGCCGGCGCCAACACACCCCACCAATACACGCCCCACCAACAACCACCACAGCATCCGAGCGCAATATTCACCAACGCTGCATACAGTCGCCCCAAAGCAAGTCTGGAAAACTCTTCCGAACCTCTTCCCCCAAGGAAGCCTACCATAGACGATCTCCACCGCCGCAGTTCTTCTTCGGGCGTCACGGACCATCACTCGCGCCAAGCCACATCAACGAGAGCAGACGGAGGAAGAGGGAGTGCGTGGGGAAGTTTCGACTGGCATCCATTACCTCTCTGCTACTGCACACAGCGAGCGGGCCGCAAAGGCAAGTGGTAGGTCTTGTCATGGCATGGAATAGAGGTGTTGCGAGCGCGACAGTGAGCTGACCTGTGTCTCTAGGTGATGGTTTAGCTACCCCACACTACATCTATTTCTTATCGACACAGAAAACGAAGATACATCCAGATATCTCCTCCAATATTACTGCTCTTCTCTGGCACTTCTCTGGCCCCATACTACCCTTTAGCGAACAAGTTTTCCACCTCCAGGTCCTATAAAACTACTACTTTGGTCGTGCAATAACACCACAACAAGACGGACAGTCTCGCCAGGTACCTTTACTATTAGCCGCGTCAAGGTTATACACAAGATCCAAAAGTACCCGACCCTCCACACCCGAAATATCGAGTCACAAAAGCAACAAAACTAGACGGGTACCCGGAAAAGCAGCAAGGTTCCGAGATTTGAGCCACTGTGATGTTGAAATATTCTAAACACAATTGAGCGGCATCAGGATTTTCCAGGCGCTGCTGTAGTTCAATGAAGGTGTACTAATATAAACACAGCAGGACTATGCTCTGTTGGAGTTGGATAGGAGGGCACAGTCTACTCTCGTGACAATATGAGAGCGACTATAGTATGGCTAGATACAGCATGAAGAGACTCCTCGATCACCTACCCTTCCTAACCTCATCATTTCTCCGGTAAACTACATTAGAGAATTACTGCGAAACAGCGCTGCGCCGGAACCCTTTTTACTGTGCGTCCTCCTTCACCAGTACACCGTCGTACTACTCCGCATTTAAGTGAACTGGGTATGAATGTATTTACCTCTTATCTACGGTGTGTATACTTTCTCTTCTTCTGCCCGGTTATAATCGATCACTCAAACAAACACATCGCCGCAAACTTCAGCACAATAGGAGGTTAAAAATTAAACCGAGGAATGAAAGGATAAGGAAAGGCAGATCCCGAGCATAGTGAGCTGGCCGCAGTTCTTCTCACCGCATATACTCGTATACCACTACCACCCCTCCCCCCATGGGCGCTGGGCTCCTAGTTTACCTCCTGGCACTTGGAGTTCTTGGCGGGGTGAGGATGGGTTGGCTACAGATCAGTATTCTTGAGAAAGCTAACTTAACTTTAGATTGGGGTGAAGGGATATTTTAGACAAACCTATCGTTTCGACTGTTCCGGGGTCCTCGAATGCTATAGAAAACTTTACTGTTGCTCTCAAGTCAAAATAAACTGCAGCTCCCGGCCATCCAGACCGCTCTTCGTTTGCACGTTTCATAAAACTTTCCCACACGATAGTTTTTGTGCTGCAGCCATAGACTCTGTGACGTCTAGCGCTTGAAGTGGTATATATAAGCTGCTGTACGGTTCTAGTCAATGGGGTCACCCGCGAGTAGGTAGAGAATCGATCCTAGAGTAAAGGTTTCTCGATAAGTGATGTTTGCATGGTGTGCTAACATGTGTTTGTACAGTGTTCCGACCGATACATGGCTATTTGACTGTCGGCTAGGTACCGGCAAGGAGATATATATAGATTGGGGAGGGCGGCGAGATAAAGCTGTTAGCCTCACACACCGCACCATACAACAACAAAAAACCCAAGCTCGAGTGAGCATTCATGATACTCTTTTCACGATCCGAACGTCTATCCTCTCGAGCAGCAAAAACCTGTTTACCTAAGCGGTGGCCCACAGGGAAAAACTGGTCAAGTCCTATGTAGGCACGCATAGGCTATTACCTCTTGACTATTTTTTGTATTTGGGCGAAGGCCCCTCTCTTTGCTGTTATTTGAGGGGATGTTGTTTTGTGTGTCATTGTTTCTCGAGTTTGTTAGAGTGGGTGGAAGGACAGGCTGCTTTGGGGTGTGACGTAGGAGTTGTTATTAGATGCAAAGTGGCCTCTTTATAACGGTGATGTAAAGTACATACAGCGAAAGCTTGCTATAACGGTACGCTCGGTACTGGAATTTGGTACCGTTATAGAGAGATTACCCTTATATAAGAGGTGATTGTGCTGAAATCCGGGCAAAAAGGACCGTGAAGTGCTACCGTTATAGAGAGATTACCCTTATAGAAGGTACCGTTATAGCAAGCTTGCGCTGTACTCATAAATACTCAAGTGATTTTTAAACGAGCACAAGGAGAATTTGTCTTCCACTTATATGAGAAGCGACCTATCAGACTTTTGTACCTATATTCCTTTCTTTAGCACCTTTCTTATATTAATATACCCAGGTCGCGTTGAAGATCCTAACCGGAAAAAAGTCAGAAAAGTCAGCATAATTATTAGAGAGTATTACTAACTGCAAGTATCGACAATTGACGACTTGTGGGGCGAAAAAGTGGCAATTAGACTTACCAAATTTGAATTTTAACGGACACTTGCCGCTTCGGGGGTGCTGTGAGATGTGCCAAATGAATGAAAAATACGCGGTTCTGACACCGTAGTAGTGCTACCATGAGAAAGCAGCATGTGAATTTTATGTCCTGCCAGCGTATTTTACAGGTAGTGTGTGATAAAGTGTTTGATTTTGGCCACTGAGGGTAACTGTCAATTTTGCCTCGTACCCTTTTCAATTTTAAACTGGCAATTGTCGAAAATGACAGTTAGTAAATTTTCTCTAATACCTTACCTCTTCTGTCTTTTTTTGTTCTGCTGAAGTGGATTTGGGTCTTCTGCGGCGCTAGGTTTAGAACAGGTCTCTGTATCAGAGAAACTGCTGTGGAGGGAACGAGAAGGAGAGGGGTGATTACATACATGTATGTACGCTTCTTCACTATGCAGTTCCAAAAAAATTGAAATCTGAAAAATGCAGCTAGCATGAAGAGAAGGTTAGCCCGAGTGATAATCTATGATCCACTTCTCTGTGTCGATACCAACAATATCACGAAATCTAAGAAGCATGAAAGAAGGGAGAAGAAAATTGGGGGCTGCGCATATCCGTCCCTCTGAAAGTACATGGGTATGTACATATAGAATGGCGGTTTAGCGAGGGGACACATACTCAAATAAAATGTACAATTTGTCCCGGGAGAGATACAACTAACTGGAGGAGTCAAATTGAAAAAGATCAATCGCTCTCGTGAGGTGAAATAGTTTATTTACTATGAGATGATGAGACAGGAAGGCACGGGATGTATTGGATGTGACAGTCACTCCAACGCATGGTAGTGCACATCCATCCGCTAAGCTAAGCTACGAGAAGGAAAAAAAATTCAAAAGGGAGCTCCGTGGGAATTGAATCCATGACCACCGGAACAACGTACCCTGTAGAACAGAGAGTTAAGAAACCGACGCACCGCCAACTGTGCTAAGGAACTCACGGTGTCAATACTATTTGAACCCTTTATCGCTACGCTCTAGTCTTCCGTTTCCATACTGGGTACACAGCCCCCCGACCATCCTGATGAATTCGGTGTTTGAAATATTGGTCGGCGGCTGAGAGTCAGATGATCACTACATGTAATTGTTAGAAATGGCAGAGGCTCAGGTCTCTTTGTACCACGTCGCTGCTCGTGTTCGATGTTCGTTTCTCTCAACCTTCCCCACGCGCTCCATGCATTCATCACACCGTATGATGTAGCAGCAACACACTCACCCCGCACCGACTACATGTACTCAACCTCACCAAGGTCTCTTCCTCCAGGAAGCCACTGAGAATTGACTAAAGAAAGGAGGCCAAGCAGCTTGACACTCCCGTTCATGCGGCATTTCCGAATTATAATGGGATGATCTAGTACTTATGGAGCTCACGAGTCCGGGTATGGGAAAACAGGTAAGAACTAAATAATAGGAGAAAAAGTCGCTTGACGGCCGTCCGCGTGCTACTTGAACTAGCTAGCTGGTAATATAGACCAGCTTCCGTGTATGGTTAAGAATACTTGTATACATCTCTCCAAGATCTCGTTACCATTTAGTGCTCACTTTTCGAGGCTGGCCTTCTGTGTTTTGTATAGCCCTGCCTCTACTTGCGATACCCAGGGTCTCGAATTAAGAACAGGGCGTGGCTGTTATCAAGTATGTAGAGCCTTCCGTGAAATAATAAAGAGCGGGAAAGTATTCAGAAGTAAAAACTTTCCAAAATCACTCTAGTATCATTTTCTTCTTAGTGATGGGCACAAACCGAGCGGGCTGGAGCTTTGAGCTCGACGTCTAGGCTCTTACCAATGAGCCCAGGCCAGCTCGAGCCCATATCCAAAAAGCCCGAGTCTGGTAAAGTATCACTAATGATTGGAGATCGAACGTTATGGGCTGGGCGATTTACGTAAAGAATGCTTAATCAATCATACTGATAAATATATTCCATACCGGCTTATTGGGTGGGAGGTCGATTTTTACGTAAACTCATGAGAGTTCCGGGGCTCGAGAGGTCAAACCTTCACCTCCACAATCCGAGCCAGCTCGAGCTCTAAGAGAGAGAACAAGAGAAAGCCAACGCGGATCAAAGAAAGAACCAACAGGAACCGAAGAGCCAACACGAACGAAAAAGAGTCGAAGAACCCCCGGGAAACACGCAAAAAACAAACAACAAGAAACCGAAATCTGCGAATCTTAGAGTCCCCAAAAGCCAAAAAGCCAAAAAGCCAAAAAGAACCCAAGTGTTTTTTCTCTCTTTTTTTTCATCATCGCCTCGCAACAGCCAGGCAAATAATAAAAAAAACGAAGGAAAAAAAAAACGAAAAGAAGCCAAAATCCCAAAAAGCCAAAAAGCCAAAATCCCAAAATGCCAAAAAGCCAAAAAGCCAAAAAAAAAACCCCAAAAAAGCCAAAGAAACCCAAATGTTTTTTTTTTCATCATCCCCTCGCAACAGCCAGGAAGACAATGAAAAAACGAAGGTGCAAGCACCTCTGAAAAAAAGGGCCCGGAGACCACTTTGTTTTCAACAGCACACACCTATTTCAATACCTTTTTTTTGCACCGACTAGAGGAGAACCCCCACACCTCCTGAAGGCGGGATGAGGCCACATTCCTCCCGGAGGAGAAATGAAGCCCCACCCCTCCCGAAGGAGAGATGGGAGCCCTCAACTAGCAAGGCTAGGCAGGGCGAAGTGTGCTGAAGAAGAAAGAAAGGGAGGTGAGGGGGGACGACGGCTTATAAAGGATTATTTGGCCGCCGCCAAGATGATATGCCAAGGATTGGTATTGGGAGAGGGAGAGGGCTTAGGGTGAGTCGGTGTACGCGTACGTCTACCTCTACTGCGGTAGTGTAGAGGAAGATACATTTATGTATGTTATACCCATGTCATATTTACATTCGAGACTCCCTCCTAATTCTAAGGGGCAATTTGGGACTGCCTTTAGGTTACAATTTCATGCATGTAGTCCCAAGATTACAGGTATACATGTAGCTACATGAAATATAAAGATCGAAATGTGAAAGAAACTTTTATACATGTAGTAATGCCCAAGATACATAGATAACTCAACTGAGAAAATCCAGGTTACATGTATCCATCTTCTAGAGACGCATCTCCAGTCTTGCTAGCTGGAAAATATCAAAGCACAACGGAGTGATAGACAACTACGAAGAAGGATATTCTAGGCAGGCCACTGCCCCATTCTTTATTGGCCCGCCATATCTCCTTCTACTGACAGTGAACCACTCCATAAGACCATGTTTAGTTTCATACGCACCCTGAAAGGTATTCTCCACGTTCTTACTCATCCACCGCAAAACTGATTGCCGTGATGGGGCTACATGAATTCTAGGAGGAAGGTGTTGATCGTGTCTCTTCACCCCACCTCTCGCACCCAACTCCTCCACACCCGGGTTCTATGGGTTTAGGATCACCGTGTGGTCATGGTCTTGAGTATGGTGCGCTTTTGGACGACGATGTTTCGTGGATGACGAGATTTTGTTTGGATTGACGAATGTTGGGCACAAAACTAGTAGTCTCGAATAAGTCTCAAGTACTGAGATTCTCTGCTGAAATAATATGAGACCTTTGGTCTGACAAGACAAAACGAGATGGGACTTAGCAATTCTTTATCGCGCCCATCACTACATGTAGTTGGTGCTTATCGGAATGCATTACTGGGCCACGGTTGAGATATGGAGACGAGATTAAGACTGGAATTAAGGTCCCTAGATATAGAGATAGGAAATCTTATCTTCTTTTGTTGAAGATGCTGTTCCTGCTTGATACGTTGTGGGTTTTGGTGTGCGGTAGAGCTTTGGAGTTAGTTCACCTCATTCTATCACTTTGAAATTTTCTGATTCGCAGAGAACTATACAGTTCGCTACTCTTGCTGGTGACTGCTTGATAATTGATTTGTTACATACTCTTAAGAATGATTATTGATTAATTGACAGGAGGTTTAGTAATTACATGTAGAAACGCATATGTGTTTGGCTAAAAGATACAGAAAGCCAGACATGCGGTATATACTCCTTAAAAGCCTATAGCGAGATGTAGTATCACGCATAGCTATAAAAGCCAATGCCAGATAGAAAGAGCACCCCCAAATCTATGACATATGAAGCAGACAAATGGAACCTTCCATATATCAAAACTCATCGCTCCTTTAAAAGGAAAGCGAATTGAAAAAGACCCCCTCTCTTTTATTCCTCCTAAACGATAACAGTGCTCTCCCCCGCCTTGACATCTCCCCAAATCTCGAGCATGCGCTCCCCCCTCGGGTCGATCCTGCTGGTTCGATCTCCAATGATGTATGACATACTGTCAGTGACCGACAGCTCTCTATTCATCCTTCCTCCTCTACCGCTGCGACCATAGCGGTCGACAGACTCATCCATGAACTCTCTGTAGTTTCCCTGAAACCCTTCCTGGCGTACACTCTTTTTTTCCGAGAGGTTATCGACTGAACCCTCCTTCTCAACTCCGCTAACGGTAATATCAGGAGCCTCGTCACCGGTGGTGTTAGAAGGCGTAGTATCAATTTTGCTCTCCGGCGTAGACTTCGCATCCTCAATGTGGTCGCCGCCGGGGTGAATACTTGATACCCAGCTTAGAGTTCGAATATGAGCTTTTGTAGGGCCCTTTGAGGCAAGGCTAATTGTGGAGCACTCATGGGAGGAGATGACGTGGAGATCTTTGCAGGCTGGTGAACGGATAAGGCGTTGGCCACTGTTCGGGGTCATTGGGAGCTTGACAGGCACTGTTGGAGTAGCGAGGTTTTCATTCTGCACCCCACTACCCGTCGGAGTCGATGGACGAGAACTAGCAACAGTAGCAGCAGCAAGCAAGAGATCACCGAATTCAGTTGAATCCAAGATCGGGAGAATTGGTGGGCGATCCGAGACCAAACTTGCTGCCGGAGGGCGAGTCCAATTCAAAGACTTCCACGTACCCAATGCCTTAGCACTACCGCCACTTCCAACAGACTCCCTCAAACTCTCAACCGAACGTCCAGCCGATTGTCTGACGTCGAGAAGACTCTGGGAGACACGTGGATTGAGGGTTGCCCTGCTCTTCTGGGGATTGAGGACAGAGGAAAGACGTCTGCGCCATGGCAGGGATGGGGGCATCGGCAACGGCTTATTAAGATTAAGATTAACTTTACTACCGTTTAGAGTAATCCCTGTCGTTGTAGCATTGGTGCGAACGCTATCCATGCCTTGATCGGGAAGGTTTGCCAAGGTTTTCAGAACTCTTGACTTGGATAACGACGAGGCACCCATGGATGTAGATGGGGCAGAAATAGAGGGGGCAACCATGGATGGAGCGGCCACAGAAGGAACAACTGTAGACCGGCCAGTTCTAACTGAATCCCCGCCAACCGTTGTGAGGCCTGGGCGAGTCCGCCCGGCCATCATAATCTCGGGCCGCCTTGTCATGCTAGCGTTGGGGTCAAGGTGGGAATTGTAAGAGTGATGACGATAGCTCATACTTTCGTCTTTGTCACCCTTCTTTATTTCTTCTTCTCCTACTTCGCTACTGTCGTTTTCTTTTTTGGCGCGTTTATGGTCGGGGGTAAAAAAAGCGTCAAAGCCCTCAAAGCTAGATGCGAACGAGGGTTGTGCACGAAGGGGGAGATGATAAGTGGGTAAGGTAGGTAGCGAATGACGGCGACTGTAGACTTGTGTAGAGTGGTCTTCGTGATAGTTCGCTTCAGGAATGTGATTACGGAAATCGGGGATTGCAGAATGACGTCGCGCGTCTTGTGGGATGATGCTGATGCTATTTTCGTCGATGATCGGAAGGGATCCAAAGGTGGGGATGCGTGCGTTTGCAGAGCGTTCAACTTCGGATTCTGAATCTGGCTCAGTTACTTCTGTGACTGTAGTCAGTGCAGAGTTCAGGCCTGCCGCACCACCTTGCGTTAGACAAAACCCCACGCAATAATCGCATAAAAAAAAAAATAAAAAAAAAGGATTCATACGGAAGTTGATGGACTCTTCTGTGGTATCGTTTGATTTGTTTGCAAAATTGTTTTCTCCTGCAGTGCGGATTACTCTCGATGGTGTTTTGGCAACTGGAGCTGTAACCTCTTCGTTGACGATGACGGCGCGGGTATTGAGTGGAGGAGGTTTACTGTAGGTGGGGGTCAAGTCGCGTTCTTCGGTCTTTTTCAGCCTTTTCTTGCCTTTAGCCCTGCTACCGCAGGGGAAGCACTTGCTGAAACCGGTGTTTGGAGTAGAGGTGGGTCGGACTTTAGAAAGTTTGGTAGTAACGCCCATCTTTTCAGTCACGGAAGAGATTGGGGGGTTCTAGATGGATGGAAATGGTTGGTGTGATGAGATAGGGTGATGCTTTGGTGGGGTTAGAGGTTTGTTTTGATGAGGTTGTGGGAGCGGGTGAAAGTGTGAAGTGAAAATTTCCTATTGACGTCGAGGTGGGCAGGAAGAAAGTGGTCTGATTCAACAACAATAGCTGCGGGATCTCCAACCACGCTGAGTATGCCCAGGCCGCGAAACTTATGGCTAGCGAGTAGTCCGTTGACATCTTCTGATGTATCAAAATAGATTTTGTCCCCATTTTGACGGAAAATGTATCTAAATTTTTCGATGAAGGTGCTGAGGTGAATGGAGATGATGGGATGAGCGAGAGTGATAAGTATATGGAGAGGATCCATTTTTTCAATGATTAAAGGTGTTTTGTTCACCTTTTCCATGTAGAATCTTGAAAGATTAATCTGTCATGTATACATTGAAGCTGTCCCGTACACCTATATGTATTCGTCGTCCATTAGGAACATTTGCCGTCTTTTTCTCAAGCGCATACTGCATATCCCGGCCCGTGGCGCAACGTACACGACGCTCTCCTAGAACAGATTTGTCTGATGTTAATACAAAATAATGGCTTCTTGTCTTTGTTGCAATCCATCCATCTCCGCTCGATAGCGTAAGATTCCCATCAACAATTCATCTTTGGTATCATCCCGATCACTACATGTTAAATTCACGTATAAATAGCCATCATGAACGGGGAAAAAACAGACTCAAGGACAATACGTGCTGCTGCAGGAACTATATCGGTGTATCTATTGATTCATGTTCAGCTCACCTCCGTCCGACCTTGCCCGCACTTCTACTTTTCTCCGTGCTTGTGCCTATATCATGGACCCCGTGCGGACTCTTCAGACATCGACATGAGCGCTTAATCAGGAAGCCACGGCCCAAAGTCATCTTTCGTCTGGCCCACATTTCTTCGCTCTAAATTTGGGTAAGGGTTAGCCGGTAAGGATACAACTGTACAATCCCAGAATTTATTAATGAAGAAGTGCAAAACTTACTCTAACCCATAGCCACAACGCTTATACACGACTCTGTGGCCTCTTCTTCAAAGTATTTAGCGAATCAATTGGCAGCCAATTGCCAGAGTGGCATTATCTACGCTTTTTGGTTAGTCCACGTTAATATCTGTAGCATTCTGTGTGCTTTCTCGCTCAAATATATCATAGCTTCCTAATATTCACTGCTGTCAGCAGGTTTGGCGAGCTTTTTGTTTCCAAGGACTCTCTCTCACTCGCCGGAGACAAGTGGCCACAGGGACCTATTACTCATTCGCCTTGTACACTCTCTATCACACTGCAAGAAAGACATCGTAATGGCTATATCTCACTCTGAACCTCCATCTCGTTGGGTCCTTACCATAGTGGCCGTTAGGAACTATTGGATCTGGGCTGCTATCTCTGCAATAAAACGAATTGCCTTTTCCCCATCCGTTCATCGGTATAGAAGTAACCATACGACTGCCTACTTCATCATCTCTGTTCATCTTCACAGAAATAGAGGCTATAGGCGATGAGATTGGAGTACTCACGACATAAGACTCTATACACCGGATTCAATTCATTGGTATCCGGGGATCTTTCATTGCCGATGGTAGTCCATACTGCTTTTCTGCTTGCTATAGAGTTCCTCTCTTTATATAAAGAAAGGGCATATTCTTCTGTGCGAAGGCTGTTCTTGTCGGTGCGGTCTGATGTTAAGGAGGAAGAAGAGTAGCGGGATTGCGACAGTGAGTAACCAGTGTGGCTTAGAAGTCTATTCTTGAATAAAACCTGACTATATAGCCATAACGTTAGGCCAGCTCAATCAAGCGTCATCGTCTTTCTTCGGGGCAAGGAGCATGTCTCCTCACCGCTCTGTTTCTCGAATCATCTATGAGGGAGCAGAGGTGGAATGCCTACTTACGTTAACATGCTTGTGACGCTGTATTAGATGACGGTGACTACACATGGAAGAAACCTCCTGCTCAGGAAACATGTTACTCTCTGGGAGATCGGGACAGAATGAACACCATGGAGCAGGGAGACGTGAAAAACTCACTTTCTCAATCGTAGGATGCGGGAAATGTGAGGCAGCTGGTAATTACCTCGAGGTAATAGTACTCCTCTGCTTAGAGTCAAGTTGGGGACTGTTAGGCACAATAAATCTGGCAGACCTCTTGCCAAATACTGCTCGAAGGGAGGAGTGATTAAAGAAAAAATAATATAAAGGAGAAATCAGTCTTACAAAGCAGACCTATTAAAAAAAAGAAACTCTTCTTCGTCGAAAAAGACGAGTAAAGAGAATTGGGCAGATCTAGTGGGGAGAAATAAAAAAGAACACTACTTCCTTCCTCGTCCGAAGAAAAAGGACAAAAAAGAATATATTTACTTCGAGTTGGGTACTTTGGGGACTAAATGGAAGAGGAGCAATAGGATACAGAAAGGGAAGGGCTGGAGATAACGAGATATAGAAACATGAAACTGCGCAAAGAAAAAAGAAGGAAAAACAAGAAAAGTAAGGAAAGTAAGAGGAATAAGAAGAAGAATAAAACAAAGTACCTCCGGACTCCGACAAAAACATGAGATCATTTCACAACAGGACGAAACATGTAAAGAAAGAAAAAATAAAGAAAAAAAAAGTAGGAAAACCACGGGTACAAACAACCGCACAAAAAAAATGAAAAACATCCCTCCAGCGGGAGCGATTCCAGAAAACAATCGCACAAGAAAAAGAGGGGACAAAACCCTCTCGAGAAGATTCCTCGTGGAAAATATCCTCGCATAAAAGCCCCCAGAGTCGAACAAAAAAGCCCTCAAAACCCATAGCTAAAAAGTCACAAAAGAGGCACGCTCAGAGTGTAGTTTTCTGTTAAAATTGGCCACACATCCCACCACTACGCCCCCTATACCATTACAGTTTCAGGGGCGTGTCTGTGTGTGTAAAAGGGATCGGCTTTGCCACATACTCATCATCGCGTGCCAGTTAGCCGACTTTAAAAAGGTTTAAAAAATAAAACACTGCACAAAATCAGGAGGGAGTAACTTCTCTGGCCCACACATCTTGTGTGGTGGTTAATGGCCATGATGATTATGGACATCGAGGTGTTTGGTGGGTTTATTCCAGCCTTTCGACGCGCCGCTGATGGATGAGTAGGAGTTTAAAAGGGCTGTGCGATGGGCTTTTTGAAGATGAAGAAGGGGAGCGCATACAATTTTTCCGCAGTACGCGGGCTGGGCGTTTCTTTCTATGCGGCGGTGATGGGTTTGTGCGGTCGATGGTTTTCGGTGGAGCTGTAGGAGTTAATGGAAGAGTGAAGACGAGAGAAGGAGGAAAAAAGGATGGGAAAAAAAGGATCGAACGAGACAGAGCGGTGGGCAGCAGCGGCACGTCCCTTTCCAACTTCTTACTTCCCCATTCCACTTCTTAGTTCCCTATTTCACTTCTTGCTTCTTATCCCAGTAACCCCATTCTATGACTAACCCCCTTGTGGTGACAGTAGGCTCTCCCACTTACCCTGGCTGTAGAAGCTAGTGTCTCCCAAAATCCCATGCATCGTGGGCATTCATTCCAACATTACGAATAATACGTGAATCGATGTAGTTCCTACCATTTTTAGCTAAGGTGATAAGACCGTCTTCTGTATGTACAATTCTCGAGTGATGACTCGTGATGCAATGATAATTTTACATCTTTTAGGATTCGGAGGTGAGATTGGGTTTTCATTTACAGGGAGGAAGGTACTGGTAAGAGATTGACTTCTATAGACGTGTAGTATATTCTGGGGTGTTGGTGGATGCTCATTACGAAGCGTAGCCACCTGTAACTCTAAGTGTCAAGCTGGGTTCAGAAGCCCCCTAACAGTTAGGGACGAATGTGATTTTTTTCCAGCTTTGTCTACACACAAGAATCAACATGCACATTCTACCTAAATCCCGTGCTCTGCATGACATGACCTTCCACCACAATCCCTCTCCACAACAAACACCCGCAATGCCTAACGGCCGCCCTCCCAACCTCATGGCACCCGCCTCCCTTGATGCTGCCTCCCCAGTGCCCATGCACGCTCATGCCTCTCCCGGCCTCCTATCTAGCGATGCTGCAACCCGCCTGCACCAAACTGTGGAAGCCGACACCGATGCGCCCACGCACCCGCTGCGTCAGAAGACCTCCTCACTCCGTCTTGCGACTGCCGCTGCGCGGGGAATGGTCAAAGGACTGTTCAACATCGGCGGAAAGCTGTCTGCCGCAGGCTCAAGTGAACGTAGGTTCTTCACCAGTGAGCAGGAAGTAAGGAAGGGAAGCTGATATGGAGAGACAGATGCATCGCCCCCAAAGTCGCCGTCAACGACAAGTTTGGTTAGTGCCAATCTCAGTGTAGCTGAGTCCGAGGAGGACGAAGAGTACATCTACAACATCAATGCCGCAACAGGCCCACAGTTACTACCACCGTTGCAGGGTGGCCGCGGCCGCAGATTTAGGCCGGTGTTGAAGAGAAAGGTTTTGCCAGTGCAGTATACAGATTTCCCGCCGTTTGACCCCCCTGAAGGGAGTGAGAGAATGGTTGCGCCGGCGGACACGGGGACTCCATCGTCGAGTCGCAGCAGTAGTCGAGAGACTATCCTGAATGTGGGGCCGTTAGAAAGAAAGGGGAGTTGGCGGGGGAAGTACAACTATCGCAGGGTCAGGCAGATGAGGAGCGATACATCCGATTCGGGGAGGGACAATAGAAATACTCCTGGTATGTCCAGTTCCTACCCTCAGTTCTAGAGCCATACTGATAGTCACTCTCTTTAGTAAAAGTAGAACCAAAACTGGACAAGCAGGAGCAAGAACCACCAACATCCCCCGCGCCACAAGAGCTCCCCCAGAAAATCCCCGCAAGAACCCTCACCACCACAGAGATTGCCAGCCCCAATCCCTCCCCAGGCCGCAGAAGGAATGCTTCCAGTCACGTCTCATCAACCTCCCACGTAATGACAAATTCGCGCCAACGGCTCTCCTCCCCCTCTAGCATACTCATGCACGCACCTCCACCCTCACTCTGCGCCTCGATCTCTTCCCTCCAAACTGTCATCTACGAGTACGCCCCTTTAATGGATAACTCGTCATCCACATCCATAAGCAGCAATGGGCGCATCACCTCCCTCTCCCCGGTCACCTATAAGCTCTCCGACACTGATGGCTACGTTAGCTTCCCGCCCTTTGTCTCAAGAAACTATTTTTCCCGCGGCACCTCGCGGCTTGGAAGACTGTTGGGTGGAAACCGCAATGCGAGCACGTCGAGTTTGCCTGAGACTTTAGAGGATAATCAGAGTAGCTTTAGGAAGACACTCAGGTACTTGGAGCCATTGAGGAGGCGCTCTGGGAGTATTTCGACGTTTGGAACCAACTTTGATAACGCGTCGATTGCGGAGTCTATTGATAGGGTGTCCGTCATTGAGTCGAATGGGACATCGGCGTCGGGACGGTAAAGGCTGTGGTAGAGTGGTTTTGTTTGATTGGCTCCTCATGGTTTCAGATAGGAAGTGGGGAGCTGAATATGTCTAAATTTCAGGAGAAAAGATTCAAGTAACATTTGGAATACTTACATAGTTTAGGTACCAACTCTTGTAGTGAATATTAGTTTAGGATTCCAAAGATGATCTACTGAGACCGAAAATGATCGTTACAAGCTGAGGGTCTGTCAGTAGCTCAAGCAATAGATAGAACTTTGTGATGATGTGATGATGATAGGAAAAGAAGAGAGAAAGGAATGAAAATTCAAGTCTCGTGCCTGCATGCGATACGTGTCCCTATTCGCTTGCCCCTGAGTTTCCTCCGGCCAGCTATGCTTCATACCTAGTCTATATACTTATGTATACCAGCCTGGGTACAAATGTACACATCATACACCACGGTGTCTGTGGGAATTCACATAATATCATTATGTTACTCTCAAGTTCTCATGATTATCATGCAAAAGGTAATGCCACAGTCATTTACTATGCCCGTACTGTGAATAGACATGTAGCGCTTTGTATTATCTCATTTCCACGAGTTCCATGATAATAAAAAGTACTAATAAGTTAAATTACATAAAGATAACATTGCTCACTCCTTCAGCTTCTCGATAAAGTCTAATCCCAACCGTACAAGCACCCGAGTGATAGTCCATGACCGAGCGAGTGATATATGATGATCAGACGCTCGGTAAAGGCCCGAGAAGAGGCTCCAAACAAAAGCTCTGTTGTTCAACTATAGCGATACTTCATCATATCATTGTGGTAGTAATGGTTTCGAACAAGATTCCACACTGCGGGATATCATGAAAACAATTTTTCTCTTTTAATTTTCAACATCTCAAACCACATAATAACAGTACTTCCGTCGATGAGCAACGCCTAGATACTCAATCTCAACACACCAGTGGCACCACAGAATACGAATACTGCGCTCATGAGAGCACCACTATCAACCTGACACTTGAAACTCGCTTCACTATAAGAAGAACCTCCTATATCTCATACCAACCCAAATCCATCACCTACATCCACCTCCTCATACTCAATGGCAGACACCAAACCCCTAGCAGAAATCACAGCCGAAATCGCCTACCTTATTCAATCCATTCGGAACCTCACAAATTCCGAGTTATCCCTTTGTCAATACCTTCGCATCATTATAACCCGTCATAGGTCCATTATCGGGACACTACTTCAGTGCACACCGAAGACATTCCAGAATGATGTATTGATGGAGCTAATTACGACGTCGCGGGCGAGTCATGCGAAGGAGTTGGGAGTGATAATACGCCTGTTGGAGAATTATAGAGAGGATATGGGAACTACATATGACAGGATTCGAGAGTTAGAGAATGCAAATTGCGTTATTATTAGAGCGCGGTATTAGGGACAGTCCAGAGAGAGAGCTGAAGAAGAGTTGATATTTAGACGTGTAGACCTTTTTTTCGCGGAGCTAGTGGGGTATATTTCTTTTGGCTTGCTAATATAGTTTCTAGTTATAACGCCGGTGCGCTTCGGATGGCAGCACCTAAAGGAATTGACGACCATCGATCGAGTTCAAAATATCAGAGCTACTGTAGCCAATATGCATATTTAGGAATCAGAATGAATGATCGATATAATAAGTCTCAAACTAGAAGGAGGTTGGATCCAGCCCCGAAATAGGTTCATGAGCATTTCCCGTAAAAGTCATAGTTAACAATTGACCCACACACCCAGGATTTGAGACTCAAATACAGCACTCCATCAACTTGAGATTCTTCTCCCCTGTCTTTCTTTAATAACAAAGGTACTGGTGCTATGTGACAAAATGTGGCCTTGGTGTCTACGCACTCTTAAGACCAGGGTGGTGGAAAACAATAAAGCCTGGAATCCTATAAGATCTTTTGTTATTTTATAAGTATTCTCAAACCAAGCTAGCAGTCCTCTCATCTCTCTTTCAGATCTCTCTCTGTTTTCCGGTAAGTTGACTTTAATTGCCAATGGAGCAAGTCCTGGAGTCATCACAACACTTATTTGGTCTGTTTTATACCGTATTTGAAAACCAGGATAACGCCAGAATTTATTTTTTAACTGACTTCATGACAACTCTGCTGATTACAGAGAATCCCCTAATATGGCTTACCATAGTATACTCTGCTTCCGAGCTTCGGTTTCTGAAGTTGTAGACCCAACACAGAAAACCAAAACCATCAACCAAAATATGCATCCATCGGGGGCCATTCCCATATCCGCCTCAATGGATGGTCCTGCACGAAGTACAGATATAGAACAAAGCCTATATGTGCATTCACCAAATTAGCAACTGCACTTGTGACCTCTCTAAATATTCCTTTTCCTTCCTGAGGCCTCCTCTCATTAGAAATCGATGGAAACTCACCATAGTAGTCCCCGTCTCTTTATCATGTCTCTGGAAAAGTACAGCCTGATCCTCACCACAGTGAGAGCAAAGCTTCTCCGTCCTAGGCATCTATCACATCTCCCATCAGCGCTCTTCCCCACAGAACTATAAAACCTCTTCAGTGATGAATACTAACAGTAGGGTCCTCAACAATATCAGAATTGAACTCTGCCTCTACAGGTTTGTTGTAAGTCCGTCTAAAGATACAGTTACCCTTCGCAGGTTCGCTGACATTACACGAGCGGCACTTGTACTGAAGGGTGCGGGTGATGTTACACTGATAGAGTGTTAGTGTTTGGTAATGTGAGACAGGAGGGCGGTTGATAAAGGAAGGATGGAAATAGAGGTAAAGGATGCAGTTTAAAAGGCGAAGGATGATAAATACGTGATATGGGTACTGTAAGTTGCTACTTTAAGGATATTAGCATACTCCTACTTTGGCAGGTAATTCTTCAATGAGGAAAGGACGTACCATTCTCTACAGAAGCTGAAACTTATAGCAGGCTGCTTCTTATGCACTACCTCTGCACGGCTAGACGGTGGGGGAGATGGAGACGGAGTCCAATTGAAATTCATGGGGGAGTCCATGATGTTTGAGCTTATTGTGAGTTTGATTGAAATTGGGTTATCTTTCACAGTTTGTGAAGTGGTGGAGAGTTGAGGTGTGGAGGTGTTGGAGGTGTTGATGAGATGTCGAGATGGTCAAGTTGAGTTAAAGGTGGGATGTTGGCGGTGTTTGTGAGCGGGTACTTGCTGTAACTTGCATACATGTATATGATGGATTTTCGTCCTTTCAACAAAATGGTATATAATCTATTTTAGTTTATTATTTATATACTTTATTAGAAGTTGTACTATTGTGTCACTATTTCTCGCTCAGAATCTCGCTCCTATTCATTAACTAGCTGCAATTGACTCCGTGATATATTATTATCCTTCTCAGACTTCGATTAGTAAATGGAGAGAGAAATCATAAAAGAAATATAACTTTCTTCAACTGAGTATAAAGGAAATATTTTCCTGCGAACTCTTTTTCTCGCCCTGTACTTTATATTATACTAGGTCAACGGGCCTTCATGATCCTAAGTTACAATACTAAAAATAAGGCGCAAGTAAAAAAAGATTTAAAAGATGTAATGTTTTTTTTTTTAAGGAAAAAGCAAGTAGGCTATACAGGAGGATCTAAATAACATAGCAAAATCATGGTGAACTTTATACAAGGAGTTCATCCATTGAACGCAAACATGAATCAACAGACGCCTCTACGCATTACCAACGTTGACAAGAATTGGGTGGAGCATTACCCAGCAACGCAAAACTCATAGCCATTTTCTTTCTTCAAATTAACGTCTCAGACTGGGCAAAACTCATCCTCCTCGAAATCCATCCACCTCTCCATCTTAGCCTCGTAGGGGGTAGACTCAAGAAGCGCGAACTCCTGCTCGACCTTCGCCTTGATTCTCTCCCTCTTTTGTTCCTGTTCATCCTCATAATCCACGCGATTTCCATGCTGGTCGGCTTCGGAGTATGAGCTCTGTCCATTACCACCCACGCTATCTCCTCCATTAAAGAAGGGAGAGGGAGCTTGCAAAGACGGGCCATTGTGGTAATCGGCAGTACGTTGCTGACGCCTAGCCAGTCTCTTTCCACCGGACCCTGGCATGGGGGTGGGCGAGGCTGGAACACTGCCGTTGACGTTATTGCTCTGGGACTCATGGGTTTTGGTGGCCGAGTACTTCGAACGCTGTTGCTGTTTTTGACCACGAGGATCGGTATTCTCACTCGGTGGCTGAAATCAGGCGTTAGTTCAACAATTATAGATTATAGAGAAGGTTTGATGGAAGGCCAATCCAATTAAAGATCAGATCCACAGAGAAGGTAAGGCTGAGAGCGTTATAGTGAGAATGAAAATAGTACTTACTGTATTATAAATCGCCTGCGGATGCTGAAAGTGATAACTCCCCACTCTGTTTACCATCTGGGCCTGGCCTATGACAGAATTTCGGGATGGGGTGTAGGGAACCTCGTAGCCATGAGCGGACGGATTCATCCTCGTGATGTAACTTCCAGGAGGTGGGTGGACAGCAGATGGGTGATTGACTTGTTGATGAGAATAGGAGAATGGAGCAGCTCCATAGTAAGGTCTTTCCTGTCCATGAAGACTGAATTGTCTCCCAGCAGAAACCACCCCAGGTTGTTGATGGGGCCAGAGTGAGATACCACCTTGGTTGACGTTGGTGTGAGAAATATTTCCATGATGAATACCTCCAGGAGGCATGCCCCCATGAGCCAAACTTCCTTGAGGAATGCTTCCATGAGACATTCCTCCATGGGACATGCTACCATTAGGCATGCTTCCATGAGACATACCCGCATGAGACATGTTTCCGTGAACAATGTTTCCGTGAGACATCCCTCCGTAAGGAATACCCCCGTGATGGCTCTGATCAACTGGAAGCCATTGACCACCCTGTACTGGATTCTCACCAGCTGACAGGTTCCCGGCCTGGGCTGGCTGGGCTGACTGGACGGGCTGACTGGCGTATGGGGCACCGGGGTGGAACTCGAGGCTTGGTCTAAACTCCATCTCGTTTGGGTAGGAAAGGTCTTCGAATCGAGTACGCTGGGTGTTCTGTGAAGTTTGGTAATGAGAGGTGGACACCTGATAGAGAGGGTTATCAGTTCTGGTGGTTGGAAAATTTGAGAAGAGGTGTTGGACGGGACCTTGTGGAGGCGATGTCGGAAGCTTCGGGGTGTAATTTAGCCTTGCTTTGACTTTTGTGTTTACTATAGAACCAGGTCCATTTCGCTTTCTTACTCTTAGCAGAGACTTTTGCCGGAATAGATGGGTTCTCTTGATCAATATTTTCGTTTTCAATTTCCGTTTCTCCCAATTCGCTTAACCCCTTCGATAGAGATAGGGCTCTGACCATGGCCGAGGACGAAGGTTCGGTATCCTGATTCGCGGTGGTGAGTCCATCGAGGGCTTTGGTAATGCTATCCCTAGCGTTAACTTTTTACAAAACAGGGCTGTACAGCGGAATTGATCCAAAGAGTATGATCCTCAAAAAAATGGCATTTACTCAGAACTTGGTGATAGAACCCACAATTACAAAGAAACCTTTTTGTTCTCAGATGAGGGAGGGTCTAAACAGTTGAAGTCTATATGTAACATACATACCTACTGCACTTGATGTTTCTCCATCTGCGCAGAATATCTACACTCTTGAACTAAACATCTATACTTGTAGCGGCTCTTGACATAAAGCTCTATTAAGACTCTCTATGATTATTTTCACAAACGTCACGTACAGCATAACATTGAGCAATGTGGTCCATGAAGTCAAGCCAAACAGGAAGCCACTCACTACACCCCATCCTCCTTGCTTCTGTATGGCTCTATGTCTTCGAAGAGAAACTTCACTCGAGGGCAACAACAGTTTTGAGCTCTAGGTAAATGTTTCGTTTATTACAGTTGACGGGTTGAGTATAAGCAATTAGCTATGCTAGCTTGATTTCATCGACAACGCCCTATTCGTCAGAAAAGAAAATATTCGGAGAGGACACAACTAGTACCAAACCATATATATATAAAAGTCTATGCAGGTAATCTCGCCGGAAAGTAACAGAACAGCTCAGAAATTAAGTCTTCTCTAACCGATGTACTTAGTGTAAGAACACTACTAGATAGAGGACCGGTGGTAATGCTAGGAAGATCAAATGTGTAAGGTAAGATATCACAAGAACATGAGAAAAGATTCCTGCAATGACGGCTTTTTCTATTCCTTAAGGTATTTTCCACTGTGACAAGACTAAATGTGTGTTACTCTTAATCAGAGGAAACCCTCCATGCACTCCCATGTCGCACACACCCTTATTTCCATCCCAAAACCAACTATCTTATTCGACGAACTTGATAAACCCCAGCCATATTTTTACTCATACTATCAGTGAATTTCTTTGCCTAAATATTTGAGTGTCGACAGATTTAGAAGGCTTGGGCCACACGTGGGGGTTCGCATCTATCCAATATAAAAACACAATTAGCATTTGATTAGCCTAATCTTTGGAAGTAGGAACTCACGGATCAACTCCGTACCAGATGGTACACTTATCAAACTCGGCTTCAGATTTCATAAAGTCGACGGCGTGAATCGCCACGAGGATGTCGGTGTAAATGATCGTGATCTCCCAACGGCCATTAACATATCCGATTTGGACGCTTTCAACGTCTCCAATAGCATCGGTTCCCATGAGATACTTTGCAAAATCCCACGTTTCCGCTCTAATGTGACGCTCCTTGTCCTCCGTAAGATTAAGAAGATTTTGTATGTTCTTGCTGAAAAGCCCTCTGATAACAATGCAACGAGTAATGTCATCCGCCCTAATACGTTCCGAGACGCGGTAATCGAGTTCTTCAATTGGCCAATTGTACTTCACATCGATGAGCGTAGACCTAGCACGTTTGTAATTGCTATCGGCAACTGGGTAAGTGATGTGCGATTGGGCGAGTTCCATAAGACGGCCCGCCCCCTCCTCCTCGAGGAACCAGACCTTTGCGTAATTTTTGGTTTTGCATATCTCGATCTTTTCCAACTTTCCCGTATTCTTGCAGACTCTAGAGATTTCGGAAAGGGTTGGCTCGTGCTTAAGATCAATAATCACCGCACGCTTGGTCTTCATACTTGGGCGGTTAAGCCAGAGGTTTGTTTCAACGGGAACCACTCGATTTCCATGAATATCAAAATCTTCAGGATCTTCAACCACAGCACGTTGATCATCATCCCGCACGCGGTCTCGGCCAACGACATCACTCCCTAGCTCAACAACAGCGGGCACCACAACCCTAACGACGGATTTTGCTGGAGCACTATTTTTAGTCTTAGGGAAATCACGAGAAAAGATTGACTTGAATCTCTCGGTCTTTGATCTTTTGGTGACGGTGGTTTCAGGCTTTTTGGCGCCAAGTAAATTAGCATATCTGTAAATACATGTAGATGAACCAGGAAAAGCTGTAAATACATACCAAAGATACCTTAGAAGCATCGAAAAATCGGCCATCCGCCAGATCATGGTCTGCTGTTGGGTAATTGACATTAAGGGAGATATGTCTCGGTATGCAGCTGGATGAGGCGTAGGCCGGCGCAGGAGCTACCTGTGGAGGGTTGTAGGGACCTGGAGGAGAGTAACTTTGTTTATCTTCACCGAAATCATTGGCCGAGCCCATTTCTTCTTGAGGTGGAACCGGATCCATGACGACTTTCAGATGGTGATAGAGGAAGAGTGATTGTGGTGGTGGTTGTTGTTGTTCGTTTGTGGTTGTCAGGTCTGGGTGAATGCGAAACTCTGAATCGGGCTTTTGTGTTGAGCTGTGAGCAACTACACGGCACCCTCCCCACGGGAGTTTTCTTTCACACGGACAATATTCTGACTAACACCGCCATTGAAGCGCCTATCGTCAGAACAGTATATGCCATTTCCTATATACATGAAGGTCTTGAACACCTAACGAACTTTATAATGAGTAATACATTGTTTCGAGATTAATTCTGCTACTAGTACATGTTCAGAGCCTAAAGCTGATTTTGAACCCTTTAGTGACATGACACTTACCGTCCTCCCCTTTTTCTTGGGGGCAAGGGGAAGTTGTTTGCGACACCTAGAGTCCTAGTCACTAGCAACGTTTTCACTCTTCTAAAATATATTGTCAGCGCAATCTTTCTTCACTGCTTAACGAAAAGGAATTCAGCAAAAGGTCTATTCAAACCTCAGTTCCCTTAACAGTATTTGTTTTGGCTGCATATGCGAGAACTGCGCCAACCCTCCACTTTTGCCAAAACTTTTTTTTCTTCTTTGGTGCCTCTTTCTTTTCCGGAATTCTTTGCGGCATGTTGTCTTCACTAGAAGACGAGTTTCTTCTTCGAACAGGCCTCCTACCATTGACAAGTAGAGAGCGATAATGGGTCTCGGGCCTAGGTGGCAGCCTCTCGGCCATTGGCTTCTTGACCTTTTTCCTGCGACTTCCACCAAGAAACGAATCGATTTCGCTTCCAGACTCGTGTTCACTCCATGATACACCATCAGAGGAGGACTCATACGGACCGTCATAAAGGATACCATCCTCTATGATATCGCCGAAAGGATCTGGGCCTTCAAACCAAGGTCCGTGCTTTCCTTCATGATCAGATGGGTCACGGAACTGAGCATTGTCTGTCTGGGAACTTTGGGAATTGGGGCGCATTTCTTCTCCATGTGGATCCTTCTCTGGTGGGTTAAAACCCTCGTCAAACCGGTTACTTTCGGAGTGGAAGTTAACCTTGGAGAGATTGTTTCCTCCACTATCTTTTGGCCCGTTAATCATTCTCTCCTCGAGTGCCCCCGAAGACCCATCGCGCGCGCCAGCTGGTCCGGTGGGCCATGTCCCATGGTTGCTATTATCTGTAATGCAGAAGCTCATTTCGGAGTCGTCGCTGCTGTCATCCTCCTTTTCGTCTGAGCCAAGCAATATTTCTTTGCTCCCAATATTCCCTTTTTTATACATTGTTGTTTCTTTTTTACTTATCTTCTTGTTTCTACAAGCAATTAGTAGGGAATGATCGAGATGCAGGTTCTGAGGCGGCACAAGAGCAGGGATCATCGGCACTTAGAAGTTTAGCTTACTTTGATGGATCCGGATACATGTAGTTGTACGTATATGTTTTTCTGCTTTATGATTTTTTTCTACTCGCTCACTCCCAGATTGTGTTTCTAATCCTCGTCGTCAGCGCACTCATACATAGACCTAATTAAAGCTGGCAAAGAAAACCCACCTTGAGGTCTTCAAAGATTGGGAGTTATGATCTGGAGCTCTACAAGCCACTAATCTTCCTACAAACTTCCGTTTCTAAACGTGAAAGATCCCTCGAACCCCTGGGGATAGTAATTATCACCGTTTGGAATAAAATCCCCTTCGAATTCTGGATAATGAATTAAACCTCCTGGACGAGGGCCGCCGATGATGGTTGGTCCTTGAAAGTTGGCCCTAAGAGTCCGACGACTAGGCGGGATCGGTAGTGGGCTAGGCGAAGGTGGTGGACCAGGCGAAGGAGCCGGAGCAGGCGAATTAACGGGACTTGGAGTGCGAGCAGTAATGTGAATCACACGAGTAGGATGACGCGAAGAAGACGGAACAAGACCCGAACTAGAAGGGATAAGTCGAGGCAGAGAACGCCCAGGCGTCTGAGTATGACTGAACGTCTGAGTAGGACCAGACCAACGATCGGGACTAGGTCTACGGGCAGGACTAGTCCCAGGCCTACCTGAAAAACTAGTCGGAAGAGTAACTACGGTGGAGGTGAAGAGATCGAAGAGTCCAGCAGGAATGAACCAGCATAGGACACTCTTGAAAACCTTGAGCCGGTTCAATAGCCTCGCTGGTGCTTTGAAATACCACTGCAGGAAATCACGTTAGAATGAGTTATGGGAAATTAATTATAAGATTATGAGCCGAGACCGTATCAACAGGATGAGCTGAATCATGAGAAAAGCGAAGAAGAGTATGGAAGTCGACTAGAAACATACCCAGATGCTTTTGAATACTGGTCTAAGATGCATCAACTGTTGAATTGAATTTTCCACCTCGGATAGCACTCTCGACAATCAGAAGGAGATACTATTCTATACTAACATTAGCATCGATATTGGTACTACATACACGGATGCACACACACAACACGCGTCCGAGAACTCACATTCAAGTTGGGGCTTAACAAAGGTTACTTTCAGAAACGCGTGATCAGCGGTGATGATCGATTACCAAGATACTAGACTCGAAGGCTTTCCGATGATCTACCGTAAGGTTAAATGGAAAAACGGTCAGAAGCGAGCGGGAACTTACATTGTACAAACAAAACAAGCAACTCACAGAAACGCGCGAGTTCGACGATTAACTTGGGCTGTTTTGTTCTAATTGAAGGCTAGAGACTTTTCACAATAGAAGGGTTAGATTTAACATGGCATCAGAAAGAAGGGTTTAATAACTTACGATAAGCAGTGCGATTTGTGAAAGCACAGGAGTATCGCTCTCTGAAGAAATATATCTATCCGCTTTTTAGAACTATTCAAAACGATAAAGTTGAGATTCTACGAGATCGTACACAAAAAGACCCAACGTCAAAATCCCTTCGATCGTATAAAATTCGATGAAACGCCTAAGAAAAGGATGTAGAAGAAGAAAGTTATGCATGTGATGGTGATAGCGATGGAGGGGTGCGGAGATGAAGAGATGTTGAGATGGAGAGATGTGGGGATGTGGGGATGTAGGGGGAGGGATGGTGGTAGGAGAGGGGCCTAGTCGAAAAAAAACAGAAGAAAAAACAGAAACAGACTTGATTAAGGTGAAATTTCTGTTCGATTATGTCGTCGAGTTCGCCCTGCCTACAACCTTAACCTCAGTAGTACCCAGCTGCTTCTCAAATATCCCAACCTTCCACCCATAACACTGTTCTAGCCTTGTCCAAGTAAACATACACTCCAAGCTCTGCATCACCGACTCTGGGTGTGGTCTCTTCACGACCATTGCTTCATTTCTAAGAAATTCAAAACTCTGACTTGCTAGTACCATCAAAATCTTTCCGTTGGGTTCCGCAGATATTGGCTCAGATTTCCGGATACAACGATCATTGCGATTTTCACGTGACCTGTCATTTTTGCTTCGAATACAACCATCACGAAGTTCACTTACCAACAACAACTAAATGTAAAAGAAGTTAAAAGATATTCATGCAGGCTATTATTCGTGGTTTGTTTGAATTCCCGTAATTTTATCCCACGATCTTAATAGTTTTCGTGGGGGGCATTTCCCGAACAGGCATTCCCACATACATCATTAATGGCCTTAAAAAAGTCGACGAAGGCGGTGGCTTTATGAACAATTTGGTCAGAATATGGGTCAATGCGTATTCACCTTCAAGTCCTACACTCACGCCCAGTGTATCGTCGTCTATCCAATAATCTCCATAAATCCCCAATTACAAAAGGTGGAGGAGTACGCAAATTTCAGCATGTTTGTATTGGCCTCCTACGTTATAGGAGTAATAACGCAAACAGTTGTCGACATATTTCGACAGTTCTACTATCGAGAACTTGAACTCTTTATCTGTTTGCGTAGATAAAACATAGGCCCACTTATTTGCATACACCGTATGATGTGAATGGAGCGACACAGACAGTCACTCGCTGCTCAAAACGAAGCCTTACCCAGTGTTTTAACGCCTTGGGACAACGGGACCGGGAAGCTGCACCGGGATCTCTCGGCCAATGGTACGGATGGCCTAATGGTGCAGTGGCATAATATTCTCTTACCTCCGGTGCCGCGGGTTTAGCCCTATTCGTACAGATAGAGCCCTTGATATTTGAATCAACAACGAAAAAAGATTATATGATTAGAGCTCGGTTTTTGGACGCTTAAGACTGCATAGAGCTTTGAAGCTTCCGTTTATAGATGAGATATCATCAAATTTACTCTGTTTGCATACAAGTTATGTAGTCCAACTTTATGCTGTGCATATACATGTATGTATTCATCGTACTCGTGACGTCTGCCACAATAAGCAGTACATGTACTTAGGGCTAGATCTGGACCCACCATCTCAACCTATAAGTACTAGGATCTCTTTCAAAGCTACTTTCCTTTTCTATCCTCCATCATAAAACATCAACGGACACAAATTTCAAACTTAAATTAAAATGAAATCCAAGAAAATCAACCCTACGTTTGGAGCCGGAGTGACCTGTTGAGTCTCAAAAAACCCCAAACTAATAAACACCATTGAGTTACAAAAACACTAACGGTTCATACTCAACTATTTAGTCAACGAGGGACTTGCTCATCTACGCACAAGACTACAGGAAGATCAGGCCCGCATTGCGTGAGTTCTTCTGACCTTGTCCGCTTGCGCTGATGTGTTGTACACTAACATTTCTCTCATATTTACAGCGCGTTAGAAGGTATCCTGGCCCGCCTTACTGCCGATGTTCAAGCGGCGAAGAGGAAGAAGGACGAGCTCGAGGAGGAGCTCAAGGAGGGCACCGCTAAGAAGATTTAAGCAACCCGAATTGTGAGGCCTGATCCCCAGTTAAGCTGGTAAAATGGGATGAGGCATGGGCATTAAGGAATGGCGGAGCCTGGTGTTTGGCTTTTAGTGTTTCTTTTCTTTCTTTTTCTTTGTATGGGGTGAGCTGAACATCAAATTTGTGCTCACTCATCAATCTGTTTCTCATCGTGAATTAAAACCAGTGAATGTGAATAAACCTGATTATGAAGTCTAGGTTCTTGCCTACTCTTGTGCCCATCAACTACGAGTAGCTTGCTGGTGAATTTAGAGTTCTTGTCCATTGCAAAATAAGCTCTGCTTCAAGTAAAATTACACAGCCTTCCTATTACTTTCAAAATCCTTATTTTTGTACCCTCCATGATGGAATAACGCTGGTAATGCATATTCAGAGTACTTATCACACGTAAGATCGAAAGTGCCCCGGTCCAGTACATATGACATTGTAGAAGCTCTTTTGATAGTTCTTGTAGCGTGCTAAGCTATATATCCCGGGATTTGGGCCTATAGGCAGCCCAAAAATCACTCTCCACAGCTTATCCTCCCTATATCATCAACTCTTCTTTTAACCCCGCCGCAATCTCTCATCCACATCATCCTCATACTGAGCAGCTACGATATTCTTCGAGTTTATAATTGTTTGGCATGACAGGGGACTAGGCATTTCAACATATATTTCCTTCAACGCAGCAAGAAACGAAAACGTCGAACTCAGTATACATTTCTGCGTCTCCGATACCACAGACTGCATAGCCGTATTGTTATCCAAAACTCACGCACATCTAATAGGCCAGATTTTAGTAAATAACTGAGTAGCAACTACACATAAATCTACAGCTCAAGACGGCGGTATGCTTCTTTTTCTTCCTCTAGTTATGTATAACTCGACATAGCACCACCATCCAGATACATTTGCCTCGAGACCCCACTTAGCCCCCATTAACGATTCCGACGGTGATCTCCTTGCTTGTTCATCAGTCAGCCATCCAAGCCTGACTGCTAACAGTTCTAGGTGTTGTGCAGAGGGGTCAGTGTCGGTTTGAACTCCGAGGCACAAAGATTCGGAGCCTTCTCAATGAAGAGCGAATACACCTCGCACTGGACAGATATAAAGCCATCTCATGGTGCTCAACCTCAACTCTCACTGCTCAGGTAGCAATTTCTGTTGATGTCTCCCCGAGTACACATCCTGCATGTGTCAAGAGCATTGAATCGGAAGATATAGATCATATTATATTGACCTTCCGACCGATTGACATGAACGGATATGAAAACGTTAACGGAGGATATTTTTAGTGGGAATATTTGTTACCGTGCGAATAGGTAAAGTAAAGGTTCCATATCCCATCCTGCGCCGATTTACCAGTACTCGTAAAGTCACATATCACTACCCGCAAGGAGAGGAAACGAGCTTTACCCCCACGGGCCCACTAGCTATGCCAATTACTCTAATGATATTGGCAAGATGAACAATTAAAGCTGTGACTTAAAACCTTTGCTTGACTACGGCAGTCTCGCCATACAACTGAATCATGAAGTTGTTCCCGACCGTCGGAATGATGCATGCGCCTAGGTCTAAGCAAGCAAGGCGGAATGGAATGATATGATTGGATCAAGATGAGCTTCTCAAGCTCTCGTGAGACGGAAAAACACATATTAAATCCCAGATCCTTCCATGTCCTTAACTCAAAAACGAGTTAAAGACTTGTGATAAAAATTGAATTCAACTGGCTAGCATGTCCGAGTAGGCCAAATACTTGTTTATTAGTTGATCTTTTTTCTCTAATTCTTTTATTATTCTAAATCAATCCTTCATTAATATATGCAGCTTTGAGCTGTCATGTGACAATAAAGATTTGAGACAAAGGTTTCTATTTTTGAGGTTTGGGTTTAAGGTTTCAACAAGAGCACCAGATGAACGAGTTTTCGAGTGCCAATAAAAGTACTAGGGATTAGGCGCTATGTACGAACTCCTAACCTCATTATCATTGATAAAAAATGTTTCAACTATCCCTCCGCTATAAACTTCGTGGATTTGTGAAACCTCGTAGCCACGCCTGATCTAAACGGCCTCCGACAAGTATAAATGCATGTTCTAATCACCACCTTCTTCCTTCCTCATATCACACCCGAATTCAAAACGGAGAAGACTCACTACACTCGCTTATCAAGTCAACTACATAATGCATCAAAGCACTTTACTCGCCGCTCTTCTCCTCCCCTTCGTGTCCCCCATGTTCCTCCATGACATGCTCTCCACCGCCACCTGCATCATGGATCCTGGGCACGATCCGCTTGTTGCGGACATCACCAAGATCATGGGTATGGATCTCTGCGAAAAAGATCCCCCCTTCCTTTCCGCTGCTGGCTCTGTCTGCAGGACAGTGTGGGCCTCTAATTCGGCGTTGATCAGAGTGTGTCCCCCCCCGATCAAAGGCAGCAGGTTCGAAAATGGCACTGTATATAGCTGCGGAGAAATATCCAAGGCTGTGAACCGATTGATGGTGGACTGTGTTAAGAATTCTGTTCAAGGGGTAGCCACCGGAGGGAGAATAGATTTGGTCCCCAGTACTCGGGGGTATGTCGTTGTCAGGAAGCCTGAGCCAAAGTAAATCACCGCTACGACTTCACCCAGCCTTTTTGGACGGTACCAACACATGTTTTATCATGATCAGATTTTTCTTTTGTTGCAATTTAGACTTTCTCTCATATTTCATGGAGATTCTACTATACCCTAGATCTAATAATGCCTGTTACTACAAACTACATCCTTCAAAATTTAGAACTTGTTTCTTCGACGGTGCGATATTGCCACCATGGCCATAGATCAAATCGTCTACCACTTGAAGCTCCACCGGTGGTTAACTTATAACTGACTTTAGCACTATGATTACTTAGGCGAAAGAGTTTTGCAATAGCTGAGCAAGTAGAGATACAGCAGTGGTATAGTCATGCAATTCTTTGAGGTTGAAAAACGTATCTTGATACATGTAGTTTATACTTTCGTGTCGTATATGTGGCGGTGGTGCCTCGACATGCACGTTGCAGCCTCTGGCCTAGTCTCGTACCCATCCCATACTCAAGCAGGAGGGCTGGGAACGAGCCTACCTCTGGTCTTACTACGCGGGGTTTCAAGTACATATATGTAGTCACAATACTGTGACAGATTTATAGTTTCTTGACCGAGTTTAATACCAAGCCAAGTGATCGAGTAGAAGCACTTTCAACTTCTAGCTATTGCATCGTGACATCCAGTCCCCCCCGCTTCAATGGGTCTTGGTTGAATTTTTCACAACTGTTGTCATGTCATTCAAAGCAAAGGCCTCGAGCAATATTAACAAACATGCACTTATATGTGTATAAGTACATGTAGGTATTTCTAATACATTGCATGTGCCAAGTAGCAAAGTTTATCTTACAGTGCCTTGGCGTGCAAGACTACAAACTTGAAAGTCAAATGATACCCCCCACATACAATCGCCTAGCCTAGTGCTAAAAACAAGCATACTAATCATAATCCCCAATTTAAACTAACGATAGGAATTCAGATTATTCTCAAGGCTAAATCTGATCTATGCAATAACGTCTTCAACCCCCCACAATCACCAAGATCTCGCAGTCTAAGAATATAGCCGCAAGTCCAGATAAGAATTTAAGCTTTCCCTTTCTACCGGCCACACTCATCTCATCGTCGACAAGCCCCATTCATTACCCGGTAACAGATTTGACTAACATAACTCCATCTTCACAGTTTGGGTTGGGGCCTAATTCGAGTTTAACCGGATCATGAGACCTCACTCGGGCCGGTTAAATCCAAAAAGGGACGCTGCTCTCGGGTTTATACACAACGAGAGAGATGGGGATGGATAAACGAGTATCGCGGGAATGATGAGGTCTCGTGAACATCTTTGCTCCGCTTTGGCTTTATCCAGACGAGACATTATGGCATGAAAGTGGAGAGCAGGGGAAGTAGAATCTCGATCGTGGAGCTCGTCGGTAGTTGTCTGTCGGTCGGAATCACATGGCAAAACTATACAGAGCAAATTGGTATTCTATTTATGCTAGGAACAGTGCAATGAAGTCACGGATCATCACTCGCGTCTCATGTCTCATGTCGATGTGGTTTTGTGAAACCCACATGTCTCACTCACAGTCGATCACTCGACTCCGGCTCAGCCCAAATATTCGTTAACCAGATCCAACAGATCTGCGTTTCTGGCCCTCTCTTCAGTGCACAACATTGCCTTTGGTAGTCCCACGTTTCCCTCGTCCTCTCCGTTAATCATTCTCCCTACTGCCACCCCACTCAACCAAGCATTTACCATCCCCTCCCCGCAATACCCCGCAGCTACCCACTCTTTGCCACCTTCAGGTCTCTCCCGCCTCCCCGTCATAGACATCGGAACAGGCCCAACCCAAGCCATCAAATCTGGCGTAAAACCCATAACACCAGTCCAAGCATCCTCCGTCATTGTCGCCCCATGCTTCCCAGTGACAGCACTAACAATACCAGCGAGATGGGCAGACGCGAAGATGTTCATATCCTCATCTGTAGCCCCAACCTCACCAAAACCGAAATTGCCGGTCTGGAACAGAGCTCCTCCGATCAATACCATGGTGTCTCCCTCTCCGTCTGAAGGTGGGACCTGCGTCACGTAATCGAATCCCTCGTTGTATGTAAAGCTGAAGGAGCGATCTTTATGCTCACCGAATGCACTGCCGCCCTGAGTTGGGCGTTGTGCTGTCATGTGTCCACGAACGGGGAAGATTAGGCCTCGGAGACCGGGGAGGAGGTGGGCTGCGTGGGCGTTTGTGGCGTGGACAACATGTTTGGCAAGGATGTTTCCGCGGGGAGTAGTGACGAGGTAGTGGGAAGGGTGGGACTCAGAGGTGGTGACAGAGAGGACCGGGGTAGAGGTATCGAGAGAAAAATGTGGGTGACTTGTAAGGAGACGGTGGAGGATGGAGGTTACAAAGCGGTAGGGCCAGAGGGCGCCGGCGGGGGAGGATATTGCACCACTGGCCGAAGGAAATGGATATAACTTATGAGGGTCAGCTAGTCCACCAACCCTTAATTTCTTCCAGGATAAAAGGTTTCTTGAGATGATGATACATGTATGGACGGTATAAGAAGATAAATAATTAATTCCTGGTGACCGCACGAGAAGGATATAATAACATAGGATATAGTGTGGGTAAAGAATAATTCCTCTCCACACCGATATAGAGAAGTCCACGGCATAACCCAGCAAAGAAACAAAAAATTTGTGACTGGTTGGAAATGATTATAATTGTAGGATTTTATGGTATCACATTTTGAAATAAATCAGGGTTCGGAACGTAAAACAGAATTGGAGAATGGTATATGACAGGGAAAATGTTCCAGAACGTACCTTTCTTGTTTCGTATCTCTCATGCAGCAACCATAACCCTCTCTGATCTTCAAAATCCCGAAGAAACAACCTCAGCTGATGCTTCATACCCTCCCAGGATTCCTCCTCAAAACATATATCTAGCGAATCACACTTCCTGATTTGACTATGTTTGAGCATTTCCTCGCCTTCTGCCTCAGCTACGGCGATCAATGCGTCTAGATGTGCAAGTCGGAAACGGATGATCTCCATGGCCATTTGCTTTCCGTGCTTTTTCTTCAAAGACTCGTATTCACTATATGCACCCTCCTTAATGTGGCCACCATTACGGCCAGTCGCTCCAGAACAAGCCTCTCGAGCATCTAACATCGCAACACTGAGAGGTTTTTCGGTTTTCTTCCCGTTGGGGGGTTCTAGAAGCGTCTTCGCGATAGCTGCACCTGTAATTCCTGATCCGATGATGACTACATCAACTTCAGACGGTAACTCATCAGACTGGTGCTGCGATACCACCGGATGTGGCTCCTGGAGCCAGAACGACTTTGTTGGATTTTCACATGGCTTTCCCGGGTCGGATTGGATACGTTTCACAACTGAAGCAATGGCCGAGCGAAGGGACCAGGAGAAGGCGATGAGGAGCTTGATAGTTGATACGACGCCTCCCATACCGGCGACAGAAGTGGGGCGGAGGAAACTCGGGGCTACTCACTCGTGTAGAAAGCCTTGAAGTCAAAGCTATCCTGTCGTATGCCGTACATACATGATGTCCCACAAGGGTTAGGGGCAATGTCGTCATTGCCTTACTTTATCAGGCAGGATAAGCGGGACGTATCCGGGTAACAATCCAACAACTGTCGAACCGGACGGAAGCCCGGCGGTTGTTTAGACTCGCATTGTTTAAAACGGACAGCGTTGTACCTTTTAGCCGGCAATGACTAGCCCGCAAGGACCTCTTTGCCACTTATCCGCCCGCAGCTGCAATGCCCCTCCTTTCCCTTTAGCTATCAAGATCGTCGGACACTAGAAAGCCAATACATCGTCACCACAGACAGGAACAGAATTGAGAAGAAGCTATGAGTTTCAAGCTGCTAAACCGTTTTGGTCGCCCAAGCTTCAATTCCTCCCGAATTGCTCACAGCGCTACTGGTAAATACCTCGCTAGCAGCCAGCTGGCCAGAAACCTATATCTACCTTCGAGGAGTCCCTCTTCTGTTCCTGTTCCTCTTCTCTCTTGTGCTCATCATCCGTGTTCCATTAATCCATCTACCCAAAAATCTCACCAATTTTCTACCTCTTATCATTTACAATCAGCTACAATGGTTGAGAAATACGTTCCCAAGGATGGAGACTCAGTCCTCCCTCTCTTTTCTTTGAAGGGCAGGACAGCTATCGTTACTGGCGCTGGTGCTGGAATTGGATTGGCCGTTGCTGATGCTCTTGCGGAGGCTGGTGCCAACGTTGCTATCTGGTACAACAGCAACAAGAAGGCCATTGAAAGAGCACAGGAAATTGCTGATAAGTGGGGAGTTACCTGTACGTGGACCATTATTGCCTCTTTCCACCATTATCAGCATTTTGTTTTGTCATAAACCTCCGTGCCTTTAATCCATTCTCCATTTAAGCAGCCAGAGCTCCGGCCTGGTACGCTTTTATCTATCTCTCTTTTCACTACCATCACCCGTGGAAGCTTCTCTCCTCGCAATTGAGACTCCCCCCACGACGGAACTCTACCGGAGCACCATCCCGCATTCCCTGCTTTCCCATCCCCCACCCAACCCTTAACCAGCGCTACCGCACAATCGTTTATCCGCTATCGCTCTACCCCGCCATTGTTCTAACCTCATTTAGGCAAGGCCTACCAGGTGAACGTCACCGACCAAGCCGAAGTTGCGAAATACACAGACTTGATTGCTGAGGAGTTCAATGGCCGCCTTGATATCTTTGTTGCCAATGCTGGTATTCCGTGGATCAAGGGTGCCATTCTCGATAACGGCGCAGAGGGAGTAAGTAGTGTGCAGTGGATCTAAGACTAGAAATATACTTACGGAAGAATAGCACGAACACTACCACAAGGTCATCTCTACCGATCTTGACAGCGTCTACTATTCCGCTTGGGCAGCCGGGAAGTGGTTCAAGAAGCAGGGCTCAGGATCATTTATCGCTACCGCTTCTATGAGTGGACACATCATCAACATTCCTCAACTGCAAACTACCTACAACGCAGCCAAGGCCGCGGTCATTCACTTCTGTAAGATCCCATGGCTTCCTTTCGATCGAGAAAGTAAAAAAGACTAATTTTCAAAAGGCAAGGGTCTTGCTGTTGAATGGGCCGGTTTCGCCAGAGCGAACACGATCTCCCCCGGTTATATTGCGACTGAGATTTCCGATTTCGTTCCTCAAGAGACCAAGGAGATCTGGAAGGAGAAGATTCCTCTCCAGTAAGCTTCATCCTTTTTCTTCCTCACGCCCTCGGACATATGCTAATATCCCCTAGCCGTGAGGGTCTTGCCAATGAGCTCAAAGGAGCTTACTTGTATCTCGCCTCTGATGCTGCGACATATACTACTGGTACCGACATCATCGTAGATGGGTATGTTTACTCCGCATCTTCCTACACTTGCGTACATTGGACTAATATAGTTGGTAATATTAGTGGATACGTTCTCCCGTAAATTCATAAGCTGGACTTAGATACGGATGTACTATTCAAACTTTAATGTTATATTAGAATTGGAAAGTCATAAGTAGAACTGAAATGAAATTACCCCGCTATTGGGGATTTTCAAAGTGCGTGTATGATTATGCAACATAGTGAGAAATGGTGAGATTTGAAGGTAGAAGGTATCCCTGAATGGAAGTTTGATCCTAAGCACGTTTTCTTCTGAGAACCTTGTTGGCTTCCGGAACAACTGTGTGTGGGGGGTCCCTGTAGTCGGGCGTGCAGATCGAGTATTTGTAATCTGATCATCCCCTGCAGCGCGGGGTCAATAAGTATGATGTGAGCACGTATAGATTGTTCGAATCGCGGCCTGCCGGTTCTCCTACATGCCAAGAATGGTGTCTTAATTTGGTTAGTGAGATATTTAACTGAGTACGAGTGATTAGATATGATTGTTGATAATACTGACTGCAACTGACTAGCTAGATTTCGCTAGATTCAATCGTAGTCGACTCTTGTGCCATGGTCTTCGAGAAGAATCCTCAAATCCTCCTAATACTCGAAGGAAAGCTTCCTATATCCAAGCGTAACGTCCGTGGGGGGAGTTGGTGGAGGGAAACGTGGATGGGATATGGTTGTAGAGGGAAAGTCTTTTATGGAAAATCGGGCCTGTGTTGGGGAGACAGAAGCAGTCTAAGGGTTGCTGGCGGGTAGCCACGTGTATGTACAGTCGGGGTACAGAAGTTTTGGTAACTTTTGGTTGCCGTTGCCCCATACAAAATCAGAAACACTCAAATCACGCGTACTCGGATGTCAAGGAGCTTGTCACTTGTCAGCGTGTCAGTTTGGGAAACTTGTCTGAACTCGTATACCTAGAGGTTGCGACGACGGTGATACATTACATAACATCTGCAACGTCGAAGTAAGCTGTGCATTTTCTGGATATGTCTTTACAAAACTAACACTCACACCAGAAAGAGTTTCTATCCAAGGTTTATTCACAGTACTCCGACTAGCTGCCAGAGGTGATCGCCAGATCTACAAACAAATGGCCTTGCCAAACAAGATGATACAAATAGTCAGAGGAAAACTACCAAATTTCCTATCGTTAACCCCACCACTTATTTATACCAACTTAACCGCTTCAATAATCTACACCCTTTGGTTAGGATCAATTAACTCACAGCTTCGGGAGAGCAGAGACTTACGGATCGATTCGCAATAATGAAGACCAGCCGTCTTGTAACTTGCAGCCCTCTTTTAGAGGCCCAATTTCTCGTATCTTGACAGACGAAGCGCCTTCCTGGTGTTCCTATCGTCGAGAAGCCTGGGGTTGGCCGGTGACCGTTCACGGTTGCGAGAGGCAGTTGATCGTTCACGTCTGCGTTCAGCTCTGCGCGAGGCAGATGGCACGGCCCTCCATACGCTGGGGAGTTCTGAACGAGATGGCCTTTGATGGTCTCCATCCCGGCTTCCATGAAGAATGGTATTTGCCTCTTGCTCGGGGGTCCAGAGAGTCGGTCTATCCATCCTTCTTTGGGCTTCGTGGAGTTCCGCCGTATCCATATTCTCAATGGATATTCCTTGCGCACCCACGCTTTCCTGTGCAATGGGTGCGCCGCCGTCTTCCATGTTAAAATCATGTGAACCGTCGGATCCAACAACTCCTGGAAGATAGTCCGGTTGGTTTGACTTTCCATCCTTACCATCTGGATGCCCTAACATAAAGCGGTGACGATTCATTTCAACGTGACCGAAGAGGTCGCGATCGTTATCCTTGGCATACTTTTTATCATTGGCGTCGTTCGCAGGATGGTTCATAACCGCACCACCATCGGTCCCGTCACATTCCATTTCATCTGTGAGACAGATTTGGTTTCCCCGTTCCCCCTCTCGGGTAGCATCGCGCTCTACCTTCTTCAGATATGCCTCGATAGCTTCCTCTGGGTTTCTCCGGTCCGCAATCCCCCGGATGGTCTTCTTGTGGGCGTTTGAGAGCCCGGAACCCGATAGAATTACCTCGACATCTACCATCATCTGAGGAAAGTTGCCCGCGTCTTGCCCAATACCGACAATTATTGGTTGCGGTGGAGTGGGGTGCATGTTTTTGCTTCTGTGGACGTTGTCTCGAGTTTGTTGCATACTCTTTAATATCACATTAAGAGTTCTAATAATTCTATAGTCCAGGCGTCTTCTATCGTCATTTAATCTCCCGTAGTCGAGGTTGGTGGTCATAGCGGAACTACCACCGTCACGGAGTAGTAAGGCTGTTCTGAAGATTCAAAAGGAAACTTCTCAGCTATTAGTATTTCTTTTGATTGTCTGAAGATTTAGGATATATCGATAATAACTCACCCATACTTGGGGTTCCCGCCTCAACGGCACAACATTCTGAGGGGTTTGTTCCTTGCCCTGGCGGCACGTTAGTTGACTGCATGTACTTTCCATGCATGGCTAGCCACTTCATAACGGCTTTATCGAACAAATATTGCGAGACGAAAAGAAATGCAGTATAACTTGGAAGGGTAAGTACACACCCTAGAGTTCGAAAATCCCTCTTGAGTTGTTGCGTTCTGGGCTGGTTTTTTGCCTCTCCGGCCACGGCGGAAACCATGTTGCTTGTCATCTTGTGTTTTCTATATTTCGGGGGGATGTGATTGTTGTTGGAAGAGATGTGTAGGTGAGCAACATTCACAATGCATAAAGGTTTGCTTTAAATTACCCCTCTATCGAGGCTCTGCTGGTAACGCTTAGTTGTCGATAGTATAATCTCGCGAACTTTGGAAACTTTTGAAATTCGCTCCACAGCTTGTCACTCGGGATTTCGGATTAATTTTTTTCCGGCTCCACTGGGGACTCTTGTTGCTGTGTTATGAGGACTTTTTATCGGGTCTATTTGAAATCTAAGGGTTCTACGTTTAGATCTACAGCATGGGAAAAGTGTTTCTAGTGTTTTATCTTTTGTCTTTTGTGTTGGCCGGGTGCGTGCGTTTGGATGGAGGCAACATGGTACTCGAGACGCGGGCTACAGCTTGATGCATGGCGGTACTATACGCGCATATACTAAGCACGGGGGATAGAGCGTGTAGATAGGTCGAGGGCAAACTTTAGATAGTGTTAATGGCTGCTATGTGTAAAGATAACTTTTTTTCTTCGTAACATTCTTTTCCACCTCGGTCTGTCTTCCCAACCCCTTCCTCAACCGACAATGGTGACCACTTCCAAAACTATACACTCTTTACAACTCTACGGAACCACTATGCGGGTCAAGGAGTCGGAGAGGATATACTCTGTTGCTATTTGCGCTGTCTACTCTACCACCTTACTATGATCTCCCTCCCTCGAAATGCAATGCGCGGTGTAATTCAGTACGTTGCTGGTTTGTGCACCCATTTAAAACTACATGTAACTTACTACCACTATGTATGGTCGATATTCTTTGTGTGCTTATCCAGAGGGTGCACTCACTACCCAAGGTTCTGTGGGTTGGTTGGCTGAATCGGCCCTCATCTCTTCCTGTACATACGGGAGCCTTTTTAATTACATGTACTTTATTACACTGACCAGATGTTCCTTCTATCCGCTGAACCCCACTCCCCGCACACTATCGATATCCTCTACACTTACTATACAGCTATCATCTCAGCCCGTCGACACCCCTCCCCCAGTACTTGTCCACTTATCCATTATGTATTCTACTTGCCATTCCCTCCACTTACACCTCTTCATTACCAACTAATTAATCCGCTTTGCAGTAGATACTCACTTACAAACTCAGATAACTTCATCAATCTTTACCAACAATAATAATAATAAGCTTAACACATGTCATCTGGAGACAATGTCTCGACACTTAAATTTATGAAGCAAGATCCGAAGATAGACAAGACGAGACAGTTTATGGTTATTTCTAATGGTGAGAAAGTAAGTCTTAAGAGTTTCAATGTACCGAAAAACCTCAAACCTAGTCCCTTAACTAAAAGAAGGTAACTTTTCACTACAGATCCTCTTATTATCTCCCAATTCCAGAGCCTATATTAGGCCTCCATTGACATTAACAGTATTCTCGAATTCCTCGCAAACCAGCTCTTGGTCCCTAGCTTTTCAATTCTCTGTTCGCATTCGCAAAACAAGATGAGATTTGCTCAGGCCTCGTCCCTATTCATGAACACCTGGCACGGAAAAACCAGCATTGTTGCTTTCTGGCCGTCTGCGAGGGGGTGATTGATCTGTGTCTTTTGGCTTTCAACACTTGATTGGATCGTTCATATTCGGCTCTCGCTACAACCTTCTTTATCTCTCATGGAACATGCCAAACTTTCTTCGCGCTTCATAGATGAGCTTTCCTTACGTATATACTAGATGGACTTGGTCTGCGCCAGCATGCATGACAATGTCGGTTATTCCCAAGCCCGAAGTAAGATTCTGATCTTATTCATCCTTAGAAGATCTGCCTTGGCTACAGACTCGGCGCACAATTCGGGAATAGTTCCAATTCAGCTTGGTTAATAACGAGCTCACAGACCAGATTGAGAATTGTATTAACTACTTGATTACTAAACTACATAATAACCTGGCGAGTGATACTATATGATCAGATTAACAGAGTACATGTATTAACTGCTCTTAGCAAAAACAGACCTTACGCTCCGCCTCCACAACCGCCACCGCCACCGACAACGCCGTATCCCATCCCATCAAGCCAGTTCCTATTCCGTGAGTTTACTATCTTTTTCCTTTGTGCCTCTACCAGCAACATTATTGAAGCAACAGCGAACTCTCTTGCGCCCTTCCCACCAGCGCCCAGCACCTCAAATGTCGGTTCATGCACATCCAATTTCGCCGTATGGCCATCGTTATATTTCGGCGCAGTCGCACTATACGTATACATTGCGTTACCAACCGGCTGGAGCTCCCTGTACGTCGCAATCTTGGTGGTGGTGGCCGTTTTAGCGTCGTATGCCGTCAGCTCCCACGTCTTTGTATCACGCGGTGGGAGGTACTTGGGATGCGCTGGCTTCACGGACTTGCGCTTCATCTTTGAGAAGAAGCCCGTGGACTTTGAGTTGTCTTCTTCCTCTTCTTCCGGAGGCGGTGTGGGGGGACGCTCTCCGGGGCCGGTCTCATTCCACTCAAAGTCGTAGCTAAAAGAAGTGAAGGTGTACTTCTTCCCGTCATTCTTTTCCTTCAGGATGATACCGGGGATCTCTTTAGATGCCGATGAGGAGGATTCACCGGGTTGGCTGGTACTAACTCGTGGGAAAAATCGTAGCTCGCCGAGCGATTTCTTGAGGGGGGAGGTGTGAAGGATACCGGTTGCGACTACAGGGCCGGAGTCACCTTCGCCGATGTAGATGGTGAAGTCGGGCTGGGTACCAAGAAGGGCCTCGATGGGCGAGGGCTGGCCGTGGCTTTTTAAGGTGTAGATGGGCGCCGGCGCCGCAGTATAGGTAGGGGGAGAGACGGCATCAAAGACTGGTTGAGGCGGTGGAATAGCGATATCGTCGGCGGGGAGGACGTATCGCCGGCGGTAGCTGAAATTGCTGATATCGGAGTCTTGGATCCAGACACTCTGGGGTGCGGGTTTGGTATCGGCTGGTGGAAGGAAGGGGGAGTCGACGTAGGCGGGCAGGCTCTGGGAATTTTCTGAATATGCGGGGGTTTCCATGCTTACAGATACTGCTGTTGGAGACAACAGGCGAAAAGAATGTTTGTAAAAGGAAACAGCCAGTTCTTATATCTATCTACAGGAGGCGCGGCAGATTACCACGTTCCTCTCTCCCCTCTCCCCGCATTTAATTTGGCGAGGCAGGATTTCTGAATAGTGTTCCCTGCCAATCTTTATCGCGAGACAGGGCTGAGCTTGTTTGTGTTCAATTCGCCTAAATACTTAACGAGAACGAACGCGTCGACCTTCTCGACTTTGCACACAGCATCGTCTGCTGCGTGCCACAACGTTGTTGATAAGCATCGTGTGATGGTGGGTTGTGTAACACTGTGCTGCACACACATACGTTGTGAGACAGACGATCTTGCACCGATCGGGTAGAATCCGGCGAATATGAAAACCACTGGCGTTTTGGAACAATCGAAGGAGGCTTTGGTGGTCATGGGTAATCACTCGGGTGTAGCCTCGACGCAGGCTACGATAAAGCGTCGTATGCTCAATAGTCCACCGCCCATATGTATGTGATTTATGACCGATTCTCGCAGTCACAGACTCTGTGTATGTGGATGATTTTGGAGGGAGACTCCCCGCAGGTGGCAGGACAGACTTGTCTTTTCTACAGATGGAAGGTCAGAATAATTTACCGGCAGCAAGGAAAGACTCATTGCCAAGCTTCTTGGTGCGACCGAAATAGGTCCATGTATGTATATCTGTTTACTTGTGTAGAGACTCTAGTGGTCCTGAAGCCAGTACATCGAGGGAGCACGACGAACCACAATGAGATATTGTGAACTGTTTCCCTCGCATGTTTCGTCTTGGAGTTATGTGCGTGCCGTAAGATGGTGAAACCATGCCATAAAACGAGGTGGACACATATCGTGAGTGTGGCGGAGCAAGGAGACATGTTGGCTTGGTCGCAATCGAGTGACAGAGAATGATCGATATGATACCTGCCCAGCTCTGGAAACGGGATGTGGTCAAGCCGGATAAATAACCATCGTTGTTGGATCTGGATAATGATATGTATCTGGCATGCTTACCCATTTCATGGCTTTATAGACACAGCCACTCTCGGTCTTGGCCATGAAGGTTTCGGAGTTCGTGATGTGAAGCCGAACGGTGAATGAACAGCATATTATGTTCAGCATAGAGAACTCGAAATAAGAGATTAATAAAAAGACACATATTGCGGGTACCTACCATGGGTCTAGGTCTTCCTAGAACTATCTGTTCAACCTCATCAATATTCTTTCTTAGTAGGCCCAGCAGTCTGATATCCGGTGAAACGATCACCGACAACTTCTCTACTCAACAAAAACCCACCCGCCCGCCTTGGATCGTGGGGGGCTCCTAAAGCGGCTCTGGTGTTGGGGATAATATGCGAGATAGAGTAGCAGTGTAGCTGTCTAGCCTCCGGGTTATCTTATACTCGCAACATCCCGGCCAGAGCAACCTGACTTGTGCCAACCTTTGAACGTTACCTCGTGGCTCTTTTAGGCTCGGTATCAGACTTTCTGGGCTTTCCCGGGCATGGAAAAACCTACGGTGATGGGGCGGTATTCAGATAGTGGCTTGAGGATTGAGGTGTAGGTGTAGTATGGTGTGGTGGGATATGTTTTGGCTAGGTGCGGTGAGTTGTGGCGCGTTACGGTTCTGCGGGGTTGGATCATGGTGTGTCACTCGACTCTTGAGATTCATGTGTTGTGTATTTGGCTTTTGAAATGATGTCGAACTCGTACGGGTGAGGTGTCCGAGCCCATACAGATGAAGTTCCCGAATCTGTCATGCCGACACTTGTCACTTCAAGGCCGGTACCTGTCCCTGTCATTTCAATGGCTGTTGTTGTCATGTCGACACTTGTCCGGTTCGTGACTATATAGATACATGTAGCTAGTCAGACTCTTTGTCGAGACAGAAGTCAAGTCACTTAACCATCTCATCCTGCTTTGGTTGCATACAACAAATGAATTAACGCTAACAACCCCACACCCCACCTTTCCAACAATAAATACGGTCTGGGTAGAAAGCCAATCCTGCGACGCCATCTCTGCAGAATTGGCCGGTGCGGGGGGGCTGGACTTTTGACATACGGTAACGAAAATTACTGGCGAATGTGTTTATGGTATGTGGTGTTTACCAGGTACCGTTATTTCTGGCGAGTGAGCCCATGATGGGCTTAAAGCAAAGTAGTGATAGAAAAGAGCTTACTGATTGGCTGAAGTCACGGAAACATATTACATATACCACCATTTTCCCCTTGACTTTCCTCCGGATCCCACTACTTTGCTTTAAGCCCATGGGCTTAATGTTTGCCAGAAACAACGGTAGTATTTCAATCGTTAATGACTAGATTATGGCTAATCTTTCGCGGCATAGGATTGGATTCAGGTTCGGGTTCGGACGTGGGCTCAAGGGCTTAAAGGTTTACTCTTTCTGACATCGGACCTATGGGGAATTTACGCTGGCGGGTTGGTCGCTTAGTTGTTCATGGGTTCCTCCAACACGGACCGGTTCGGATTTGGGGGTTTCAGAATGAAGTTCGGTCTACCAACAAAAGTTTCAACAGTGCGATGGGCTCAATAGGAGTTCTCAGCCTTGGTGCGTCAACAGTCCAATTGCATAATGGGCACATCAGGCACTAGAGGTTTTTGCAGCAAGGATTTATGAAGTCAAAGCTGCTTCATCTTCCCATGTGTGCTAGGGATCACTTAATCACTGACAACCAGACTCATCACGAAATCTCACTCGCCCACAGTTAAACGCCGGGGTGTTTCTGAATCGATTAATATTCGCTCGCTGGAGCTGAACTCCGAGTAATTAACCAACCAGTCAGTCCAAAACCCAACCCGATCCCAGCCCAACCCAAACCCAACCGTATCGGGTGTCTGCTATTAACCTCCGTACACCCCTCGGTTTGATCCCGACAGCTTCTCGACAGCTTCTCGACAGCTTCTCGACAGCTTCTCGACAGCTACTAGACAGCTTCTCGACAGCTTCTCGATGGCAAGTACTTTTCAAGGCACTGCCCGTCATCTCATCCGCGCGCCCCCCCAATGCACCAAACACCATACACTACCATCACTACATACGAACCAAAAAGTAAAAAAAAAAGGCGCGCCCTAACAGAAAAAAAACAACCAGATACAGACAAAACCAACAACCAAGCCCAGCTCCAGTGGAAAAAAAAAGAAGGATGATAGAAAGAAAACGAACGGGAAAAAAGCAAACCTGACCAAAAACCCCCCAAGGGCCCCTCTCACTCTCACTCTCTTTTCCTCCCCACCTTTTCCGATTTTTCAATAAGTATAGCTAAAGGGTGTAAGAATGACAAAAATAAACAAAAACACAAAAAACTCCTTTCCCCTTTCCCCTTTCCCCTTTCCCCTCTCCCCTCTCCCCTCTCCCCTCTCCCCTCTCTCTTTGTAGCTCTACCTCCCACTCTCCTGCATCCTAACATCCCCATCGCCTTCACTCTCCCCCCTCACCGCCCGGCGCTCCTCCAACCCCTCAAATCTCTCCTTCCAGCTGACGGACCGCTTCTGCTCCTCGCTCGGCTGCTGCTCTTCCACATCCTCCTTCTTCCGCTTCCCCAGCCGCTCGCACCACTCCTCGGCGCGCGTGATGGTCCCCTCGACCACCTCGCTCACCTGCTGCATCATATCCAACCCCTCCTTGGCCAGTACCATGACGCGGTTCGCGGTCGAGCGCGGCGAGTTGTGGTCCTCTTCTGGGGGCGCAGCGCCGGGAACGAGCTGGTTAGAGTTTGAGGCGGGGGCGCTGGCGCTGGCGGCGGCGAAGCGTTGCGGGAGGGAGAAGATGTGGCCTGGTAAGTTCTTTTGTTAGTTTATGAAACGTTGGGGGAGTTGGGGGGAGGCAAACGTTTGATGAGGTCACGGGCGTTCTCGGGGAGCGCGCTACCCGTGTAGTTGCTGACCACCTCGACGACCTTCTTCATGGTGTTGACGACCTCTGCCTTGAGGCCCTCGACCTTTGCGGTGAGTGCTGCGCGCTGGCCCTCATAAATGGGCGGAAGGAGCGGCGGGCCTGCGGTAGATGCGGGGGCGACGCCATTGGCGCTGCTGGCGGCGGCGCTGGGCCGGTGGTTGTCGAGCTCCTCAACCACGCTGCGCAGCGCTGTAACGAGCTTGTTGAGGTGCACGTTGAGGAAGCGCAGCCACTGCAGACAGTACTTCAGGTTCTTGAGCGACTCCTCGTTGAGCGCCACGCTGAGCCCCGATGCGCCGAGCACGATGCGCTTCTGCCATGTCTGGGACTCGGGCGATTGGTGCTGCTGCACGAGGGCGCCGTTTGAGTCGGCGGGCGCGGGGTCTTGCGGGTCATTGCGCGTCTTGCGCTTCTTGTTTGTGTCGCTGCGGGGGCTGGGGGAGGAGGCGGGCGCGGGGGTCGGTGTGGTGCTGCGCTGGAGGCCGCGTCGGAGGACACCGTCGAGACCCGTGCGGCGGCCAACGGCGGAGACGACGTTGGAGACGGGGAGGCCGACGCGGTTCTCGACGGACTCGGCGGCGTAGCGAAACGAGGCGGAGTAGGACTTGCTGGCGGCGTAGGTGTTGATTGAGGTTGTGATGGCGGACGAGAGCAGTGGGTGTGCGCGGTGCGTGATCAGGTCGATCAGGGGCTCGTTTTCGGGCGCCTGCGCGAGGGGCGGGGAGGCCGGCGTGGGCGTGAAGTCTGTGTGGTGCAGGGTGCGCGGTTAGAGTTGTCTTTTGGGGGGGAGACAGACAGACAGCATGCCGATAAGGGCATGTGAATGATAGGTATAGCATAGGGAACTACTCACCCCCCTTTAGCCCCCCGAGGGCCTCAACAACCTCCCGCACATCCGGGTCCTCGATGCTCACAGACGTGGGCACAAGACTCCCGTGCCGGGTGCCACGAGTGCTATCCCCTGCGTCGTCGCTCCCCTTCCTCTTTCGCGTGTGCTGCTCCTCCGCCGCGCCCCCTCCCGACCTCCCATACGACGGCTCCACCGTCGGCGCCGATATCAAGCTCTGTATACTCAGGCTGCGCGACTTCTCCGGCGCCTTCGGCGCAGCAGCCACATAGCGCGGGGCGACGTTGACGGGCGGGAGCACAACAGGAACGGGCTCGCCGACGGGCGCCTGCGTGCGGAATGACTCGGGCACGGCGTTGTGGTAGCTGAGGATGGGCAGCTCGGCGTGCTTCTTGGGCGGGTGGCGCGACCCGGAGCTGAAGCGCGGGTCGTAGTACTGCTGCTGCGGGGGCGGGAGGGTGTCGGCGCGCGGGGTGCTGCTGGTGAAGTGCGGGTACTGGGTGTGGAAGTGGGAGGCGGAGAGCGCGTCGGTGGTGTCGTGGCCGTGGGGGATTTTGGGCGGGTGGGAGGGCACGGGGGAGGGTGACTTGTAGCGGGTGCGGGTGGCCATATTTGAGGCCTTCTGCTGTGCTGCTGTGTTGCTGCTTGTGCGAGTGAGGGGATGGGTGAAGTACGTGCGTGGGAAGGTGAGCGAGTGGGTGTGGTAAGGATGTATTTACGGGGCCTGCTGCAGTGAGAGGCGAGTGGGTGTCAAGCAAGGATGGCGCGTGTTTTTTTTATTGGGTGATTTTTGTTTTATCTTTTTTTTTAGAAGGAGAAGTATGTAGAGAAGAAGAAAAAAGAACAGGAGAAAAAAGGTTCGTGGGGAAAATGTTTTTTGTTTTGTAGTCAAGAGTATTTAATACGGAAAAAGCGAAGCGGAGGAACTTTTAGAGAGGCGCCCGCTAGTTAGTTATGAAGGGTTGGCGTCACAGGAAAAAGGGTGAGAGGAGCAGTAGTTAGTTGGTAGTAGGTGGATAGGGGAGGTATCTAGAAATGGAAGGAAGGAAATATAGATAGATGAAGCGTAAGAACTGAAGACGAAGACGAAGAAGAGAAGAAGAAAGGAGTTATGGGGGCTGCAGGCAGATGGGTATGGTATGGGGTAAGAAAGAAGAAGTAGCAGAAGCTGAAGAAGATGATGAAGATGAAGATAGTGATGATGATGAAGAAGTGTAAAAGAGTAAGAGAGCAAGCCGAAGGGGAAGAAGAAGAGTAAGATGTGTGAATAGAAAGAGTGTGTGAGCGAGCGAGCGAGCGAGTGAGAGAGAGGAGTGAGTGAGTGAGCGAGAGTGAGTCGAGTGTGTGGGAATATCTGATGATTCCCGGGGTACGCAAATTACTCCTCCTGCTCCTCCTGCTCATTCATGCTCAGACTACTTCTCCTCCTCAGGGTTCATCAAAAAGGCTCCCTTTCCCCCACAGGCCCCAACACTCCGAATTGATGAGATCGGAGGGCGATTGATGCTTCTTCAACATCATCATCCAGGATCCCGTCTTACCCCACCACGCAGCGCGCAGCCAGCCCAACGCATTGAACACATGCTGTCGGTCGAGCAGCTGCAGTTCAGGCAGGATGGATGGATGTAGGTACTCTATCTAACCGCACCGCACCGTATGTACTGTCTTTCTGGTAGAGTAGGTATGTGGGCATCTAGAGTAACTCTACTTTGGTAACAACTACATACTCTGCAATGGAACTATTCACATCTCACCTGCCTCTGCCTGTTGCCTGCGTAAGTAGAGTATCGACCCCATAAATTACACCCCCTCCGCAGAATATGTCATTATGCACTTTCCTTCCTTCCACCCCCTCAGAATCAATCAATGGCTGTCTGTGTTCTGTTTTTGCATGTGCAGAAAAAAACCCCCCCCAAAAGTCCCCAGTCAGTTGCTGTGACATGTGATCGCTCGACACGTGCGAATCGGTTAATCCGTCCTGTTATGGGCGCTTTTAACCGCGGCCTGTGGCAATGCGCCGATTGGCTCGTGGGCGGTGGGGTCCATAGTGGAAACACGTTGATGGGCTTTTGCAATTGTGATTTCGCTTTTTTCTCTTTTTTTTATGACTTGACTTTGACTTGAGGGGGAGAGAGAGGTAGAGAGGTGGTTGAGACTCAGGACTCAGGGTTTGTGTTTTGTGTTTGCACTTCGAGAGAGTTACTATGTGTAGTAGTGTAAGAATCATCACATGCTTGGTTTGGTTGTTGCGGTGAGCAGTTGTCGTAGTTACGAGTGATCGGCGGGTGCCGCAACAATCAATTTAAACTTCTTTTGTTTTTGGGTACGGCTAGCTGCGAGCCTGGTGGGTAACCTGTGGTTTGTTGGGTATGTGAGGCGGTGCAGACATTGGTCCGATCTTGGGGCGTGTCATAAACGCCTTCTTCTTCCCCCTCGCTTCGCTCTTTGCGAGTCTCTTTGCAAGCAATTGTTAATTGCAGTGGGATCATGGGAGTTGTGGTTGTGGAGAATAGAGTAGTCAGTGTGGTGGTGGTGGTGGTGGTGGTGGTGGTGGTTATTCATAGCTTCTTCCTTTCTCCGTGGCATAACTTCTAGCGTAGAAACGGTCCACCCTCGTCATGTAGGGATCGCGTGTGTGCAAGCAAGCAAGCGGGCAAGCAAGCAAGCAAGCAAGCAAGCAAGCAAGCAAAGCTAGGAGCATGTGGGTACGTTGGGAATTAAGGTATCTGGCCCGTGCAGCACCTAGAACTTCCAGAAAGAAAGAAATTCTCACCGTCTGCCCTCTGCAGGCTCTGCAGATGTTGGAATTGACGTCAGCGCGCTTGGTAGCCGCGGAGGAACTCTAATATCTGGGTGGTGGCTGGATCGAGGGAAAGGAGGTCGGCGGTCGGGGGGGGGAGGCGTTGGCGGTTACATAGGGGTAAGGCACGGTCGGGACCATCGGTGGCTGTGGTGCGCCGGGTCGGGAAGGGAAGGGGATCCACTGGGCTGGCTGACCGGGCTGAGGAGTCATGGAGAGTCATGGAGAGTCACTCGTGGGGTGGGTTTGGGTTTGGGTTGTGGGTGTGTGTGTTTGGTAGGGGATGGGGCAGCGCTCGCTATTGGTAACTGTGGGGTGCAGGCAGAGGCACGTGCGGTGATGGTCCTCTTTTTTTACTCTGTTCCCGAGATATACATATCATAGCAGAACAACAGGCTGAGTGCTAAGTCCTTGATGCATATACTTGGAAGTGTAGATATGTAAGCGATTTGGTAACGTCACTACTGCGCTGCACTACTACATGTACTGTCGTATATAAAAGGTGAGAACCTAAGTCTGCGCGGATGTCTCTGTACCACGTGTGTGTCTTATGTTGCTGGAGATGAACGTTAACGCTAATGTTTCTTTGTAGCTTCTTCGATTCGAACCAGACACCATGGCAGCAGCTATGGCCCCGAGGGAAACAGATGCAGAATCGACGCCTGCTAGCTACACAGTAGCCATAAGTACACACAACACCAAAGGGCAGATGGGATAATGACACTTCTTCAGATCTAGCCAGAATGCTGCTCCTTGAGTCGAGATTGCAGATTGCCACGGTGCCTATCTGTTTCATCAAACATTGTACGTACATGTATGTATACAGACCGAACTTTGGAGCTACAGTTATGACAGAAAGTGAACCAGCCATGTATCCAGACCAGCAACATATCTTGTCAACTCTGCCCTCAACCACATCGCTTCAACGAAACTGCAACATGTCTATTCTCTACCTGTCATCTTCACCCGTCTTTAAAACGGCCTCTAAACGTCTCTCCTCCGCCATCATCAACATGCCACTCGTTTATCGCCCTGTTTGAGTACCACACACACATTATTACCCCCATCAATCAATCACCGACAGCAGCAGGTAACACCCATCTGTGGTCCGCACATCCATGAACATTGTCAATAGCTAAAACAAATATCCGTCACGTCTACTAGATAGCAAACCAACGAGATGGCCGATCCCCCAGGGCAACCACCGAGGCCCATTTCTCCAGATGAGGTTACCATAAACACGGCTCCTCTTCCTACGAGGCAGACTCAACTAGGAAATGTTATCATAGACCCGGACAGATGGTACGGTCCTCCAGAATCTGCGTACGTGGAGCAACGTTCTGGAAGATCCAGCCCTCCAGTAGTTAATCATAACAGGACCCTTCCTCTACTGCCTAGTACACGTCCTCCGGGACAGAGCTCTCGTCATGATCACCCAGGGTTTTCTCTTACTCCTCTAGATCCGGACGTGAACCCGAGTCGAAGCTCTACAAGCTCTATTTCTCCAATATTTCCTACAAGGCCCACTCCTCTGAGGCCCACTCCTCTGAGGCCCAATCCTCTGGGAGAGGCTAGCACACATACGGGACAAAGCGCTGTGAGCGGCACAACACTACATGCATCCTTACAAAGCCCTGGAAGCGGCGGCACTCAAGTACCCCCACCAAACATTGCGAGCGGGACCTCGTCGACTCCCGCGCCGAGCTTTCCCAGTTCCCGAACAGCTAGACAGAGCTCTACAAGTAGTAACCCACCGAATCAAGGGAATGCACCGAATCAAGCGAATCCACCAAAATTTTCCGGAACGAAGGCGGAACTAATGCGATATTTTATAGCCGAGGGCAGGGAAATTCCACAGGAAGTGTTGGATATGCCTGATCGTGTACGACGTAGGGACTGGTTTTCCAAGAAGTGTAGGGACTTCAAAGAGTGGTGCAAAAGGCTTGCTCGAAAGGGTTAATATTTACGTACCAGAGTTCCTGTCTGAGTTGAAGCAGTGTATCTCTATGTTGGAAGAATGGTGGTTGATTCGTTTTAAGATAATACATGCTAGTCAATCGATTCTGTTGTCGTCTCCAAGAGACGTTAGCTAAACTCAAATAAGGTTATTCTGCGAATATACAAACGTGACATCATCTAGCTCCTTGAGCCTCATTATGGACCAAGTATTTTGGTAAGAGCGAGCACACGCTTTCACTTTAGAGCTGAAATCCTATCCTTTTAATCAACAGCATTGAGATTTGTGATCTTTGGTATGTTGATTCCATGATATACTATCCTTTAATATAGCATTATACCTACAGTTGCCAGGGTCGAATTGTTAATCTTTGAAGCAGAAACCCGGTCATGTTCGATTTAGTAATGAAGCAGAGACTTCCATATGAGGACCGACTCAGCATTAGTGCCTAGCTCCTTGCCAAGCTTAGTGCTCTACCAGCTTTATTTCAGGCTATTCTAAGACTAGGCGGCCGGAACAACTCCCGAATCCGTGTGTAGAGAGTATCACCAGGCTGGGGCCTGAAGACACAGACTGATTCACATATCCCAGGGCCATGGGAAAGTAAGAATACAAAGGTCTCGAACGAGCGGAATTAACAATCTACTAGGAATATTTACCAATGGCGAACAGTACCTAGAGCAACTAAATGATCGTACTTGACCCTTTATACAAGACTTAGGATATATAGGACGAGCTCGGGTCCTGAATCTTCCTTTTCTCAATATCTTCACCCTCTCTGGATGCCCACCTGTCAGCTTTATAGCTTACCTGATAGCATACCATTAACCTAACATTTCCACCTGCAGCTTTTAATTTATCACTTTATAATTTACTTCTTTCCCCTTTCTCTATTTGTCATTCTGGAATAACCGTGTATCGCACAAACCTATTCTTCTCGTTTTAATCTGATACTCCTACTACTACTATCGTCATTTGAACTTAGATTATCGAGGTAGACGCCACTGCCGGAAATTTATTTTTAATCGTTCGTTAATTCAGCTATTATAATTGCTCGTTCCGCTATTCCGGAAGGTTGCCTTACTCGCATCAGCCGACGATATCAGATGCGGAGAGATGACCCGATATCCATCTCTACGGTAGCACCATCACAAGAACCACGTGGAATATTTTAAAATATCCTCCGGTGCTGGCCAGAAAGATATTCGACATTAGGATCGGCGGATAGACATGCGAAAAATCGGCGATATTAAGATGATGAAACTGCAGTCGCCTCTACCTTGTGATGCTTCCAAGGTTCACACATGGGGTTAGACCTGTTGCAGAAATTCATTTTTTTTAAAAGGTCCTGGAAAGTCTAGATAGGTGTTGTCCTTCTAGAATACATTTGTTCAAGCATTTGCCTATTTCCAATTGCAAGCTTAGGCATATAACAGGTCACTATTTGCGGAAACTAGTTGCCGTAATGATCATGTTACCAATCAATATGCTATCCTTCATGGTCATCTCTACAAATTGATCAAGATATTAATTGATCCAAGAAACGTCGGATTCGAAAATCTGTCCATCCAAGTCGGATTTCAGGGCCGAAATACTCGAGGTATCCCTACGGTTTCGTCCCGAAAACCTTTCGTTAATAATGAAGCCTTTTCACAGTCCATTAATTGCGGGGAATCAAACAACCTTGAAGGGGCCGGGAAAACGAGTACACCTGTACGACCGACTCCAAGTCTTGGAGTATAATAGGTATTGCGATACCGCCAAAACTCGAAAAATTGGCTATCTCCGTCCAGGGATTACCACTTGAGTGATTGGTTGAATGGCATCGATCTGCACCATAAGTTTCCCGTACAAGTAATTTTGATCTAGCCAATTTTTCGAGTTATGGCGGTATTTCACGCAAGGTAGGCAAGCAAGCCGGCCCGTAGTTTAAATTTTTGGCAAGTGTCATCACTAACATTTGTGTATTGCGGAGAAAATAAAGCTTAATTTGTTTATTGTTGGTTCCCCAGGTTGTCTCAAATTCTCCAGGCGTGGTGGGGACAAGATTAGATAATGAGACACATCCAACATCGGTAGGTTACGAATTCGGTCTTTATTACGGAACCTAGCCTTGGGCTCCCGATTTGGATCTGTCTATCAATAGATTATATAACCGACGGAAAATTGTACCTACAGTGTCTCATGACTTGTTACTCGATGGTAGAGATAAGACCTGTAAACCTTCCATGGGGGTACCTACAGGCAGCCGAGAACAAGTGGCCGGGTTAGACCAAAAATTTCTCCAGGCGTGCAGTAAACCGACTCAATCGTGCTCAGAATTTTGGAATATCCATCGACTTGGGAGGGATGTGTGGATGGTCGCGTAAGGCCCGGTAAGGGTATCCGCGTCCTCTTGATGATCTCGATGCAAAAAGAGACAGCACTCCGAAAGAAGAAGAAGCTGAACAAGGGTCAGATATTTCTTCAACACTCCAAATTTACATTTGGGACATGAGGTTTCAATGATTGGTGTTTTGCGGTGCCATCACTCGACGCCACCAACCAAAGTAAGCATAGCAAGTTCCACTTTGATGGGATCCAGGAACACGAACAACTATGACACGTAAGGGACGGGTGGTTCCTGGGTTCCTGATCGCCAGCCAGTGTATGCGACGACCATCGACAAGGCCTGTTAGGGCTCTATCAAGAGCTGAAGCTGCACTTATCTGCCTCAATGCAGTCGACGGAGAAGACATTTCGACACCATCTTGGGACATATTCCATGCGTTGGGCTTTTCCCACGATTTTTTTGACGCAATATGAGCCCTATCGAGCTGCAACAAGTACTCAGGATTGCGATAACACCCACAGGACCGGCATTGAAATCGCTTCCGGGATATCGCACATGCACTGATATTATGGGCCTTCGCGTCTGCAGAGTTTCGGCTCGGCTGTCAAGAATCGTTTTGTTGTCATTCTCTGAGTGGCCCAGAAGCACGGGGGAGGAGGGGTGGGAGGGGTGGAGGGGTGGAGGGGGGACTGCCATGAGGAACAGTCGATGGTATGTGTATACGTCAAAGCAAACGCGGTTTGACAAGCTTCTCCGCACCGCACGTTTTTGTACCTGAAGTAACCGGTTTGCTCGATCGAATCGTGCAGCCAGCCGCAAAAACCCAAGTCGTGGAATTTCCACGGAATGTATCCTACATCTGATGGGAAGAGACGTTGGGAGAGGAAGCCACCCCCCGGGTTTTGCGCCGTCGCTCCGCTGTCCCGCCAGGGAATATTCTTGGGCGATATCAAACGAAGCATTCCGCGACAAGCGGAACAATCACGAGTCTTAGATAGCACTCTATCGCCGGCTGATGAAAAAACTTGGTGTGAGCCGTCAATTAATACGGCGAAGAGTCGAACCTATCAATTCTAGGCTACATACACCATCATGATGATGAGCGAACAATGGTGGGCCCCGTGCAGCCGAAATGCAGTCAATGGCTACTCTCCGCCATTGATTCCTTGTGGTTTCAACGCTTGCCATGTCTATCTCTATCAAATTTGACTGGAAAGGTTGTATTTTTAGGTGAGTAATCGAATATCCTCTAGTGACCTGCAAAGCTAACAAATACAGATGAGACAGGGGTACCTTTCATGGGTTTTTGGCTCCAGTATCCAAATTGACGCCTTTCAAGACAATATCAGCCCTCTTTCGAAGGTCACATCCTCTTAGCAGCGGGCTAGAACTCCGCGCAATCCGTGGCTCCTCCCGAACCTATAGTTTTATCTGTAGAGAGTAGACGAGCTGAAGTGGGGATAACCTGTACTTTATAAGGATCGTTATCTCGCTCAATTATTCATACTTCCATAACCACGGCCGGACCAGAATTCCCCCTTTCGATTCATTATGGCCGGTTATGATCCTAAGGCTTCTGCGCGGGCTTTGGCCATGAACAGGCGGGCTTCTTGGTTATATGCCTGTGCCTTTGGCGGATTGATCCTTATCTTCGTTTTAGCAAACTTTGGGAGATCTCTATTTCAACTTCAGACTAGACGAGGTACACTGGCAAAAAGCCTTGCTGCTCCGTTCAGGTAGGTACCACAATCTCTGTTTAAATGAGGGATTCTAATTTAGCACCTATAGGGCTTTCCGGCAGGTATTCCTCCGGAAACTTCCTAAAGTTTCCTCCGGAGGACATCTCCTTCTGATCTTGGTTTATTGTGGACTTAATGCCGCAATCACGTTTTACGATGTGGGATTTGAGGGGAAAAGTCCTTATTCCCTCTTTGCAAAGAGGTGTGGCTGGTAAGTTTGCTTCCTACGCATCCGCAAACATTATATATATACTGACCGATTGTTTCTGACAGGTTGGCCGTATGCAATGCTGCCCTTGCATTCCTCCTGTCAATGAAGAATACGCCCCTTGCATATATGACTGGGTATTCTCATGAGCGCTTGAACGTACTTCATAGATGGGTTGGCCGGACCATCTGGTTTTATTCTTGTTTGCACGTCTAGTAAGATATGCCCACCAGACCAATGCTTTCATTCGCTAATGATGTTTTGTTCAGTATCTACACCGCCACTCTCACTATGAGCCATAACCTGAAGAAGATGAGGGAGGACGAGATGATTTATGGCTGGGTCGCTTTTGTGGCTTTCAACATAATCTATGCGAGTTCCCTTCAGTTTATTCGTCGTCGGTTCTACGAGGCGTTCTACCTTATTCATGTTGTGATGTTTGTCGTGTCTGTGGTTTTCCTCGGACTTCACAAGCCACAAAAGTTTGGGCAAGCGATGATTGGTGTCGGCATTTTCTGGTGCTTTGATAGGCTCATTCGCACCGCACGTCTCATCTACTACAGCTTCAACAACAAAGCTACTTTGGTACCTCTTTCGGGTTTGGCAACCAAAGTGATCTTTGAAAAACCTATCAATTGCCAACCAGGCTCTCATGCTTTCATCTCAATTCCTAGCATTCGGAAGCTTCAGTCGCATCCGTTTACGATATCCTCGTCCGACAGGATTGAGTTTGTCATTCGTGCTCAGAAGGGATTCACTCTGGATCTCCACAAGCATGCATTGAAGAATCCATACAAGCAGATCAAAGCCTACATCGATGGGCCCTATGGCGCTGTGCCCGACTTCAAAAGAATGAACAAAGTAGTTCTTTTCGCCGGTGGAAGTGGTGGCGCATTCTCGTTCCCTATCGCGATCGATATCATTCGGAATATCGATCGTATCGCGGTTACACACATGGAGTTTGTATGGGTGATACGTGATGAACGTAAGTACACGCCTGCAACTACCCTTCCACCAACTATCCGAACAGTGGTACTAACATGCGTTTTTTCATAGGTCACTTGACGTGGTACGAAGAAGAGATCAAAGAGCTCACACAGTGCCCGATAGTCAACCTTAGCATTTACGTCAGCTCCAAGACGGATCCCATCGTAACAAGCCAGCCAGTCGAAGAAGCGACGGCGGTGGAGAACGATGTTCGACGCTCCCTCTACCTTGATCTTGACGGCGATGAGACCGAGCCAAGTACTCCTGATGAGGATGCCATTGAAACCAGCTCTGACCCAATCGCTGAAGCCCTCGAGAAGGAGCTGGGATTCGGGAAGGACCACATTGAAGCGCTGCAGAAGGAGCTTGGAATCGGAACGCTTGGGACACAGGAAGAGCTGGTCCGTGACAAGCGCATCTCCAAACGGCTGTCCCAGCGGTACTCTGCCAATCTGGAGGCGCAGATTGACCAACGGCCAATGTCCTACATCGAGACCATGAGCGGCAGGCCCGACCTGACGGCTCTGATCAAGGGGATTGTGAAGAATGCTGAGCAACGTGACACTGTTGCTGTTGGAGGTAACACTCCCCCCTCTCCCCATCCTACGTTTAATTCTTAATCTTTTGGTAACTGAATACTGACGCGGTGCAACAAACAGCTTGTGGACCGACGGAGCTTATGCGTGTCGCGAGAAATGCCGTTGCTGATAGCATCACCCTTACTGGTCCTAGTGTTACTCTTCACTGCGAACAGTTTGGTTGGGGTTAGACGACTGTTCCGGTTTCTTTGCGGTTTTCTTGTTCTTTTTTTGATTTTTTTTCCTTTTTTTGGTACGGCTGGGAAAATCTGGTGCAATGATCGATTTTGGGCATTTTTTTTGCCTGTACTCTACTTTACTAGTAGCTTCTTTTCTTTTGTCTAATGATATATGCGGATATAAATTTGATTTTTTATTATATTGGGAGTAGTTACATGTAAATTTACCTATCGTGTTGTGTTGGATGGAAAATAGCTCTTGCTTCAATGGGGTATCTGTGGTACGGAGAAACATTGTACAGCTATCAGTTTGCCGAAAACCTAATTGCTAGACGAATATTATGCATACTCGAATTGTGGTAATGTCTCGCTAGCTGTCAAACAAGAAACAGGCTAGTACTCTAAGAAGAAGAAAAATAGTAACAATCTCCAGTCTTGGCTGCCTATCCCGGTCGTGCACTCTACCAACTACCAACTACCAAATAGAGTACATGTAGTTAGGTTAGGTTTCAAGCTACGCTGCGCTTGTGGACAGACAGATTCAGCGAGTTTACTCGGGTTCAGGGTCCAAGTCCCTATCCAGGACATCCGAAAAACAAAAGCAAAAGCAAAAATCACTTCCGTCCATCAATAACCCAAATTACCTCAAAACTTAAATAATGCCAACACCCCCAGGTTGCATAACCATACCTACCCTATGCAACAACCACACACTTCCCCACACGCGAGGTCAATGATTGGATAGTCGAACCTACGCTATCAACAGGGCACAAGTGTCACCATAACACCGCTCACTCGATCCTCGAGGATTTAGGCTCTGAAACCCTGTTAAGCTTCGCGGGACCCGGGACGGGAAGGGAATGTAGAGTGGAATAGACGTTTTGTTTGGCCAATCGCCAGGGCTCGCGAGATTAGAGTTAGGTGCCTCGTTTGTGGAGGTGGGGGTGTGTGGGTGGATGGTAGTGGTGACTTTTGAGCCAATAAACCACCACTTCTTGAAGCCCATGGGCTTATTCGCTGGGGGGGTGACGGTAGTTAGGCGGGGACCGGGAGCTCTCCTGGTATGTAGCAAGCTAACGGCTGGATGGTGGAACGGTAAGTAATCGAGGCAGGTGAGGTGCAGATGAATCGTGGATGGAGGCTTCACGTGGCGCTGCTGAGGTGATGAGATAGACCCTACTCTAGGTACTCTAGTTGGGTAATTGGTTTGTGGACTGGATGTGCGTTTATGTGTACTGGCCTGGACATACTCAATTAGTTATCATGATGCTGGTTTAGAACGGGAGGCAGTTATCGATGACCTACGGGATTTGCCAGAAGTATTAATTCTATGTATTCTGCATTCTTGATGTATGTATGTACTCTATGCAATGCCAGAATAGCTGTTTCTGTTAGAGTACTCTCGAGATTGTATTGTATGTAGCCGTAGGTACATACATGTGTTGTGACACGTATGTGCACTGCTGACCTTGAAGGAATGTTTATCCTTACCGGTACGGTCTATTGACGTAATATGGAGATAAGCGAATCCAACCGTGCACGTACCTGAGCATGTACTCTATTTATGTATGCAGGTAGATGGATGTATGTGTGTAGCAACCAATACCATGGTCGCTTGAAGTGTGGAGACCTAGGAGCGAGAGTTGATAGGCTGCAACTGACCACGGATCATCAAACAGGGCAACGTTTCGACAAACCGACTTCCGGATACGGTCGATCATGATCTTTCGAGGGTCTGCTTATATCCAACAGACAGGGGCTCTTAATATGGTCGAGTGACATGTTATGTAATAAATAATTTCCAATGGAGGAAACCCAACGCCAGCTCCTCTAGATCTCTTCCCACAATCCTCCAGACGTTGGTTTCCAAGAATAGCTAGCCAATGTAAATAAAACCTAAAGGGTCCAATTTCCAAAGCAGGTACCGTCGCCCTAATTATAGCTACCCAGGGCACCAAACAAAATGAAAAACATCCGTAAAGAGCTCAACCCAGCATACCTTTCCCACCATCCAAACATTAGCAGACACCAACTCCAACCCCTACCCGTCTGCCGCACCCACAACCTATTACAAGCCCATAGAAATACTGCCCTTACAGGGAGCATCCCTGCAGCCAACCAAAAACTGCACTTACGAGCTCCAATAGTGACCGCGAGAGCTTAAACTACTACTGCTATATAATCACAGCAGGCATTCTTGTTGGTTGCGTTGGTTGCGAATGTGTAATGATTGTCTTACTGCTCTATTCAACTAATTGGTATTTAGGGCGAGTGATATATCGTGATGTACTTCACGGGTCGTACTCGGGTTGTGTGATTGGTGGGCGGAATTGGCCTTGGATATCGAGTGTTGTATAGGGTGGAAGAGTAATGAGGAGTTGTTTTTGCACCCCCGATAATATATAGCTACATCCGTGCATGTGTTATGGCCAAACCAGTGAGTTCTTGAAACGGACACACAAAGCAGATTCTTCTCGACATGTTCCAACAGATTCTCACATAAACAAATACAGTACATCATGAGTAGTTTATACTACTTGACATTGTTATATACGGTCTCGACGAATATATAATGTAATCGATTGACGCAGGAATAAGTTGTAAATTTTATGTGTCACTCGGTACATATGTAAATCTATACTTTATGATCATTGACATGTTTCGTAACCCTAGTCGGCAGGGTAATTAATATATCCAAAAAAACGTGTGGGGTGATCATTACCCCAAAGTCCACTGTCTTTTGATTAACTTCACTACTGCTCCTGGTTTGATGCTAGTGGGAAGGGATATTTTTTCCATACATCAGAAGAGGTATGGTGAGAGGAATTTATGTGGGTCACGAAGTGTAGGAGCGCAGTCGTACCAGGAGACTACTTATAAGTATTTCAAGCAACGTAAATATTTTATTTGTTTTGGCTGGGCTGTGCCCAGGTCCATACCCCACGGCCATCTTTTAACTATCTAGTGAGTTTCCCAGCAGACAATTCCAGGTAAAAATAAGTAAATAAAGCAAAAAGTTTCCTCCAACACACTATCCGTTGATAGAATTCACTGCTTCGTGTAGCTGCCACATATAAGATGTGGAATATTGTACAAAACTATCTATCACAAGTGCAGCCAACAAATATCCGCACCAAAAGATAGACCCCAGGAAAAGAAGTTTAGCAAACGATATGATCCAATACGCCTTCAAATTCTCATGCAACCTCTCATGTGGCAAATTTCCTGTCTTCGATGTGAGCCAGATATGGATTTCTATCTCATCCACATCGCCTCCGTCTTTTTTTCTACGTTTTCGTTTAAAATAGTTCGTGAACTGTCTCTGTCAAGATGCAGACACAGCTACCTCCGCTCTGTTCGACATTCCATCGTTCGATTGTTGGCTCGGCCCACCCTGCTGATGAGTAGCAGAAATGCTATCCCTAGCACGACGACCTCCAGAGTTCTTCCAATTCTTCTTCCTTCCCGAGCCTTGCTGACCAAGAGGCTCATTATTGGGGAAAGTTGGATAAAACTGCTGCTGTGAGTTTCCGTTATTCGAGTGCGGGATACGGGTACCGGTTTTTGTATACCCTTGGGGTGGAGGATTTCCATTTGCGTGCCTAGGCACTGGTAGTCTAGACCCCGCATTACCGCCATGAGTATTGTTATTTCGGTAAATATCACGACTATTACCGTTTCCATTTTTGGAGTTTTGTGCCTGGCTTTGGTTCTGGACCTGAGCAGAGTTTCCATGTTCAGCGGAGAGCTCGTTCGCCAAATCGCCTGAAAATTGTTGGTTCGATTTTTCGGACTGTGTAATATATTAATAAGCATTGAGACATTTTTAACTGGAGGTATGACTTTTACGGGGGCATTCTTCTGGGAAACTATTAATACCTTTGGCTGTTCCGTAGCACTTGGCTGACTCACAGGTTCCTGAGTTGACTCGGGCGGGTTATCAAATCTGCCAAGTGTAGAACTCCGGACAATACATGGCGCTTTGTAAGACGAGCCAGATGATGGCCCAGGGTCGACACGTTGAATTACAGAACGGGAGACTTCCTCGTCTTCGACAACTTCCGCAACTAGGTAATCATATGTTAGACCTGCTGGTATATAAAATCTTCCAAATGACGCAACTTACTCCCAGTCAACTGAGTTCCACGCCATCTGTTTGTGACGGCGATCTCCTGTTCTGCAACCATGAGAGGAACGTCATCCTCGGAAGTTTTTTCGGTATTCTTCCCAACAGCCCCATGCTCTCTCACGTCTTCCTTCGGTTGGCTCGGCGGGATTTTGGTGCTGGTATCCACAGACTCCCCGATAATCTCGCTCTCGTTTTGTTTCTCGGATTGATGTGTTAGACCTCCGTCTTCCAAGCGAGCTTTTTCGATCTTATCAGCAGTGTTGTCCTTTTCATTTGCCCCTCCATTCCCGTTGAAGAGATCTTTCAATCTCTTCGTACGGACCTCCTTTGTCTCAGCCCAAGTCACAAAAACTCTTCTGCTTCCAACGATGCTTCTATCCAACTTAGCCTTTGCTGCGATAGCATCTTCTGGCTTAAGGAATGCTACAAATCCGTAGCCACGTGAGATTGACGTGTTCGGATAAGTTGCGAGAACGAAAGATGATACGGTTCCAAAAGGTTCAAACAACTTTTTAAGGTCTTCTCCAGTAGAGATGATTGAGGGGTCCAAGTTCTTAATGTAAAGATTTGCAGGATCCGCAGGATCCGTTGTCTCCGGGATAATTGGGGCAGAAAGAGCGACAAACACGGTAGGATGGGATGAAGACTTTGTGGGTGTTTCGGGTCCCAATTTTGGGTCGGGAAGAGTGCGAATCACAACGGGAGAAGGTGTGGAGTCTTTGTCTGATTCTGAGGTGTTCCCATCGAAGCTATTCCGTGAAGGAGTTTCGCACGAACTGGTAAATGATCCGCCTATAACAGGAGGAGGACTACGATATGATTCGCTGGTAATAGTTGAGCCCATAAAAGATCCGTTTACTGTGACTGTTCCATCAAATCTTGGCCTGTCGTAGCCGTGAGATGCAAGCGTAGTTGAAGATGAATTGGATGTAGACCTGTGGTGCTCGGTATTGCTGAAGTTGGCAGGAAGCCTGTTGTTCATCCGACCACCCCGTCCGTTATAACGACGATTATGATAATGCCGCCCAAGAATGGCTCTCGGCGGGATCTGTCCCTGCCAGCCTGTAATGGGGTCCTGGAAGCTCTGGAAAGGCGGGGAGCCTGGTGGTGACATGCCACCGATGTGTTGAATCTCAAATCCTTGCGGAGAAATCGGAGACATGACATTGAAGGGACTATATTGAGCCATGTTTTGAAGTGGAGGGAATTGGTGAGCGAATGGGATCATACTTGCAGAGGCGACCATGTTAGGGTTTGAAGGTCCATAATTTTGCGGAAGCCATGCCATTTGTTGACCCTGGGGTCCAAACGGTCCAGGATGGTACATGGGTGGCCCAAAGTTCACAGGTTGCTGAAACTGTTGCGGGAAAGATGGTGGAAAGGGCTGCGGTAGGGGTGGCGGATAGGCTGGATTGAACTGCATAGGGGGGGGACTGTTATGATTGACATCTGGTCCTGGATGTGTTTTGTAGCTAACGGCCAGAACACAGCCACGGATGACTGTGCCATCGAATGCCTCACAAGCCTACATTCAAATGAGCAATCGTGTGAAATACCCAGGGAAAGTGATATGGATACCTTTTGTGCGCAGTAGAAGGAAGACATGACAATATCGCCAAACCTGCGGTTTGCAGAATCGGCATAAGGGAAGATGTAACAGCCCTCAACGAGTCCGACCTCCGAGAAAAGTGTAAAAAGCTCCTTCGGGGACATATCAATCGGTAAGTTCGCAACATACAAAGCTTTGCTCATAAGAACAGGTGAATGTCCCGTGTTATTATTATTAGCACTGGACCTGGGGCCAGAAGGGCCGCTGAATCCACCATACAACGTGGTGGGGTCCATGTTATCGTTTTTTAATTGGGCAAGCACGGAATTGTCGTGCGTTTGCATTTGTTGCATTTGTTGCTGCTCGTGAGGTGGACTTTGGTTCTTTTGTCCGTATATGGCGTTGTTTTGCTGGATGGGATGTCCAGTACGATTTTTGTTCAGTAATTGAAGAATTTGCTCTCTGCTTTCGGGAATAGGCCTATCCTTGAAGCCCTTATAAGAATGATGGTGGTGATGACCATGGTAGATGCTCTTGTGATAGCTTACCCCGGGTTTATCACGGGGTTTGATAGTCCTAAAAAATAGCGTTAATCTTATGGCATGACAGGAATTACAAACACGAGTATGTAGAAAGAATTCTAGGTACAATTTGCGATCTCCCAAGGTGATTTCACCCTTCTGAACTGCATCTTGAGCATCCTGAGGATTACTGAACCCAATAAATGCGTATTGGGTCATAGAGTCGTTCGACCTGGCATCGTAGTTTACTGAACGCCTTACAAGGCTTACGATAGAGCCTGGAATATATTAGACAAAATTGGTAAACTATTTAGTGGGATTCCTTACCAAATTGACGAAAGGTATCGAATAAGATGCGATCATCAGTCAGATTTGTGAGACCGTTGACATAAACAACGCAGGAATTATCGATCTCCTCGACGCGCACCATCAGTAAAGTTCAAATGATGTTTGGAAGGAAAAATATATGTCCTACCTCAACAGCAGCGTTCTGACCCCTACCACCATAGCCACTATCTGCGTAGGTGGTGTGAGAGACAGCGGGAAACCGCCCTTGATCACCACGATAGTAGGTATTGTTGCTCATAGGGCTTCCAGACATACGACGAGCTTTGGGGGTGACAGGGCCACTATCAACTATATGTGTTTGGTCCATAGTTCAAATGGAATTCAAATTGTCAGGATAGGATGATTTAAGCTTGACACGTTGTGAGAGTCGATGTCGAAAAAGATGAGCACTGGCGAGATGAATGAAGTGGAGAGAGATTCCAAGCGAAATTCGATAATGGGAAGAAGATTTATAGTGTGAGGGTAGATGGATGACAAAGTCGATTCGAAGCTCTATATTTTTTTTGTGTGCGTAAGTCTAATTAAAGACCCGGAGAAACAAGAGATGATGTCAGAGATGAAGAAGATGGGAAGAGAGTGGGATACGGCCAGATGAGTGAAGAAGACAGCGTTAGCAAACGAGATGGTGATGGTAGCGACGGGAAACAGCACTCCTTCAAGAGCGTGTTGTTTCCCAATGTACCACTTCGTTTGGCTAGATTAGAAGTGTGTTGTTCTGGATGGGGATTTCTAGAATTTCCAAACTCAAGCGAGTGACGAGCTGTGGATACATAGAAAAGTTGGATTCTGGTGGCTGGTAAAATATTGCAGCCACGTGTGGCTGAGAACAACATCTAATAATCTTCGTCAAACCACAATTTACTCGACAGCATATGATAGAGGAAGGGATTAGATTTTTGTAGATAGTTAGTTACACGTAGATAGTGCTAAGTCATCCCGGAATCTTCAGCCCCCTTTCTGGCTTTCCAAGGCCTTCAGTGGTAATAAAAGCAGATATTGATATTCGTTACTTAATTATTTAAAACCCCAAACTGGGAGTAGATTAATTCGCCACGATACTAAGTACACACTTAAAAACACTAGTGATATATGTAGTAAGAATACATCTATTTCCTTCCGGATTCTGCTTTAATCTGGTACCCTCTGCTAATTTCGTACTGTGCTGTTGTACCACACACGATACCAAAATGTGTTTATAGAGAATTGGAAAAAAAGAACATAATAATTCAAGGAGGCTAGTAATTTTCAATAGAAAACTACAGGACGAAAAAACGGGGTGAAATCAGTACGGAATTTAGTGAATAATGTGGAATTAAACCGGCATTGCAAAAAGAATACCGTAGTGATGCCGTATTCTTGGAATACGAATCCGTACCCTTCTCCGGTAAGGCGGATGTGCGGGGAAACTGGTTTCCATTAGCAATAACGGGAATGGTGAGAGGTCTATAAGAATTGTCTCCGCCAAAATCCACAACAACTGCACAATAGTCTATTTCTAATAATTCTAGCCGTACTAGCAACCACCGAAGTATTTAGTCGGGGTCAGGGTCACTAGAATGGCACTCGTTCCCTTCAGTCACGAATAAGCGACATGTCCGAAAAAAATAAGCGACGAAGCCGTTGTCGCCGCTTTTTAGCCGTGACATCATCCCGCATTTGACGAACGTTTCGACCCCCACCCATCTCCTTTCTGTGAGGAGAGGACGTTTCGCCCAATCCGCTCAGCAGCTGCACGAGACTTCCCCACATTTTTGCTTTTCAAAACAAGCTGAACTTCATAGAGATGAACCAACCCACCAGAGAAAAATACGGAATTCGCGCTGCTGTGATGGCTGAACGAGACTCACGCTGAGTGGTTGTTGGTTTACTTACCCCTCTTGATACCTATCCCTAGAGCACACACTCGCCTATGCCTCTTTCCCCACGTGGGTTTAGGGATTCCTTTGTGCCGTGCCGACTGGTTCTCTGAACCTCTCCTTCACCAATTCTGGCATCGTGTAGAGAACACTTTGAACACTTTGTTTTGCGAGTTGGTAACAAGTCGTAGTCAGCAATCTTTCTGAGTACGAGTACGTATCCGAATAAACCCGGCGAGTCTCTCAAGTCTCTTTCCTGTGTCCTCTACCTGGAAAGGTCAAGTACCCCACTCTGCAACTCTACTATATCGTGCATATGGTATCTCAAACAGATTATCATAACCCAGATGGTAAGTTATCGGTGTCAGAATAGGAAGGGGTATAGTATGATTACAAAGACTGGAATGGTCCCCCCACGTTCCTCATAAGGTTTCCAATATGGCAAGACCGTTTACTCTTACCGGGGAGTGTTGAAAGAACCAACAGACACTGTTCAGATATTTCGGGAACACGTGCGAGAAAGCCCGATCGATATGTGTGAACAAGCCTAGGAACGTTTCTTTTTCCCCTCCTCCTTAAGGGGTTGATGCTTTTTTTTTTTTTCTTTCGACAGCCCTCGATCTTTGGGACGGTTCTGTCTCGCGCTGCGTCGGTAGAAACAAGAAAAAAAAAGCTCTGATCTGCAGGAGTGCGCCGTATGTACGAGTACATGTAAAAAGAACGAGTTGTATGTGTAGACTGTCTGTCATCGCCTGAGTAGGAAGCAGAGGGTCCGTCCGAGAAGCAAGCAAAATGTTTGCGGCAGATGACTTTCAAATCGAACTTCCAATCGCTGCCTGTTGCATGGTCTATTCTTCCGCTTCCATATGATTATTTCACTCTATCTCTCTGCTTCTCACTTTCTTTTTCACCGCTCGAGCTCCAATACGCTACCACCAGCGCAGCTATTCATGAAAACTGCCCGAGAATGAAGAGAGACGGGGGAGCATCGGAGGGAGAGAAAAAAAAACTAAAATTAAGGCATCGCGTCAGCAATCCCCGTCATTCCGCATTGCGAGACGACCCGCGGCCGTTCGCATCGACTAGAGTAGAGAATCGCGGCAGACCGGAATCCACGGAGAAGAGGATCGTCGGTCTTTTTGACGCCCTGTAAGTAGGTACATCTAGCTACCGCCTTAATCGCGTACCACGAGCCTGAGGATTGGGTAGTTATAGGGTACATATCGGGGTAGTAGGGTACTTTACTATCCTGCAGAGCGTAAGAACGTCTGAGAAGAAGGGCCTTTCATATCAGGCAGACCTGTGCCTAAGTCGTCAACCCTGAGCTTCTGCTGCGTGCCGGACCATTTATTGCCTACAGACGGCGTGGGGGGACAAGATTGAGCCCGATTTTTTTCTCTCGCTTCGTTGACCGGTACCATCTAAGGATACCGTTAAATAGGTCTAGTACCAGGGGAGGAATGGCGGGTGGTACATTGAATCGCTGCGATAAGTCCATGTGTGTACATGTACAGTCAGTGCAGCCGGGATAATAATAACCTTTCTGCGCAAGTGAGTTTTGTTGCTGCTGATTATGATTATGATTATGTTGATTATGATGCTTACTCTATGATGATATTGGGTTAAAGATTCGGTTCCAGTGGCTGTTGCTGTCCGTCCGTCCATCCACAAGGAGATTACTATTTCTTTTTTTTTAATAAATTTTTTGGATATCAATTCTGCTATATCTAGAGTATGTGCAGGGGGAGAGAGAGAGCATCAGGCAGCGGCACGACATCGTGAAGTTTCGAGACAACAGAACCAAATATGAAAAATATCCCAAAAAGCAAAGGTCATGTCTCACTGTGTCCACTGAGTGGCGTTGCACTTTTTGTGGGAACCAGTGTGAAACGGTACATCGAATCGCCATTGATAGGCGGGCAGTAATTTGGGGACAGAGGGGACAATTTGGAACGGTCTCTCTCCGGGTATATCCCACGCAGTTTGGAAGTTGCAGCCACGCTGCTCTCGCCTGAAGGAGAAATCCCCGCTGCCGTTACAGAACTGACAGAAGCAGGTGTACTTGGAGGAGTAGAGCACATAGAGTACATGGTGTATGATAGGTACAGTACCGTATAGGGTGCGTAAGTTAGGTGGGTGGGTGAGAGTAGTTGACAATAGACTGAGATCTGCCCAGAGCCCAGAGATCACAGCGCTCGTCTATCCTGCATGGTGGCATCCCCGGCGGGACCGCCCACAGCCCACAACCACCCCCCCCCCCCCTCTCCCAAAAAAGGGAAAGGAAAAAAAAAAAAACTAAAGAATCCTAGCTAGGAGCAGTCGGTACTCTACTCACTAAGGTACTCTACTGTGTAAGTCTAGTCGCTGTCAAGCAGTAGTAGAGTAGATGCAGTTACCCCTCCACATCGTCCTCCTACATACAATACGACAGCAAGACCGCTTTCAACGCACATCACATCCACATCCAACAACCTTTTTTCCCACCAACATTACTCTAACCCAGCCCACCACTTCTCTGCGATCCCAAACTGTCGGCTCTTCTCGTGTACTACCCTGGACAACCAGCAGCTGGGTTTGAAAGGCGAACTGTACCCGCTCTCGTCCTTTCGGAAGTGTATACCATACTCTACATACCTCAACGGTACCTACAACAGGATAAGCTACATCCATCCCACCCCACCCAATCCTAACTTACCTAGGATATTCTGCTACTTGCCTAGCATTCATACTACTACACCTACATACATAAGGGCCCGTCCCTCCCGTCGCCTCTTCAAAAGGAGTTGATCTTAGAAATAGTAATTCCGTTGGTTAGTCTCCTTTAAGATTATTTATTGTTTCTACCTACCCTCTCTGCCCAGTTACCTGCACCATTGTCCTATTTCAACAGTTCTGCAATTTAGAAATCTTGTTTTCCCAAGAATTTGTTTTGTTCTCTTTCGTCATACTACATCTTCACGAACCCCAAGCTAAACATTCTTCTGTTGTTTTCTACTGTTTCATTTAGCCCCCAGAGATCACATCTAAATCTCCTCTCAGAAAGAAAATAAGCAATCATAAAAGCACAAGAGAGAAAGAAGGGACTATAAAGTTGGCGGATAAAGCTTCATGACCTACATGAGTGCTCAAATCCAATTTCTTGTTAGTAACCCACATTCAATCCCCACTCCCAAATCTCCTATATCTTCTTCTACTTCCTCTACTTCTTCAATTTCCTCCTCCTCCTCTTTCTCCTCCACCACCTCAATATCTTCAGCAACTTCAACCATCGGCGGTATTTCAATGGCAGGATCAAGCCGGTCATACGCATCAAGCTCTGCCTCTGATGGCACTGCATCACCTTCAGGCTCAACGAGGTCTCGAAGTACCTCTTCAATCTCTGCCTACTCCTCCGCCGAGTCCCTCGATATACCCATTGGCGCCTACTGTCGTGACGGGAAGATTAACAGTGAACCGTATGGCGGCGGTGTCTACACAAGCTTACACACAACTGTGAAAATACTGCAGGAGTGCCGACTATGTCTCATTCACATACCGCTTCCCCTCTACCCCCACTTCGTTCAAGCGATCCTATCATTGATCCTCCCGCTATCACCAGTATCACCGGATGGTGAGGGAAGGGACGGTAATGACTCGGAGCCCGAGGACGACGACGACGACGAGAGCGTGGTGCCCGACTATCCTTCACCCAACAGACCTTCATCATCAATAAAAGACTTTGTCAACATCTCAGTCACCCCTGTCGAGTGCTCTGTCGTGTGTTCCCGGGAAAGCGTTGAGAAATGGTTCGCGCCGATCATCAGGACTCTCGAGAGTAGCCATAGAGGCGACGTTATGATTGCCTCAGAGGAGTTTATGGCAATTCAGGTGGACGGAGAGGGACTGGATGCGGGGCAGCGGGTCCTCGATTTGACGAGCCCGCTTGCATTAGCTGGAGTGTAAGTTCTACTCCTTACACATTTTTACAGATTCACAGCGCAGCGCACGGTTGTCGGAGAGTGGGCATGCTCAGGGATTGAATGACTCATACTACATACACATCAGATGAACTCAATTCTGACATGATATTATCTACAGATCAATCTTCTTCATTACAACCTACTTCAGCGACTACATCCTTGTGCCCTCTACTGCGCGCAGCCATGTCACAAAGGCTCTCCAGCGCCGTGGCTTCGTCTTTGAAAAGCACACTGAAGCCTTCGTTACACCCCATCACCGGAGCACCTCAACCTCCTCCAACCTAACAATTCAACCTCCCTCACCTCCGCCCACTACCACCCTATCTGACCTTCAAACTCGCACCTTTGATGCCCTCCGAAAACAGAACGTCACACCTGTAGTCAACAAAAGCACAAGGCTCGTTCTCTGCGCCGCCCGTCGCTCATTTAGTAAAGGCCGCGGAGGAGGTGACGACAGAGGGCTATATCTTGGTCTCGTAAAGTGTTTGATCAGCCGGCCGCAATTCCTCTCCGTAACGTTGACAGATGCGGAGCCGGCATCGCTGCTATTGCAGAAGGAGATGTTAAGCATGTTTGGGAATGATGATGTCTTACTAGGGTCAAAGGAGGATGTGTTGATCCCAATTGTGCTAGACCTGAGAGGGCTGCCGGTGGATTCAACCGGTATCGTATGTGGTGTAGCTGGAAAGCTGGTCGGTGGGACATCAGGAACCTACTTCGATAAGAACGAGGCCGTCGAAATGAGTTATCTGAGTACCGCAAGAGCGGGTACTGTCATTGTTGCTGAAGAGGACCTTTCGAGAGCTGTTGAGGCATTGGGGTTGTCGCTATCTTGATCTAATCCACCTAACCATATACTGGTATCACAGACAGCATATACTCAACAAAAAAAAAGTTTCAGTTTTGCATTCGTTCTGGACTACAAAAGAGTTACATTTCGGGGGCGGCGGAGTCGTTTTTTTCTTTTATTATACCTTTTTTCTCTTTTCTACTAGTATTACTTTTTTATTGTGTTTTATTTACTTGATGGGAATGGAGAATCTAGAAAAATTGGGTGGGCGGCTAGCTTTGTTTTTTATTGCAGGTGTCATTTTTTTATTTTTATTTTACTCCATTTTATTGCGGAAAAGTGGGTTTTTTCTTTCTCTCTACTCTACGTTTTAACTTGAGGCAATGAAGGAGGGATGGTTGGGGAAGGACGACATGGCAGGAAAGGACACGATGGGTGGGATGGGACAGATGGATGGCTGGGGCTGGAGGACAACATCAGATTTTTTTTTCACGATCGAGTGGGTTTCCTTTGTTCAATGAGAGGACTCTTTGGAGCACATGACACGGTGTTTTTGGTTACATGACCTTTTTTTTCTCTCTCTATTTATCTGTTATAGTTTCAGTTTCATAGTAGCTAGGATAATGTTGGGATAGGAGGCCCTTCCTTCACATTTCCTTGTTTGACGCTTTCTTATTTTTCTCCTCTTGGGATCTGAGGGAGGTGGGGCGGTGTGATACTGCAGCTTTGAAGGCCAAAGAGGATTTGGGGGGGGTCTGCGGAGATAATGCAATCATCTGTTCTGTTTAGCAATTGCAATTGCCTGCCTGCCTTCGAAGCAAGAGTACATTTCGTTATTCGCAATTCTCACGAGCAAAGGCGGAACCACGGTGCGGGAATGACGAGCACGTACGTTATATTAAGGATGTTATTATTGTGCCTACCCTGGTTTACACGAGGCAGGTAGGCATGTAAGGTAAGGTAAGGTAGGCAGGCAAGGACAAGGACAGGACAGAAAGATAGGACAGACAGCTTACAGCTACAGTGGCTCGAGCACCCTATCTATCTACTCTATCTGTCGATATTTTTTTTTTCCCACGATCACGAGCATGGCATGAAAGTGAGTAGAGCATAGAGACTAAGGATAGAGGAGCCACCGCATAGCAAGCACATGATTTTATGCTCTAGAGTAACAAACTATTTGTGCTCTTCTACTCAGTCCCCTTTGCACGCGCACACACGGCAACAATTAACTCTGGAAAAGAGCAGCAGTTAGACGCGCGTATCATACTGTATGTACCTGCTCTACCTAGCTCTGGGAACTCTAGAGTAGGTAGAGTACTTTACGTACAAAACTCTAGTTTCTCTGACTTGCACCTGCCTGCTGCTGCCACTTGCTGTAGGTACATACCGCATATGCCTAGAATAGAGCAGAACACATGCCAGAGTATTTGCATGCTCTAATCTATGAAACCACCCTGCTGCTATGCCTCTAGCTATGAAGCACTGCAAGCAAGCACTGCACGCAAGCAAGCAATGTGTTGTTAATTCCTTTTTCCGTGCAGACCTGCAGAACGGCGGCGGTGGTGGGCGGGGAGGAAGGAAGGAAGGGGAAAGCTAGAGTAGCTTGACGATGATGATGAAGCAGAAGAACAGCAGAACATAGCAGCAGCCAGCAGAGGTAGAGTAGAGTATGATGATGGGGCCAGGTCAGGAAATGTCTCGATGGAAGATTAAATGCACAGGATCGGAGCGTTGAATCGGTTATTAGGATCTCCAGCTGTCGGCGGAGACGAAGAGAGCAGCCGTATGCGTGGGGATGTTATAGTTGCGACCCTGGTTATAGCGGAGGCAAGCTCATTCGACAATGCCTGGTGGGAGATAGTCTACTTTTACACACGATGGGTTTGGAAAAAGCAAAGGGAGGCCCTTCCTTGCCTAGGTCGGGGACGGGAGGGAGTGGAGGGAGTGGATGGATGGATGGATGGATGGATGGATGCGTATTTCTAGTGTTATGGGTACATAGGGAAAGGGTCCATTTCAGGATGCTTAGTATCGTGATTGGATGGAGGGCAGCATCAGGGTCAGGGTCCGCACCCGGAGAGCCCCGGTATCGAGTGTGGGAAACAACCACGGGCATGAGAGAGAGACAAGAGGACAAGAGAGAGAGCAACGAGAGGTGTTACTGAATGCTTGGCATGCCCTAGGCAATCGCTAAATTTTCAGTGAGCTTCATCGAGAAGTGTAGGAGGGATTAATAAGACTTACTTACGTACATACATGATACATCGACAGAAATACGTCAAACCACGAGCAGCAGCCTTATGGAAATGGAGTGGGGACTCAAGTGCCTATGAGAGTTGCTGAACAGAATTAAAGAACAGATCACACTGGTATCAAAGCGTAGTATCGCCCTGTCAATCAATCAGTCAACCTCAACGACAGAACAACGAACCATCCATCCATCCATCCATCCATCCATCATCCATCACCAGAACTCACTCACCACAGAAACAGGTCCAGTTACGAGTAATCTCTCTCTCTCTCTCTCTCTCTCTGTCTCTCTCTCTCCCCTCTCTCGCTCTCCCCTCTCTCGCTCTCACTAGGCACCCCTACATACCATACTTCATACCATACCTCTTTCTGAGGCATACGCCTACTAGGCTCTCTACATACCATACCGGACTTTTCGCTTCATCGCCTCCAGGTCACGTCACGTCGCCTCATAGGTAGCCGACAAATCTCAACAACCCACACCATTACATACAACCCCCCAAATCAGTATCCACCACCCCCTCCACAAACGTTGGACCAAGAAATTTCATAATCATCACACAGATCATCCACGTCGACTTGCTTGTCCTCCTCTGTCACGACCCCTCACCAAAAAAAAAACACACCCCGACCCCCGACCCCCGACCCCTCAAGGACCTCAATCTCGGCCTTCCCCCACACTCTCTCAACCCCCCTCTTTCCTGCGATGGCTGCCGCTGTCGCTGTTTCAATCGCCCGCGCTTCTTTCCGCGGTGGTCTCCTTCGTCCAGACCCCACAGCCGTGCCTCTAGATGAGATCACCCTCTTCCACACCCTGCTAAACAAGGCTCTCACCATCTGCTCCCCATCAAACATCCAGGTTGATACACACAAGCACCTACTACCCTAACCCCCCTCTCTTCGCTTCGGGGTGGTTTTTTTTCTGTCATATCAAGACTAACCGGGTCATCACTCTTCCTCAAGAACTGTAAACGATGGATTCTACGCTACGTGACGTCGCGAGCTAGGGTCGTCCTGCTCGGGAAGTACTTGGTCGCCCTCTCACCATCACTCACCAAGCCTCCTTCAGGACCGAGTCCGAGCCCGAGGAGACAGAGGCTGCATATGCTGTACCTTGTCAACGATATACTACATCATACGACTCGCAATGAGCCGTCCCCAACATTTCCGGAGGAGATTAAAAGTTTTCTCAAAGACCTCTTCACCGCAGCGATCGCCCCTGGAGCCGTAAAGCAACTTGCCAAGGTGGAGCGACTCCTCAACCTATGGAAAACCCAGTCGTACTACCCCGCGCCATTCACGGCCGAGCTTCTCACTGCCGTTCGCGACGCAGCAGCAGGGAACAAGTCCTTGTCCTCTCCACGCGAGAAACCAGCGACAGAGCGCCCACTGCTCCTTCCGCCGTTTCATGGAGACCCGTCGCTTCCCTTTTACGATCTTCCGGCAGCTAACATCCTCCCGCACCTCAAACCTAATGCGCCAACCCCCATAAACCCGCGCCTCGTCAAGCCGATCCAGTTTTCGACCCTCACCCCAAGTGGACCCCTTGCGACAGCAGTCAAGGACTTCCTTGCCTCTGTTGAAGGGATATTTTCCGGCGCGGATATTGGCGCTGGGGATCCAGATGCAGTGGGCGGGTTATTTGGCAGCGCCGGGGAGGGTGAAGGCTACTACGGGTGGAGTCGCAGCTTCTGCGAAAACATGAGAATGAAGAAGCGCGCGGCAGCGGAGGGCAAGAGTAGCCGGTCAGAGGGCAGGGCTAGCAGGAGTCGCAGACGAGGAAGCTACTCTGATAGCGAGCACAGCGGCTCATACTCGCGATCTCGTTCTCGATCGCGATCGCGATCAGGTGGCCGAAGGAGGTATCGCGAGTCGAGAAGTAGATCTCCCTCATCGCGCTCCCGCAGCCGGTCCCCGGCGCGTCCCTCATTTGGGCAATCGCAGCCGCCCCTACACGGCATCCCTCCCCCTCCACCACAGCCGCATCTTAATTACCCACCCGAACTCGCCCAGCAACAACATTACCCACCTCCGCAGGGCTACCCTCACCCTCCCCCACCCCCTCCTATGCCGCAAATGCCGTACGGATACCCCCAGGGACAGTTTTGGCCGCCCCCGCCTCCGCCGCCACCAGGTTTCCAGCAGATGATGCACCAGCAATTTCAACAGGGGTACGGATATCCGTGGCCTCAGCAGCAGCAGCAGCAAGGGTTCCCGCCGTTCCCTCCTCCTCAACCACCGGTACAGCAGCAGCAGCAGCAGCACGTCCAGACTGATGGGGAGCAACAGCAGCAGGGGCAGCATCAGCAAAGCGGACAGGGGGGATATGAGGATTATAGGAGCGTTAAGGGAAGGGAGATAGGGACGCGGAGAGGGTGGAAAACCTGATGTGAACATGCGCACCACGTGCAGGGCGGGAGTGCGTGGAGAGCAGCAGCAGGTACGGGTATGGGAGTTGAGGCTGGTTGGGAACTTGCCTGCCTACTACCTGTCTGTCTTGTTTGCCCGGTCGTGGACGGGAATCTCCCCATCGCAAACCGGCAGACGAGACAGTGGGGTAAAGGTGGGAGAATTTAAAAAAAAATAAAATAAAAAAAGAGAAACGGGAGCAGACATTGATGCGCTCGGTAATTACTTATCACTTTTTTTTTTTTTGTCTATCTCTGTTTCGGTATATCTCTGTGTGTGGGTTGTGTGTCGTTTTTTTGATATGCTTGTTTGTATGCGCCATTCCATTTAATTATTCTCCTCTCTTTTATCAGTGTACTGTACTCTATCTACTCCTCAGCTGCAGGTTAACTAAAAAAAAAAAAAAAAAGAAATCTGTCGGATTGTTTTTTTATCTTTTTTTGTTTTCTATCGTTGTTTGCTACCTCTCTCCACATATCTACAGTACCTACAGGGATCAGAATTCAAGTCCATTGTTTTGACGATCTGCGCATGCTCGCCTTGTCCGTCCGTCGCTGCTACCTTTTCGTTCGCTTGCAGACATCCTTTTCGTTTCTTTTTCGCCCCGTCACTTTTGTGGTAGAGCAGAGAGAGACAGATAGGGATCTATCTGCCTTCCTTCCTGTCTATCTACTCGCCCTACCCTATTCCCGGGGGCGGGGTAAATGAAAAAACGAAAAAAAAAAAGGTGTTGCCATTAACAAAAGTGAAAGTGTAAATAAAACCCAAATTGCAAAACACCATGGAATATCATCGTGATCATCCCGCTCGCTGGCGGTGAAGAGTAAGAGTAATATCCTGAAACCCGCCCGCCGTGCGCGTGTACGATAGCAATGATATCATACCTACATACCTCCAACCTCCACGTTTTGCGATTTTACCCGTGACTGACTGGCCGTTTAAGGGGCCGGGCTGGGCTGGGCTGGGATCGCAGGGTGGAAAAAAGGTAGAGCTACATAGAGGGTAGAGGAGAGTAGGTAGGGCGGTGGCGAATCTTTGCTTTTGCTTTTGCTATTGCTTTTTGGGGAGGCTCATCTAATCTTAAATTCTTTTTTTTTTTTCCCCTTCCGATATTAGGATGTGCTCCTACATAGTGAAATCCTCGAGTAGTATGGTGGGTATGATATCATTGCACATTATTGGGGGGTATGTAGACTCGTAGAGAGAGCGTTCGTCGTCGTCGGTCGGATATATCACATCCATCTCGCTGTCAGACTAACCTGGGTAAAACCGAAAAAAAAAAAAAAAGAAAAGGCAGAAAGAAAGAAAGCAAAGAAGAAAAAGGAATTCTTTCAGCTGCCTGCACTGTCACTGACTGACTGCGCGTGTCTGTCGGAAAAAGGGAAAGGGAGAAGGGAGAAGGGGTGGTTGTTTGAGCTAGTAGGCAAATTAGTAGAGTCAGTAGACAGTCAGTACAAGCTACCGGGAGATACTTCTACCGCGACGCAACGCGGGTAAGGTGGGAAGAAAGAGTAGTAGTACAGGCAAGACAGACAGGGCGCGACAGGGCAAGACAAGACAGGGCAAGAAGGCAGAAAAGAGCAGGAGAGGCACGGTAAATTAAAATTCGCAATGCGGAGTACATCTCCCATGATATCATAGTGTAGCAGCGCCTATTCTCACCTCACTTACCTACTACTCTAACTACCCATCCATGTAAGTACTACATTTGTAGCCACAAAGAGTCGGTACCTAACCCGGGTATATCACGACGACGACGACGACGAGCCGGGAATAACGGTAGTTCTCCTCTCCTCCTCCGCCCATATATCAGCAGAGCAGCAGCAGCAGCACCCGAAACGAACGAGCAATGTTACCAAGTAAAAGCCAGTCATTCATGTAGAGTGTGTATGCGTACCAGGATGGGGATCCGCGTCGAGAGTATATGTGATATCGCTCCCCCCCCGGCCCCGACAAATAACGGGCGCCGGGCGTGAAAAGAAGAGATGGAAGAGGAAGAGGAGTAAAGGGAAGGCTGTGAATGTAATGACGTCTACATATTTTTATCCCCCGGTCCAATGTGACATTTGGATATATCTTCACTTTCTGTCTGTCACCCCCGGGACCCCTCTCTCTTCAAACACTACCCATGACCATAAGGCTACGGCAGTCCCCGGTACGTAGAGCCACATGGGGATGCAAAAAAGTGATACCTTAGACATATGTAGACGACATATCTAGGTAGAGTAGTAGATTAGATAGTATGATACCTCGCAGTAGTAGTTAGTAGTACATGTAGTCACATAGCAGATTTGCATGCGGCGAGGAACGGGCGAGGAACGAGAAAGGAAGCCAGCCACCCGCGGAACCTCTTTCATCTCCTCCATCAAATCATCACCTCTCCCACTCACTTCCCTTCCCACGTGTCCAAACAAAACAGCTCTCTCTCTCTCTCCTTCTCTTTGTTTATTTATGATATAAACTTCCCATGGCCCTCCCTCACCCTTGTTACATACCCAGATGAGACCATTCGTCTATCGTCCCGTTATACGTACGTACGTACGCAGCGCCGACACTCACAAAAGCAGCGTAGCGTTGTGACCGACCGTCTTCTTCCGAGATGCTGTGTTGCAATTGCTGTGTCTGCTGTATGCTGTGTCTGCTGTGTGCGCAGAGTATGATTGATGCTGCAGTGCAACCCTGGGCTCGCTGTAGGAATTTAAGCTTTTTCGTGCCACCCATCAAAGGTGGGGTTGGATTCGCTGTTATATGGTGCGGTCGGCCTGTAAGGTGTACCACAATCCGGGTTGGTTATTCCAGAACTTTGAGGTAATGAATTAAGCTGAGAAAACTTGGAGAGCCTATTTGTAGTATAATAAGAGTTCCCAAGTTTTTATCTGTCCATAATGTTCATAGTTATTGTGGAATAAATACCTATATTTCCGTGTTGAAATCGGGATTTGGAACGTGCTCAGATATACACATCCATGCTCAGATGTACACATTTCCCGGGTGAATTACTTTTTAGCCATAACCCCACCTCACAACCTCCTACTAGTTCATACTACTTTTTTAAAGTCAACAGATATCACCTTCAAGGATGGGCCGCATTTCTAAAGCACAAAAATCCCGCCAGGAAAAAGCTAAGAAGGGAGGTAGAGGCAGGAAAAAGACAGTCATTCCAGATACTCCTATCAAAACTCCATGGAGACCCAAAACTACCCTTTGGCGCCTAAAAAAACATGCTGCCAACGCACAAAAAACCTTATTTGCCAACGCTTTCCAGAAACTTGTCATTGTAACGGCAGCTAGACGGATTGGCTATGTGAGTTGTCTGGGTACAAGGGAGAAGGATTATGCAGTGTGGTTGGGTTTAGTGAAGTGGGTTTCTATTATGTTCTATTTGTTTCTGTTACGCGAGGGTATGAGTCAGCATTGGGATAGGGTATGGATATATAAGGGGGGCGTTGTTTCGTGATTTCTTGTTTCTCTTTCTTTCTCTTTTCTCTTTATGCAACCTCTGTACTTTACAGTCACGAATACTATTTGGTTCGCGCTACGTCATAGGGTTTACCCGGTATACTAGACCAGGTACAACCATCCATAGTCCATAGTCCACAGTCTCCGTTCTTGCCTTAGGTGTACCCTTCGGCCCCATAGTCCATAGTCCACGAACTTCCTACGTCCACGTCTTCGCTTCGGTTGTATTCCTTGGCTTCATAGTTCCTACGCCCATAGTCCCCGTTAGAGTCATGGACAGAAATACAAGACCATTTTCTCCATTATTATATTCCCTAAGCAATTCAACTAGGCCCTCTACTGGTAATAGGAGTACAAGAGCAGTAGCTGGCAGTGAATTAGGTTCAAATACTCCGGCGGAAATACCAGGGGTAGATGTAACAAGAGAGGGGGGGGCATATCAACACCTTAATATCAAATTAAATCCAGAGGAACCTGAAGAGCCTGAGGGAGATTTTGAGGATATTGAGGATGATGTTGAGGCCTTATATATTGGAGAATATGGCAAAGCGGAGCTTGAGAGTGCGGTATTCAACTGGCCTAATGTCCAATCGGTACCAGTTAAGTGTATGATATTAAATCAAGGTAATTCAAATATTTCAAACATCAGTGATTTTTGTGAGAGTTTTTGAGATACTGATATATATTACTTCAATTTCTTATAGCTATTCGGGATATACTTAGAGTACTTAACTCTAAGCATCACCCTAACGGGCAGGACTATATTTGCATCAACAGGTTTTGTTTTTCATGAACTGGCAGCTCACTACACTCAAAAAAGATAACCATAATAAAAATTTAAAAAAAAAATATACAAGGAAGGAGTGTGTTATGAATGTAGCAATATGCTATCAAAAGGGTCGGAAGGTACAGGAGAGAATATTGAGACTGGAGAAAGAGTGGGTGAGGCATCGGAAAATGCCAATTAGTGGTCAGGGAAAAAACTCGAAAATGTTATGCATGTTAGAAGATGAGGGGACTATAATTGCAGTGCAGGAGTTTTTAGCTACTGCAGGACCAGGTAAAAATACTATCATTATATTCATTTACGCATGCTAATTATTGACAATAGATTTAAGGGCTGACATGCTTGTCAAAGCGGTTTCTGAATATTGGAAATCTACACAAATTGATATCAAAAAAGACTCGGAATTGGCTCTGCTATCTAGTTCCTTAAAGGAGATTGAACAGTACAGTACTACTCCTACTCTCTTTCGAAAGAAGCTCAGTATCTCGTCTACCACTGCAAAAGATTGGCTTCATCGACTTGGATATCGTTGGGGAGAGGTCAAAAAGGGTATCTATAAGGATGGACATGAGAGACCGGATGTGGTGAATTATAGGCAGGAGGTATTCCTTAAAACATATGAAGAGCTGTCATCGGTAATGCCTTATCCTGTCAGACATGAAAATGGAGATGTGGAGGTGCATATACCAATTATTCCTGAAGGGCATAAACTCATTATTCCAGTCACTCATGATGAGTGTACATGCAATGCCAACGATGGCCCTCATTATCAATGGGTAAGAGGCGATCATATACCATTGAGAAGCAAATCTAGGGGACAGGGTATACATATTTCCGAATTTGTTACTCCATGGGGGAGATTAAGGGTAGATGAGAAAAATATGTCAGATGGGGACCTTATCAAATATGGCTTGCATAAGAGAGAGGCAACCGAAATTATTCAATGTGGAGGAGCTATATGGTGGGATCAGGAAAAAATAGTGCAGCAGACATTAACAGCTATAACTATTTTCGAAGCAGCGCATCCCGGTTGCTGTGCATTATTCCTCTTTGATAATGCAACTAGTCATAGTGCATTTGCTTCAGATGCATTGAGGGGGACAAAAATGAATAAAGGGCCAGGGGGGTCACAACCACATATGAGAGACGGGTGGTATATGGATAAAAACGGAGTCAGAATGGTTCAGAAGATGTGTTATGGACAGAGGGAGAGAAAAATCCCGAAATCATTATGGGGAGAACCTAAAGGTTTAGAAGTCATTTTAAAAGAAAGAGGCTTATGGCCCAAAGAGGGCCTATATCTGGACTGCACTCAACGGAGTAATGTCCCCAAAGAGCAGAGAAAACACTCTGAAGCAGTAGCCAATTGCTGTGCCCGCAAACTCATATCTCAACAACCAGATTTTCTGTCACAAAAAGGTAGAGTTCAAGAAGTAGTAGAGGGTAGAGGACACAGAGTTTTATTCTACCCTAGATTCCATTGCGAACTCAATTGGATTGAGTACTTCTGGGCTAGGGTAAAGCTGTATACCCGAAATAATTGTGGTTATGATATAAAGTCTCTTAGAGAAATTGTACCCCTAGCACTCACATGGGCATCAGATTTGATACCCAAATGGTGGAGCAAATCGTTGAGAATTATGGATACATATAGGGTGGGAGTTATATATGGTACTGAAGAGTTCAGAGTGAAAGCTTATAAGAGTCACAGGAGGGTTACTAGTAGTAAAATATAATTTCTTGTAGTCTTACTATAGGTGCAAAAAATATCAAAAAATAAACTTGGAGCAATTTGATGAACGGTACCTCTAATTACATACTAAACTCTCTAAGAATCCCTACTGAAAATCCGGAATCATTTGGATCTATATTCATAATGCTAGTACAGTTTAAAAAATCTTCCGTAATGGTACCAAAATGATCAAAAATTAAACTCAAGGAATTTCTTGCTCGAAAGTCTCTATTTTAGCGGACACACCACAAGAACCCACGTTTAAAATCTGGCGAATTTAGGAGCATTATTCATAAAGTTAAAAAATATTTTGTATTTCATGTATTGATGGTCGTTGACCACTTGAAAGTCTTGGCGTTCCAACCCGTTGTCATGGCGGTACACCTTTAAGACCAGCCGCACCATATCTCGAGCGTGATTGGGGAGGGGGCTGCGATCCGATTCGCAAGACACATGGTACAATACAATACATATGTCGAGTACCTAGAGTATAATCCAGTACATAATAGACTGTTTTTTATTTTTTTTATTTATTTTGTTTTCTGCGATAAGGCAACCCCGTATCGCCAAGCAAAATGCACCACGGGAGTGCGGGAAGGGGAAAGGGGGGGATCTTTCTTTCTTCCCTCTCTACACTTCTCCCTACCTCCTCGGGTGGTGGTGCAAAAACATCGAGATTCTTTCTAAAGATCGGATTTGTGTCGTAGATTCGCAGCAGAAGCTGCTGTTGCTGTTGTCGTGTGTTGTGGGCGGGTAATGATAATGCAACGATTCGCCGCGTGGTGATTTGGCCCCGGGTGCATGTAATGTACGTGCGGGGAGGAAAGAAAGGGAGATAGAAGTGAGATCTATTAAAATTCCCGATGAAAGATGACGAATACGATTGATGGGTTTGGTTCGTGATGGTAGACAGATAGGAAGGAAGGAATACTTAGCTTCCGTGTGTACTCTGCCTGCTCGGTGTAATTCTTAATCATGGGGTATCACTCGCTGCAATCGTAGGTTGGTTGTGTGAGTGATTTGTCGTCAGTCGGTTGACCTACAGGGTCCGCTTGTCATAACAGGGATTTGATTGGCTTGAGAGTAACCACAGAAGTACAAGTAACTGTAACTTACCTTTGACGAGCTGCCTTGTACTCCCTATTGCCACTTATCCTATTCACTTATATAATTATCCTCATCGTGAGGCGGGTACATATGTACGCCCTCACGTAATTGCAGGAAAGTACCAGCGATCGAGATGGGCGTAAACGTACCGATGTGATTTAAATCGATTTATCTTGAATGAACGATTTTATCAAGTGCTACAAAAATTCGTTAATCTAATCTAATAACTAGCATTTCTAATAATGCCTCAATAGCCAGCAACGCAAACAGAACGCAAAAGCAACGCAAAAGCACGCAACATAGGAAATATCAAACGAGTGTGATAGGTAAGCAAGAAACAGAAACAGAAACAGCACATTCGAACAGCGCAAACACAAACAAAAACACGCATTACATAGAAAATGAACCAGGAAATGAATGTGGGGGTAATGATCAAACAGCACTTACGAAACCACAGAACACAACATCTAAGATCGCCGCCGATCTCCCTCTCTACCAATCTGGTAATAGCCTAGAATCTCTTGACCTACTCGTCCGGGTCCGAGCTATACCATGAAGGCTTAACACCCGCCAGACGGAGTTGGCGCTCTCTCCGGCGCTTCTCCTTCTGCTCCTGTCGGGATAATTCGTCCTCTTCCTCCGCCTCGGGAGTTGTCGCTGGGGGTTCCACCACTTTCTCTACTTCCTGTACTAGGGCCTTGCCTTTCTTGGCCGGCACCTTTGGCTTTACCGGAAATTTCGGCTTCCTCACAGCTTTCGGCTTCTCCGGAGATTCCGCTTCTGCTGTAACTTTCCCTTTCCCTTTAGTCGGGGCTTTCGGCTTCACCGGGGATCTCGGTTTCTTTGGCAATACCTTCTTCGGGGATTCTTCTTTCTCCTCCTCCTCCTCTACCTCTTCGTCATACTCCTCGGGGGCTTTCTCGACAACCTTTAGCTTCCTGGTAGGTTTAGACTTCTTAGGCGACTCCTCCTTTTTGGTAACTTTACGCTTAGTCGGAGATTTCGGTGCCTTGGGGGGTTTCACTTCCTTCGCAGGCTCCTCCCAAACCGATAACATCATCTTCCTACGAATTCCCTTCTTCTCGTCTAGTCCCCATAGTACGACATACGCCCCTATGAGTCCCGCCCTCTCACACGGTATCAAATGGTAACTCGGCTCCTCCGCGGTCCCAACATTCCCCGACAGCTCATACACACTCCCACCCCCCTCCCCTGTCTCTCTCTTTGTGGGGGAGGACCTTCGGGTTGACACCCATGGGTCTGTATAGCGGTCGATTGGGGCGGGGGTCCTGGAGGACCTGCGGACCGGGCTAGGATTGCCGACCGCTTTGGTGTTTTTGCGAGGAGGCTTTGTTGCGAGGGTGCGGCGGCCGCGGGGAACGGGGGAGTCGGGGACGGGCTGGCTGGTGCTTGGTGAGGCTGGGGTTTTGCGGGCGGGGGTGCCGGGTCTACTAGGAGTTGCTTTCCTGGTGGGTGTAGCTCTCGCAGGACTTTTCCTGGTGGGTGTACCTCTCGCAGGACTTTTCCTGGTTGGAGTGCCTGGGTCGACAGCGGCGGTGTTGGAGAGGGTAGTTTTGCCACGAGGTGACTTGGTGGGGTCGCGGGAGCCTGTGGCTGCTTCGTTCTCTCTATGGGATCTTGTGTTATTAGACATCTTGATCCTGTTTGCAAGTTGGGTTTGTATTGTGAGAGCTAGATAAGTTGCGATTGTTTAAGTATTGAGTATTGAGTTTTGAGTATTGAGTATTGAGTATTGAGTATTAAGTATTGAGTATGAGTATTGAGTATTGAGCTTGTATGCTTTGCAATATCCGGATGATGATGTGGTAAGAAATTCTGAGCAGCGGAGCAGAAATGGCCTTTATACGAACAGGCCATGAAAGCCATATTTCAAGGTACGAAATGATGAAAACGCGAAGGAGTGCTTGAAAATGCCATGATGGTAGATGTTTCTGCGTTGAAAGCGGTCTTGGCCCTTGAGAATGGATGTAGTCATGAAATTCGGCTATTCCCGTAGGAGAGATGATGTTGAGAAAGACAGAGACTAGCTCTCTAAGTAGAAATGTGTTCGGTTGCGGTTTAGAAGCCAAGACGCCCAACACGAGTGATGGGCTGAGACCGAGTGATATTCCGAGACGCAAATTCGCCAAACGCGTGACACGCAGCCTAACGATCGGGAAAGCCCAAATCACTTCGCTACCTTGAAGGCGCGCGTAGTTTCATGTTCATGCAGTCCTAGGATCGGTCTTTCCGGCCGCGGCGTTGTACAATTAATGAAGTAATCAATCAATCAATCAATCAACCAATCTGGCCGCGGCGGTTGGTATGTATCTCGCTTATTACATGTACTCCCCATGACCGAACCTCCCAGGAGATGAGCCTATCTCAGGCCCACTACCGCATTAATTCGAATTCGAATAGACGACCGGTCACACAAGGCGTTGAAACTCCCGTATTTTGGTTATTTGTCTTGAATACGCCCCCGGCCTAATCTCCCCCTCATACTGGCTTGAAAAAAGGCAACTTCGACGTCTTGTGTGACCGGCCGTCTATTCGAATTAATGCGGTAAGAGTTGGTAATCGTGGCCAGGAGAACATTGATATCAGTTTTACCTCGAAAATACTGACGCAGAGGATATCTCGATCGAAAGAGTGTCTTACATGCTCGTAAACCCCATAACTATACAACTACTTGAACCCATCCGCAGCATAAATTGTCGATTGACGGCGATATCAGCGATTTCAAATTCCCGATGTTCTGAAACTCTCCCAAAATATTAGAAGTGGTCTGTAAATTTGTAACCCTCTTTAAAAGTTAAAATCTGTAGAACTTCTGTGCCGAGTCATAAAATCTCACTCGGAATTCGCCCAAATAGAGCTAATCAGCCAAATGGGGGGAGAAAGACGATTCTATGCCCTGGGCTCGCCTTAAACTTTGAACAGGCTTATTTGACTTATTTCCGTGCTCTCCTTTTCCAGTAAACGAAATTGCTGTATCCCGTTGTTTTTATCGGGGGGAGCGGGGTGGTGGGTGCAAGAACTGATGAGTCGCCATGAAGTAAGAGAGGAGAGGGTCTTTCCTTATAATTACGGTGTATAACTAATTAGAGGACAGCTTGCTCTAAAGACAAAACGTACAGGTGCGTAAAGTAATGTTGACAACAACGTTGTTGTCCACAACAAGCTCAACCAGTTAGCGGATGTGCATCCAACCCAGTGGACACTTTGGATGCTACAAGGTGCAGTGAATAAGCTCACAGTCCAAAAAATCTGGATGCTTATATACAAGGCGAGTCGACTGCAGCTGTGCAGCAATTAGCGGTCAGGTTTGACGCTTGTTTCGATAACTCGGCTAGCCACATGTAGACAATTCGCCATATGAGGTTGAGTTAGCCGCTAGCGGAAGGAATCTTTATTATCTCTCCTAAAATCATTTGGTTTCCAGTGTCAATGATCATATCTACCACCCACGAACCTAACTACATGTAGTACTAAGCCTAACATACCCAAAACCTATCAACCTGCTGTGTCTCTTAACAAGAACGAAATCCTTATCCCGCGGGCCTATACATCCAGATCGGGCAAGCAAGGTTCCAGTTCAACTGGCTTCCTCCAAAAGCGGTTAGTCCACCCGCCGATCAGGGCCAGGGTGTGGGCTGGTTGCTGGTGACGTCACACCATTCGTGTTCCTTTATAACACTTGAATTCTGCACCCACGACAGCTCATTCTCTGCAAGTCAAGTCAAGCCATCGTCTAGTTAGATTCCACAGCTCCATCGTCTATTCATCCATCCATCTACTCACCACCCAAACAGCCAAACCCAAACAACCAATCCAACCCGAATCAACCACAATGGGTCTCGCCTCCGCCCTCCTCCTCATCATCATAACCATCATCGTACGTCCCGTCCCGTCCCATCCCCTTCCCTCATCTCCCCTCTCTCCCCAGCCAATCCAATCCAATCATTCCAATACAGTAAAAAAAGAAAACTAACAAACCACCCCAGTTCCCCCCGCTCGGCGTCTTCGCCGTCGCCGGCTGCGGCATGGACCTGCTCATCAACATCGTGCTCACAATCCTCGGCTACCTGCCGGGCCACCTGCACGCCTTCTACCTCGAGTGGGTGTACTACGAGCGCAAGGAGCAGAACCTGGCGGGCCGGCTCATGGAGGCGCCTGCGCCGTTTGTGTTTTCAGAGAGGATCCAGGGGACGAGTTATGGTACTATTGTGAGGGAGCCGGTTTAAAGTACTAGCTATGCAGTTAGTTGAAGGAGGAGGAGAAGGAGGAGGATGAGGAGGGGGGAGAAGGGGAGGGGGATAATGAAAGTATATTTGGCAGGGCGCATGGGACTGGGTTTTTTTTTTGCGTGGGTTGCTTGTGTGTTTTTTTCTGTATTTTTTCAGTTGGACTTGTTTTCTGCTTTCTTGGGTGCGTCAGCTGGGTGTTTGTAACAATGCAAATCAATCAATGGTTTAATATCTTTACTACATATATCTACTTGTTTATGAGAATCAATTAACTCACAGAGCTCTTTCTTTTACATGTTGAGAATTAACTAAGAGCTCTTGTTGAGAATTAACTGCATAGCTAACCATACAGCTAGGAGCTCTTAAACATCCAACGTCTACCCATACCAATCCAGCCAAGCGCGGGGCAATAAAAACCAGTTCCCGAAACCCCAAAAGTGATTGGTCCAGAGCCTTCCACTGCCCGCCTTGACGCGCGTCATGGAATGCTCTCCAACCCATATTCCAGAAACCCTAACCCAACCCAACCCAGCTATATCCACCACCATCCATCCACATCTCTACCCCCGCCTCCACTTCCACCCCCACCCCCATAGCCTCCCAAACACCCATAACAAACAGCCTTCCCAAGCCTCACTACAAGACCCAAAAACCTCGTCAAAAAAGACACATCCAGAGCCCCGAAACCACGATACTAGAATTCTTAAGCCCGGTTTGAAATCCGCCGGTCTGGATTGGAATCTGGGCCGGAGTATTTGAAACTAGGCTAGAGATCCTGCCAGGTCCGCCGTGAGAGGAGCAATGAGAGCTAGAGTACCAGAGTAGATTGTCTATTAGGTTTTCAATACTCTAGTCTCTAGTCGATATCTACTAGTAGTTACAAGTAGGAATGATGATATTAAGGCCCACCGCCCCCCCCCCGGCCAGCTAGGCGCTAGATGGTCAATGCACTAAATATTAATCTATTAATCTATTAATCAATCAATTAATTACCAAAAAAAAAAAAAAAAAAAAAACGATCGAGATGCCTAGAGTACTCAATTAATTATGTACAACCAGATCAAGCATGCCCTTCCTTCCATTATTAAGTCCCATAACCCTTTCTCCCTCGATCCTGCATATCCATATTGTATAATTTGTATTTTACACATGTAGAACGACTAGACTCTAGTAGCTAGCAGCAGCTACATGTAGTATTTCAAAGCAGATGTAAGGGGCACCGCGAAATATGAAGAATCCCTCAACCCACTCCAATTCGTTAATTTCGGCAGTACGTGCCGATCACTCTCACGATACGTGGTACGTTCTTCTCCCTATACCGCGCGGTACCTACATGTATTTCATATGTGTGTGTGTGTGTGTTTGGGGACTGTGTTAAGATTAGGATATTCGAGAGTGATGATGTGGAGTGTCGAGTGATAAGTTTCACAACAGCACTAGCCCCTTTCCACCCACCACCACCACGCACTCCACACCAACAACTCCACACCCCCTGCTGCGGGAAGCAGAAAGTGCGACACGACAAGCGAGATGTGGGGTGCATGCATGCAGGACAGGAAAGAACAGCCACTGATTTGATTGTCAGCGGTTTTGGTTATTGGAGTGTCTAGCTAGACGTACATACAGTACATACATGCAATTGAGGACGAGCGAGAGCGAGAAGCGAATTAAGGAAAGAATGTGTGATTGCTAGCAAGTAGTGAGGAGGAAGGGTGTGAGTGAGCCCGATAAATAAGATAATTATTCAACAGTCAAAAAAAAAAAAAAAAAAAGACTCAAAAGAGAGACCAACACAAACACAACAGAATAGTTAAGCAGTAAGCAGTAAAAGTTACATCAAAACCCAGTAGTAGTAGTAAGTAAGCGCAGCAGAAGCAGCAGTAATAGTCCAACAGAAAAAACGCGATGCAAAAAACAAAAAAAGGACGCCGTCATGGCATTCGTGCAAGAGCGATATGAAAGAAAGAAAGCAAAAGTCTAGACAAAACAAAAAACTCCAGATAATTTTACCCCCCCACTCCAAGAAAGAAAGGAAATCCTAGAAATACAGCCTTAACCTAGAGTAAAAAGAGCACAAAAGCCCCCCGCCCGACCGCCGCCGCAGCCCCGCCAACCCACCATTGCCGGTTTCCCTGCCTACCCTTGCCCGCACATGACTATTCCCGCATTCCGACATATATCCCAGCTGCCCCGTAAACTACAAGAACCTTCCATGCATAGTAAAAAAGAGAGAAAAAAAAAGGAAAATCAAATAATGCACCGGGGTTGAGTACTCAGTAAAAGGAAAACAATGAAGGAAAGGGTCTTTAGATGTCCAAGTGAAAATGGAAAGTAAAAAAATCGCTATTAGTGATATAGCCCAGTTATGTCTCCGAGACATCACCCAAACTATCAACCCTCTGCACCACCCGAATCGGGAACCTTATACCTGGCCCCGAGCGCTTCGATATCTTCCTCTGCATGCCCATCTCATTAACACTGATCGGCCTGATCGGCGGCGGACTCCTCAATTCCCGAAGACCGCTCGGAGATCCCTGAATACTGTCCCTCCTACTCGCGCTCCTAAAGTCCCGCAGCCCCGGCGACCCCTGCGTACTATCCCTCCTATTCAACCCCGTCTTCAGATCCCGGAGGCCAGGAGAGCCCTGGGCGCTCTCCCGCCGACTCAGGGTCGAGTCACTGCGGAGCAGCTGTTTCAAGCCCAGAACCGTGCCACGCCCCGCTGCGCCACCCTCGCGGTACTTCTGCACATACTCCTCCACCAGGTCGAGCGCTGTGGAACCGTTCTCATCCTTGAGTGTTGTGTCGGCCCCGTTCTCGATCAGTATCCGGGCCATGTCCTCGTAGCCATTTACGGCTGCGAGGTGGAGGGCCGTTTGTTTCCGTTTTCCTTGGTGGTTGACGTTTGCGCCGTTTTCGAGGAGCATCTTGAGGATGTCGTTCTTGATGCTCTCCATCGCGAGGGACGCTGCCCGGATGTCTTGGACCGGCTCCGTGTTGCTTCGGCGAGGCGGGAGACGCTCAAAGGACCGGTGGCGTGATAACCTGCTGGAGTTGGCTCTCTTTACCTCGACTGGGTCTGAGCCGGCTGCCACGCAGAGGAGCGGAGTGTTGTTATCTACATCCCGGAAATTAATGACTGTTGCGGCGCCCAGCCGGAGCATCCTAAAGACCGCTTCTGTGTTATTACTCTTTGCCGCAATGTGCAGCGGTGTCTCTCCCCGCTGGTTTGGTATCGTAAAGTCCGCACCCTTCTCTAGCAGATACTTCATCATCTCGGGGGGACATTTGTCCGAGCTAGCGAGGTGGAGAGCTGTGTCCCCAGCTCTATTCTGCGCCTTGTGGTTCGCGCCGTGGTCGAGCAGGAGTACCAGGATGGACTCGTCTTCATTCTGTATGGCGAGATGTACTGCATAGTTGCCCGCTTCGTTGTCTCTCTGGATGTTGACGTTAGCCCCTTTGTCGATAAGGAGCTTCACGATCATTTCCTTCTCACCCTCCACCGCAAAATGCAGTGCTGTCGACCTCGACTGAGCCTTCGTATCCAGCTCCGCCCCCCTTTCCAGCAACACCCTCACCGCCGCCTCCTGCCCCTCCAGTGCCGCACAATGAAGCGCGGTCTCTCGATCCCCCCAGTAGCTCTTCGCCTCTATATTCGCCCCCTTCGCCAACAACCTGCGTATTATCCCATCGTGCCCGTTTGCTGCAGCGTGCAGCAGCGGCGTCCACCCGTTGCAGTCGAGAGCTCCAACATAACTTCCATTCTCCAGCAGCGCCCCGGCAAGCCGCTCATACCCCCTCTCCGCCGCCCAGTGGAGCACCCTTTTCCGCCGGCCGAGGTCCACGGGGACGGCCTTCTTGTCGAGGAGTGGTTGGACCAGCTCGGCGAGCCGTCGGTTTGCCCGCAGTAACGCGTTGAGGTGGGAGCATTCGGGTAGCAGGCTGAGTTGTTCGCCGATGTGAATGAGCAGCTCGTTGGGGAGTTGGAGGAGAGACATATTTGTGTTTCTGTTTATTTCTGTGCTTTCTTCTGTTTCCGTTTACATGGAGGCGTCGTTGGGAGGTTTTGTTTGTTTGTTGACGGCCGGCGTTCACAAAGACATGGAGTCGAGAGAGTGAGAGAGTAAAAAAAAAAAAAGAAAGTGATCAAGGAGAGAGAGAGCAATGAAATGAAAAAAAAAGACCCTAGCAAATTCCCTAGCTAGTAAGTATGGGCTTTTTTGGGGAATTTGAAGGTCGAGTGCGGCGTCCCTCCCCCCGGGCTGACATGCTTAAATGAAATTCACGTTCCCTCTCGTCCGTGCTAGACGGCACATGAAACACCTGAACTTACCGTATTGGGGCTTCCAAAATTATGAAACCAAATGGGGAATGTATGGGGGGAAGGGGAGGGAAGGGGGGGCGTTTGTGACATTGTAAAAAAGAGTATGGCAGGCAACGGTCCGTGTCCGCAATGACATAAGGATCAGCGACTATCATGCAGAGAGAAGGGAGCTTTTGAACATCAGCCAGCTACAGGTACGAGAATAGATTATGACATACATATGCACTGCTGCTGCTGCAGTTGCAAATTGGTTTTTTGTGGCTTTGAGAAAAGACGGCCTCGAAACGCGCGGTAGGTAGAATAGCTAAGCTGAACGAACGCATTTCAACTGTCTGTCAGTCTGCTGTCTGTTCTGTCTGTCTGTCTGTCTGTCTGGATACTCACAGATCGGGCGAAGAATCCAGAAGAGGGTGAGATCTCTTGGCAGCTGAACTGAAAATAGGTTGAGTAACTAGCCACATCGATGTAAGTTGAGGTCGGTGACACCTGTGGACAGGGCAGGGGTGAAAACCACACAGCTCAGCTGCGCCAAGGCCGAGTGATATTCTCCGATAGAAAAGACGGCGATGCATGGTACCATCCAGCTCCATCCATCCATCACTCCCTCCTGAGGTGGCAAGCAAGCATGCAAGCACACACAACTCTGGAGCCGAGAAAGCCATAAAGCTGGGCCAAACAAACAGAAACCCAGGAAACATCCCCTCTAGCGGCCATATGTTATTGATTGGGAATAGCGAGGAGGAAGGAGAAGGGGGCTTTGCTTTTTCCCCAACCCAACCCCAAAGGCCGGAAAAGGGGGAGAGGAGGGAGCAGATGGTGAAATTGTTTTGTTTGTGCGCATCCGAAAAAGTACCTGCATAACATCAAGACACCCAACATCAAGTTCCCAGTTCAGTGTACTTTAACGAATTGTAACACCACTGTGTGTATTGGTGGAAACAATCACTTGACACCAATGGTAAAGAGCATTATCAATCTCGTGCGCAGCTATAATTTGCACAGTGTTGTAGCAGTATGTACATACCTACTCGAGCAGGTCAAAACCAAGAGACATCATCTTCGTGTATCGCTGTCACTTGTCTGCCCAAGAAACGATGCAGGACCGATGTCCGGCACGTACGGGATCATCCGGGCCCAAGGGAAATAAGGAGATCCCCTCGGCCTCTCCATGAACGTTTTTCGAGAAGCTTTACTCCTTCTCGTAGGGCTCTGGGAACCAGGGAGTAGTGAGCAACTGAGCAGCAGGCCTTTGCTTCGGGGCTCCCATCTGAACAGAGCAGGTCATGCACTTTTTCGGGTAGGGCAGACTTACTAGCAGAGTGCTCAGATACACACGTTCCCAGCAGCCAGTTCTTACCTAGGCAGTCAAGGCACGCCCAGACAGCAATTGTTAATATGGGTGTATTACGTAACCAAAGGAGGAAAAAGAAGAAGAGCTTTAATTACATGTAATGTATGATAGATAAACTGGATTGATGATAAGAGAGGAGTCCCCTAACCGAGAAGATATACCAACTAGCCTGGTATATCTGTTCTACTCTCTACATGTAGCTATGAATACAGTGTTGCTAACATGTATTGACTAACCCTTATCGGTAGTCTCGTAATCTATCCTTACAAAGAGGGAATATTCGGCTGCCAGGACTCTGCGAATTGAAGTTGCGGGATTAGTACTCCCACCATGGCCAGACATACATACCAGCGGTCCTGTCCCATCCCCCAACAAGGCCTCCCAACACTCAATAAGAAAGAAACAAAAAAAAAACCCCCATCATACAATCCCGACTCTCCCCTATTAAATAACCCAACCCAACCCAACCAGCACCCATATTGCAGCGTCCTTATTCTTTCCACCCGTCTCATGATCCCAGTCCTGTGCAACGCACCGACTCGCAATCCCGCCAGCATGGCTGCATACATTCCACACCTTATTTCAACTCTCCTGGCCCTTCTTCGGAGTTGGGTGACCGGACATTCTGGCTTAAGAACCAAGAGGATACATTCCTTCACGGCTTCGGTCGCCCGATGCTAATAGAATGTTCCCATCCATCCGCTCTCAGGAATGTTTTTCGACGCTATCTTACCAGCATAGCAAGATGTTTATTATTATGGATATGTTCAAGAATGCAAACCTGGTCACAGAGAAACACTCCACTCCCAGAAGTAAACCTCGGCCGCCATGGCCTAGTGCAGTTGTCTCTATGTAGTGGACATCAAAGACAGTCTTATAATTATCTCTCCGACGGGTTGAACCTAATCCTCCTCCCAAATCCGCGTTGGGTGAGTTTATTGTCCGGTACAGATTCCTTTTTCATAATGGCACTCGATCGTGGCAAGTGAGAAAGTTAATGGTTTCATCTCTACATGTACTTCAACTATTCTGTGGTGTGCCCACAACTTCGGTTGGTACATGTAATCTTAATTGTTAGGTTCTTCTACATACTTTGTGTTCAATTCATGCATTGATTGCTTGATCAATCAACATGCCATTGCGTAGTAACCATGGCTTCGGGGCTCTGATCTACTATGCAACTTAAGATTTGTAAGTTACTTTTATGGGTACTGATTGATACCATATATGGATTGAAGGTGTGTAATTCAGACCATGCAAAACATGGAATCAACCGGACCCGACAAAAAATCACCCTACCGATAGTTACTATATCTTCTTTGTCCAGCCTCAAATCCAAAAGAGAATGGCCTGTAAGAAGATAAAAATCGCCTTTTGAGCCTTCAATTGTATGAACAATACATACACAACCTCAACAGCGAGATAATTGAAACAACTAAACTTGATTCCCATTCCCTCGAAATAGCTGCTTAGCACGCATGCCGCACCCCCGGACTGAAACAATTCGAAACAGTACATACAACCATGTGAATCACAGTCAGAAGGTCCGGAAAAATCAAAGAAAAAGCATGGGTAGAATAAAATGATAACTTCTGCAAGGAAATCCCACTAGTGCCTCATAGGTATCTTCCTCTGAACATGATCGACCCGTATCTTCAACTAATTCTGTGCTCTCGGGGTATTATTTTCATCTGTATTCAAGCTTAATCTTGCAATGCCTTTCTTGTCATTTTCAAGAAGCAACGACAGGTTGTCCCAAGTAGCTTCGTGCTTGGCTAATTCAGCAAAGCAGGCATCCTCAAGGCTCATTGCAGCAGTACTTATTGAGAGCATTCCAGCGATAAGTCCAGTACTGCCGTCGATTACTGTTTTCGAAATCGAATGTGTCCACACGATTGTTCCTTGGCTTTTCAGTTTTGAAAAATTAAACCTGTACTCTTCGACATCATGATATTCGGGATTCATGATTTTCGTAACATCACTGAGAGACGTAGCCTTATCAATCAAATCAACTTGTTCGACTGTTGTAAACCCCTGTGAATATGGGTTGTGCCGACTGGACCCAAAATCAGGAGACATAGGTTGCTCGCTCTCGTCACGCATTATCTTAGTGTAATCAAAGAGATCCCCAAAAATTATTATTGCCTTTGCAATACGCTTTACTTCCTGGAGATTATATCCTCCTTTCTTTCCAATATGTACCGATATCGTGATGACATCCTCGATATCATCATGGAATGTTCGTAAAGATCTCAAAATTTTGGGCAATGTTAGTTTTCTCCACTGAATGCATCGTTGCTTCTCGATACCCAGTCCTAGATAGCCGTGGCCTTCGAAGAAATTCTCATTCTCGAGCATCCTGTCCTTCATTTCTGCATCCGCTGAAAATATAGCTGAACCAAATGAGCTAGGCTTATTTGTCACTATCGACTGTACCTTAACACTTGGTAGCTCGTTGAAAATGGCGGAGATGTCTTCGTAGACCTGATAACCAGAACGACCTACCCCTTTTGTTAATACCAGTCCAACCTCCAAACCAAGGGTGAGTTTATCCCCTTCCTAGATAGATATTATATTAATTTCACAAACATTTAAGCTTCCTCGCACAAACGGGATAACCTACGTATTGAATCTGTTCTAAGTTGTTTTCCAAGGACTCTTCGTCTTTCTCAACTGAATCATCGCTCTCGCTCAAATCACTTTCGGATTTTTCGGACATGACCTCCCAATTACTTATGGATCTCCACTCCACCCCTCCCTCAGGCTCAACGCGAAAAATGATGCTCAACCATTGCTCGGGGTCCCAGCGTAACGAAAGAATACCTTCGCTTTCATGTTTAATCTTTCTCTGTTTAAACATAGGACTGGTACCACCATAACCACCACTAATCACAGGGCATATCGGGATCTGTTTGTCATGATCAATACGGGAGCTCCCATGTTCTGATAGTACTGATGTCTGCTCATCCTGCGCTCCAAAAACAGTCAATTTCATCGGTACGTGACTGGAGCTTTGCAAAAATTTGTATGCTTTATGTTGAACGATTTGATCCAGTGTAGAGTTCTTCTCATATTCGTCCACAGGTAATAAGGAGTCATCGAGCCTTTTGGTAGGGGTTGCCCCCGGAGCTTTATAGGCAGGAACGTATACACGTAAAGTAATAAAGGATTTTAAGATTGTTTCGAATCTTACTCCCCCTGGAAGAGTCTCTGAGGTTCTTGAGTAGATATCGCAGCGAACATCCACGTGAGTACGTTCAGGGAAGTTTGATGCAAGTTTGATCGCTCCAGTGAAGCTCTCTGTATTCTCGTCCCACTCAAGATATGTAGGATAGAGGCCCCAAGTGGTCTTCTTTCTCAGAGAATCATAGTTCTGATGTGGATCCCAGAGCAAAGGTTTTATTGCAACCTTTTCCCCAGAGATGATACCAACCGTCTGCTCAATTGGGACCACGATCTGACGCATGAAACGGCAAAATCTATACGCTTCCCAGCCTCCACAGTTCTCAAAGTCAAATTTGTAACAGCTTTCCGGAAGAAATTCGTCTGACCTTTCAATGGTCGTTTGGATCGAGCGAAGGGAGGTACAGGTGTTCAAAAATTGTTCTTCAAACCCTGTCCAAATCGGCTCAACATTCAAAGAAAGACCTCGGTGGTGTAAATCCAAAAGTAATTTTTCCTTTCTGCAGATGTATGGACGAGTTTTAGAGGATTCTCTAGCTTCGCCGACAAGTATTTGTTCCGCAGCCTTGTACAATTTCCAAATATCCTCGGCCTTAGAGTCGGTAAGTGCCTTCCAAACAGACTCATATCGCACGGGATAAGCGGCCGACCCAATCGTAAAAAAAGCTTTCTCAATTGAGATTTCTCCTTTCAAAGGATAATAGAAAACCTTAAAAATGTCAATAAGTAGATCATGGTAAACCAGTGATAAAGAAAGGGACATACCAGGGGTCTTGACAGATCACTGGGGGCTTCGATGACCGCATGTACCCCAGGCGGGCCGATAATACTCTTAAGCTTGAACGATCTCATCGGAGGCTTTGGAGCCCAATGATTAAACCCGTCAACTAGTTTCATCAACTTGGATCTCAGGCTTTCGCCCCCTCTGTCGTAATGAATGCTGTCGATGTCTTCAACGAAGGTACAGAGCTCCTCGACTAGTAATTTGTGTTTGATAGACCTATGAGGTGAGTTATAATGAACGAAAAGAAAGATATATAAATCAACCTACCCGCATTCTGAAAACGGCAATGCATCGATAGAGTTGATCAATACCCTCATGATACTCTCCGGGGCGAATGTTGGGGGAGAAAGTGCTGAATTAAAGCTAAATACGGGTTCTGGATAAGAGGGTCCACAATATGATGGTTTTGAGCCATTGAAGCGAACTCCTGTAGCAGGCTTGCATACATAGTCGTCCTTAATTGGCATTTATGCGACGATGGCTTGTTGGGATAGTTAAAGAGATCAGCTAAAATAGAAATCTAAAGTTTTGGCGTAGAGAATTTAACGGATGTGAAGGAAGGACCGGCTATAAAACGAAAGCGAGGTATAAAAGCTAGATTTTGACGCTTGTTGGCTTCCGTCGAGACTGCATGCGTTTTTGGATAGGTGTAAAAGAACAACATACGCAGTAGAGAAAGTTGTGTAAGGCAGAAGTGTCCATTAAGTGCAGATTTTTACAAGTCCCAACGTCAACCGCCCCGGCGGGCATGCACAGAATATATGAGCCAATAAAACCAACCTTCCTGAGCATTACATCTCACTCGATTTTGCCTTCACCAATAATCACTCGACGATCCACCAATCCACACATACCATATTCCAACTCCACCCCTAGCACACCATAACAAACCTCTCCGATATAATACACCCCATCTGCCGCATGAATTATAAACACCAAATATACCTATATATACCCACACGGGCAGCTACCTTCACTTTAAACCAGGTTCATCTCACCACTATGCATCAATTAATTCCTGCCTGCATTCAATTGCAAGTGCATGAATCAAGGAGTCATAGGTGAGAAAATTAACTACTATGAGTGTCGAGTATCCGAAACCTCGGCAACTTGTCACACACCCAAGGCCTCTGTCACCGTCACTCGAGTATCGTAACTGTGAAACTGTTACTTAACTGTCTCAAAGTGCATTGTGTACCCTGCTTGGCAGTTTCTTGGGAGAAACTGCAGCCGCGAGGCATCTGCTCTAGTGATGTGTACCGAGATCAGTCTAAGATAAAAACGATCTCGCATATAATAAAAAAAGGGAAAGAAAGTTTAATAATTTCAAAGAAGCGCCAGTTAATACAAAAAAGAAACCCGCCTTTGTACAGTACACTCGGCGGCTGCTAATCCTATCCTCCCTCAATGATCCCGACCACAGAGAAGAGAAAAAATAAAAGCACCCAAGCCATTAATCATTAAACAACCCAGCTTAGCCCAAGCCTATCGATACCCGCTTAGTCGCGATTTGTACACAGTGCTCCAATCCAGTAAACATTTTTTTTTCTTTTTCGAGTTTCTTTGTTTGATAGTCTCTCTAGTCCATTGACTACAGAATATGCCCCAACATCACAACACCCAATGCAATCGCGAACGCACCCATTGAGCCTCCAACCTTCCCAAGCTCGCCAGCTCCGTTTCCATTGCCGGCCAACTCACTGGTAGCAGTCGTACTCGCGGATGCCGACGCCGCAGCGGTGCTCGATCCAACAACAACCACCGTTGTCGCTGTAGTGGAGAGGTTTCCGGAACCGGTAGCAGATGCACTGTGGACGCTAGTGATGAAGGAAGTTACGACGGTTGTGTTGCGGCCAGCGGTAGTATTTGCTGCTGCTGCTGTAGTCTCAGGGAGAGCGGTGGTGGGGGAGGTGGATGTAGTGGTATTGGACCAGGTAGTAGTTGCATTTTGAGCCTGGGCTACAGAGAGGGTGGCCACGAGGGACAGAATGAGGGGGAATAACTGCATCTTGAAGATTGATGGTTATTCGATGGATTGTTTGAGTGGGCAGTTTAAGAAATCGACTCGAGGGATGGATGTAGTTTTTGTTGTATATGTGGTATGTGGACGTAGAATGATACTGCAACGTTGTCTGTAATCGCAAGTGCTAGCTGCCTGGACTAATAGAAAGAGAGTAGACAATCCCGATTGATCAACAAGCAAAAAAACCGTAAGAAGAGAAACAAAAAAAATCGACTGAAAACCCTTGGGGGCCTGCTTATGTAGATATACATGTAGAGAGTCCACATCTCAGGCGGACAGGGAGGGGCGCACACAAACATGCCCCCTCAAAGCAGGGGACATCCCTTCCCTGGATCGCTTGCCACAGGGAACACCGCGCGTTCACCGCAACTTCCTATTTACCGTTTCTGAAACACCACCGAAGGGGGCGATTGGGCAGGTATGACCATAGTATGTACTCTTTCGTAGAGGTATTTATCCGGGGGAGGAGGGGGGGGTAAGGCAACAGAGGGACCTAATCTGCAGCCCACCTAGGTATCTTTTCCGGATCCCCGCCTCTAACTCGTATCGTAGCCGCTGAGAACAGCCAGAATATGTGCTAGAATCAAGCTGCGAACAAACCAGATCGAGAAGCACGATCCCGAGAATTAACAGAGAAAGTAAAACCCGAAAACAAAAAAACAGGATTGCAGAGTCCGGCATTCTGAACCTACATGTTGCCTGTCAGCTACCTAGTCTCCCCTCAACACTCTGTTCGCGCCCCCTCCTAGCTACATGTACTTGGCTGGTACATGGTCACTCATGTTGTTGCAAGTTTCACGATCATTGATTGCCTCAATCCCATCCCTCGACATCCCTGTCTGCTAGCCGTCATCCGTTTATGTAGGTACGTAGAGTACATCGTGTAGGGCACTCTACTCTGCTCTAGTCCAGGACCCTGCATACGCGTCCTACTAACTGTCGACCAATACTTCTTCTCCGTGGGAGGGCGACCGCTACAAATGCACTCAACTCACTCCGTCAAAGATCAGCCTCGTAAAAGAAGGTTTCAAGAACATGCAGTGGTGTTTCGCTACCACCATTCGTTCACAGCCCCGCGCAGTCATCTCATCTCAGCTTTCTGAAGCTCTGCATTGCTAGTCTATCCAGAGAACGGAGCGGAGTACCTACATGTATGCAGGGCATAGTACCTTTCGTAAGCAAGCAAGGAATCCCTGCACATTATTACTCCAGCCAGGACCCTGGTCGCGAAGTTATCATTTGCCGTATTACGCGGCTAAGTCAACGAGTCGAGTGATGTGGTATGAAGATTCCCTATGCACGTACAAATGTAGTAGCACTAGCCATAGAGCTGGCAACTACAAAAATCATTTTTCATTTAATCTGGGATATAATGCCTATATGAATTTCGCCCTTAATACGCCCAAAATTATTCCCATTAATTAGGTAATTACACCATATTAATTAGGAAGAATATTTGGCCGCATTAGAGGCTCGTTTTCGCTATATAGGTACATCTAGCTACTACTGCGGTTCTCCAACCGGAACTGGCATCGTACTCCTGTTCCCCGCATTTCCTCTATCGCCCCTATCACCTCTTCCTCTTCCCCTCCCTCCCCTCCCCCTTCCTCTGGGTCCTCCTCCTCCTCCTCCTCCTCCGCGGGCGTTCAATGCAGCCGGCGGTGGAACATTATTATAGGTTCCCCTACCAGCCTGAGGTTGCCCGTCCTGCTCATCTTTTCCGCCTTGCTGACCGCGATGTTGGAAGCCTTGTTGTCCATTAGAACCGTTTGGCTGAGGCTGGTTTTGTTGTTGCGGCCTTTGCATGATAACTGGGGGACCGCCCCGCATAGTCATACTTGTTGGTCCCCTCGGAGATCCTCCGTGGCCGCCTCTACCACTGACTCCATCGGGAGTGTGGTTGCCACTGCGGTTGCCACGGCCCCCGCGGCCTCCGCGGCTGTTTCCGCCTCCTTGAACAGCACTACTGAATGAGCCCATCAATTGCCCTGGAACCTGTGCTGGTTTGAGGCCTTCTGTGGGGAGAATACGGCCGTTGGAGTTGGATGCGAGTGCAGAGATGGGCTCGGGTATAGGAGTGGGGTTCTTTTCAGCGCTGGCCTTTGAAAAGGCGATAAGCTGACGGTTTGTTAAGTTCAGCACGGATGAAGTGGGTACTGTCATCCCGCGGAAGGGGGAGCACCGTTCACCCAGAGTGGTGCCGGACATAAAAGTAGCATCGAAAACAACATCTAGTAGCATGGCTCTGGAAGTGCGTGTCAATCCAACAACGGTACCACGGGTTGCAATCGGGACCTTTCCAGAGTCTTGAACATAGACTACACGGTCACCAATGGCGAACCATTGGTTTTGAAGCATGTGTTCTGCGTCGCTAGGCTTAAGAAGAGCCCTTCTGGGAACATTATAAATGCGTTTGAAATCACCTTCCTGGTTGGCGGCGAGGTATGCATCAGCTGCTTGTTCAATCTCCTTAACAACTTCCGGCTCCAGCTGTTGCGCTTCTAGCGGGACCTTCTCAAAGGATCTTGTTTGGATAGTCTTCAACCAGTCAATAATCTCCTTGACTTTTGCTTTGCTCTCAGAGGGGTCAAAGAAGTCGGTATCAGTGTATATATCCCCATGGGGATTTTTCATCACCCCTTGGAAGAAAGCTGGAAATTTCCCTATATATTCTCGGAGGAGGTCAATTGCCTTCGTCGAAAATTCCCATCCTGATTCTCCGCGGCGGGAGTATCCAAGTACTTTAAGCTTTTTAGCTTCAAATTTGAGGTTGAGGCCAAGGTTGCAGCGTTGATCATCGACTGTAACAGAGAACGATGACGTGATTTTACTCAGAACAAGAGGGTTGAGGCCAAGCTGGCGGGCAACGGTGTAGGAAGGAAGGTAGCGAGTTGTATGTTCCGCCTTGAGCGCGATTTGTTGGCCGAAATCGGGCTCTTTTCCTTTCTGGTATACGTTAATAACTATTATCTTATCATAGGGATCTTTTGGTCTTTACCATAATATAAATCCAAATGTCAACTTTGTTCTCTGGATGATGTCTAAAAACCTCTAACGGCCTTCCAAAATTGAATTCTCCCAAGAAAAAGGCTCTTGAACCCTCCGGGAACTCTTCAGTAATCGGAAGGGGTTTTTTTTCTATGAACCTCGTATCTTCATTCACAACCTCGTCCACAACTGCCTGCGCAGCGTAATCTGTCTCGATCCCGGGGACTACTGCATACTCCTTGACCATAGCACCATCCTCGGTTCTCTTCAGCCCCTTGAGGATACTGGTATGAACGACTACTTCAACTGGGCCAATAATAATGCCCATTCGCTTACTATAGGCGTTCTCCATTCTCTCTGCTTTTTTCTTCCATGCCTCGATTTCATACGGGCCATGAGGAATAGGCATGATTTGGCCATCCGAGAGTTGGTACTTGAATAACTCATCTGAAATTG